ACGCACAGCGCGTACCGTGCCAAATTGCGAGCTTACTTTTGTTATCGACGCGGTTATTGGACATTAATGTGTGACTCGCTTTGATTTCTCGTAGAATTAAACTTCCAATTGCAGTAGGTCATTTGAAATCTCACTTAATACGACGTGACCTTTGTTGTATGCTAGAGGAAGTCAGACTTACATTGGGTTCGCTATTCCATTTAATGTCTATAAGAAATTAACACATTTATTAACGGACTTCGTAACCTGTAGTTATAATACTTCTTTTTTCTTGATACCTAATTTTTGTTTACGTAATGGCTATTTTTCCGTGTTGATTACTTATTTGTGCAATAACAAGATAATATAATAATTAGCATGGAGGCTTTCACAATCATTACTTTATTAATAAGATTGTCTGAATATCTTGAAAACCCTAATGGCTTTACTTAGCTAAGCTATTAAAAAGTTCTTTTTTTGCCATCGACTGCCTTTTTTAGCCTTAGATGCTTAAAGAACTTAAATGATCTTTCAAACGCGTTGCAAGTTAGTCATTACTTATCTGAAAATAAATGGAAAATTATGCAACGCGATTTTAAAACTGAGCGGTTCTTGGCATACCGTTTACACTATGGCCCTATAAAATATATTGTAACTTCGCTATTATGGTCTGAAATTTTATCAACTTTTATGTTGCGAACGAACCGCCAAATGGCGGGCAAAAGTTAATTTATTTGGTGTAGGAAAACACTTTTAGACAATGGGAACAATTGGATGGGAACTGTAAAATTTTCTTGAGTGTTGTTCGCTGTGGAATGGTTTTTTCCCAACTATTGTGCATTAAAAGAGCTCTTACAGTTTGTATTATACGCTTGATAAAAGAACAGAGCTATCAAAGGGTTTAGATACAAAAAAGTGAAATATAACATTATTAAATTCTAAATCACATTTGCTCGCCAAATAAAGAACACCGATATAAAAACGATAAAATAAAACAATGAAACACAGATTTTACAAGAAAGGCGGCTCCGAGGCTGTAACTTACTGGGTCCCTTAATATAATTATTATACGGGATAAGGACGGCCTACATTACTATAGCCCAGCCACCCTTGCCAAAGCACAGACTGATAAGAACAGTTGGGAACTTGAAAAGTTGTAGATCTGTATTATGTTGCGCGAGTGGTGGTTCAACGGTAACGTGTAGAACACTACCGTGTTGGTTAGAGCAACAGCAGGGAACGCTGTGGATGCCGGATGCTAGGACTTGACCTGCCCGTCTCTTTTTTTATTTCAATTCATAGTCGATTTTTAATTTATGCGTGTGAGATATCTACTAATTAAATTCATTGTCAGCAATTAAATAAGTCGATTATTTTGTACAGTAAACTTACAGGTTTAAAAACATTATATAGATAGACATATTTTAGTATATTATTTAGTATTTAACCTTGAATCTTCTATGAAAAAAATCTTGAATGGGAAAATATTACTATTAATAATATTAACTGTAATTATATATAATTAATACACGTAAACAAAGAAATAAACTTCATGAAAGTTTTAATAATAACTTCACTCTCCCTCATAAAGCTTTTCACAGTTTTAAAAAGACATTGAAAGTACCATGAAAATGCCAAACTGATTTAATATACTGTGGCAAGAGCCCCCTTTATGTCTTCACGCGATTTTTATGAAAATTACTCTTTTATCGTCATGTTTTAATTCAATTTAACTTTGCGGGCCCACATTTTGTTACCGAATTGTTCCATTAAACTTTGATTAGAGCTCAAATTTATAATTAGTTGTAATTATTTCCAGTAGCTCTAAGGATGGCTTGTATATTTTATACTGTGGGAATTGAATCCAAACACAAGGGAGTTTAATATAGATTTTTTGTTTGTAATAATTAGTTTTTTTAACTAAAAATAAACAATTATAATATAAGTCAGTACCTAATGTAAGACAAAATAATCAGTTAAGTAATTTTTAATGTTATGTTCGATTTAGAGAAAGTAAGCCGATGTGACCGTCCAGACTGAAAGATTACCTTTCCCCTAAATTATTTTTAATTTGACACTATACAAAGCTTTTATAACAGAGCCTAAAATTTATGTAAAATCTATACTTTACGCGAGTAGTAGGCATTTTGATAAAACACTACTAACGGTTTAAAACACGAAATGTATCAGCAAACTCATTTACAACACATACAGACATAATTTATATAACTTCACGAAATTAGTGTCAATGACCCGCAATTGTCACCTACAAATGTACATAAATAATACAACGCAATAATGTCTAGCATGCCACTGTTATTGCTTCCAACCCCTTAAAACCCCCCAATCTCTGACCCCCCGGGCTAACCCCTCCTAATGCAGCATTCTTATGTGACACGGATTTATCCAACGTGTATTGTTCTGGTTAATTTATGGGCTTCGAAGCACGGCACGAAATTCTGTGTTCAAATAAAAAGTAATAATGTTCACCGTTTGTTAGAAGTGTGAATGCAAATTGGTTGTGAGTTATGGTCGCGGTTCTGCTCTCGCGTTTTAATTCCAATGAATTCGCTGAAGTATTTGCGGTTTCACTGTTGCGTTGTTAGCTTATTGGGGCAGAAACATGTTCCCATCCTTCTTTGAATCTATCGTGCTAGTATAAACTCTCTTAGGAAATATTATTTGTAGTTTTAGGTTTAAACTAGAGCAAAACATTTAAATCCGTTTCAACCCACGATTACTAAAGTGCGACGTGCACAATTATTAAAAAATATATTGTAACACTTTTATAAGATTAAAAATATGTACCGGGTAATGTTGTAAAAATGTTTATTGATCATTTATTTATGGCAATTAATTAGGACAGACACTAAAGGTTAAGCAAAACCTCAGTTTCAGGCATGTAACGATCACACACAGTTGTCTGAGTTCTATGACCTCAAATACCGGGTAAACCCAGACTAACGTAATACTACACTTTTAGCTATCAACAAACGAAGATCAACATAAAACAAGTCGTAATAAATCGTTAATAGGCTCATTGGTGTAGTGGTTGCATGTGTGGTTAATAATGAACAGGTCGTGGGTGCGTCCCCCCGGGTCCATCATTTATCTAAACAATTTATAATTTTTCAGAAACTAGTTTTACTTCGTCTGGAAATTTGATAATAAATGGGTGGTAGGAATATCGTACGCTGATCACGAACCAAGTCCACAGATAAAATAACCGTCAAAATTATCGCTTTCACTATGAGTCTGTGGATTTCCGAATTCCAAAGCAAAAATAGGTTGACAAGCCTCTCTATATCTATAATATTCTTTTCAACGTTATTGGTAGGTTTATTGTGGTAGTGACCTACCACACTGTACCCTATGCTCGACTTTTTTCAGAAAAAAGATGTGGAGATATAAAGAAAATATCAACCCTCTTTTTACATAAACTTCCCTACATCCAACGTTTAGTATTGCAAAATAATATGCAATCAAAGAGGCAATTCTACTCACCATAAACTTATTTATACAAGAAGAACCGCATAGCCCCTTTGTTTTCGCACACTGTGTGCACAACGGATAAGGGAGATAGCGTGCTGTTTCATTGCGTAGTCTTTTGTTTACTAACTATAAACACGCTTTATTTGCTACTTTACGAGAATTTGCTACCGACAATATGTTTATCATCTGCACTGTAAAGACATTTAAAGGAACCCTGAAGTATCCAAGACAAGATACCGTTAGGGGCAAGCTTATTTGAAAAAGTGATGTAAGATTTACATCAAGTTAAGACGCAAATTATATAAAATTATATGGTTACAGTTTATGTCACTATCAGGCCGTTTACACAAAGTCAGGCGACAAACAAAAATATTTTTTCAATTCAACCCGTTCAAATAAACAAACTTCTCATAATAATTTTATAATGATAGTTGCATAATAATTTTTATGCCCTGGTTATTTAATTATTCATAAAAAAAAAACTTTTAAAACGCAATATATTCGTTTCCCCGTGACCACGGCTGCTGCAAAGCATCCGAAACGTCGGGCCGAAGTTAAAAATCATTTTTAAATAAATTAACTAATATATTATCACGTTTAACCATGTTTTATTTAAATGTTTACTACTTACGTCAATTGCTGAATTGTGTAAGTGTCAATAAAACATCTCTCTATTCTCGGTCAACACAAATATTATGTAATAAAAAAAAACGAAATAAAAAGTTAGATATCTAAGAAAATATTTCGCAGGACCCTAGTAATAGTACTAGCGATATTAAAGGACAAAACCAAGAAAATATTAATATTATATAAGCAGGTTCCCTCGGCAGATGTTCCTTATCCTGATTTAATAAAGTTGATCAGATGGACAATAGATTTGGGGAAACGATATTGAAGCCATCTATTGTTTAATATTAATATGGTTGACTTTATATTAGTATGACTGAAAATATATTTATTATACTATACTAATCGTTATGTCATTAGTTACTTAATTGTGCTATATATATGACTAAGATGCAAACGGATGTGCTCAGACATATAGTCAGTGCGAACATCCGGCGCAGGCGACGTTGAAAACGCATGTGACTCGAAAGTTCACGCGAACAAACGAAAATAGTCGCGCAATTGACTCTTTGATAGATCACAGTGACTTGACTTGATAGATTGTCAACTTTGACAGTTAAACCACATGGTAAACTATGCTATGAAATCCCGTGGGGCGTACACGTATCTGCTTCCTTTTTACTGATCAATTTTATTTACAGGCAAGTAGTTAATCAGATTTCTGTGCCCTACCCGATCGACACAATTTATTGTTTCCCTGGGATTCGAACCCAGGATCGTGCGCTTTACGCACTGCTAGACAACACGTAGTCAATATAAAATAGAAAATAATAATTTCGTAAGCGCTGCCGCCAGCACGCTCACCGGTGGTTCACGATACCATTTCCGACGGTGAAAAGTAATATTTATTTGATAGGAATATAGAATCAAATCTCATAACCGTTTCATCTCTTTGTCTGCAGGTTTGGTGGCGTCCCTTCATCTTACTTTTATGTTCTCATTGCTGACTGCTATAGATAGGTTAAGGTAAGTTCCACTTCTCTGAATATACGAAAGTAGTACACATTTAAAGAATTCATTTTTAACGGTTTAAAATGCGAAATAACTAGTATATTTTGCGTTGTAAACCGTTAAAAGTGCCTTAAGTTTAAGTATTCTAACCAGAACCACTATACTAAATATACACTTAAGGACTCCTAAAAATGAGCAAAAATAAAATAGTCGATTACTCTTCACTAGTTATGTCATATTTTTATGTTGGCATTACATTGTTATTTCTCCAGAGAGTACGTCCCAGTGTATACATAAAGATCTGTGCACAATCGGGATTCGAACTGCCGACTTTACACTATGGCTTTGACGATTGTAAAAAATCCTGACCCGATTTCCACAAGCTTAAGATATAAGGAATAACTTAGTTTGCTTAGCAATTGAACTTATAAATACGATGTTTTGGAATATTTGTAGTTAACGCGAGTAGTACACATTTAAAATAAACACTTAACTGTTTAAAACTACGGCTGCTGCAAATCATCTGAAACGTCGTGCATATTTTATAAACACAACTATAGTAAGTAATAGCTATTTTTAATTCCAATTATTATATAATTAACACAAAATGTTAATTTCAGGATCTTTCGATGATGTCAAGCATCCCCGCGTCTGCAATGTAAATAAATCAGTTGAAAATTGCGGTAATTGTTAGATCTTAGTTAACACCGACGTATAGAACTCTATAGATATAATGTTCTTCCAAAATGTGTGATTGTATGACACATAAGTTGTATCATAAACTTTTTTAGTAGATATTTAGCTATTTTGAATTCAATTTTTATTCAACTAAGAAATAAATAAGCCATCATTATTTATTAGTATTATTTTATTATCATCGGATAGTACAATGAGCGGTTCCGTTTATCGCTACTTTAGTGCGGGTAGTCGAAACCACACCTACCCACATTGGTGCATGGTAAATAAGTCCCGAATCTTGTTATGACATCTGTTCTCAACAGTGCATCGAAAACTTCTGGAAAATGGTTGTAATATAATAATTATAATATAATTTGCTGGAAAAATATATTAAAGCACTAGTTATACTGATGAGTTTTTTTTTTAATTGACGGATTACTTAAAATACGATTGTTTAAAACACTTGTCTAATCTATACACTAATACTCGTAGTACATGACATGAGAATACGAATTCTAGTAAGACATTTTCTAATCTAGACATTTAATAATCGAATATAAAACCTATTTGCTAAGGTAAATTAGAATTGTATTTATAAGACTCTTTTGCTAAAATAATAAACGTTTGTGTATTTCAAACTACCTATGAAAATATAACAACGAATTGTATTCATTTATAATTTACGCTTATTAAAAAGATTTTTCTGTGACTATTAACTTACTAATTTATTCAACCAAAGCGTGTAAATAGTTCTTGTAATATAAAATAGTGATAATACCGTAAGCCGTATTGAAAATGGGCTCATTATGAAAAAAAATTATACCTGTCAATGCACGTCATGGAATATCTTTTTGCTAAGTAAGGACAAAAATTATTAAAGCCTAAAGAAAGCCTTATCTTCGGCTTTCGGCTTGTCCATAATTTTCTAACCGAAACCGAAGCTTTCTAGAAAACATCGTAATTCGCAAAAACCGTGACAAAGGTAAATTAAGCTTTTACAGTAAAATTATATACTAAATATGTTTATTATTTCTAAAAAAGAGTACTATGTTTTTAAAGCTGTGGCTATCTTTCCGTCATTACAGACATAAAACAAGAACAAGAGAAAGTTTGCATCCATGTAACCACAGCTAATAAAAATCTACATTGCGGCAGAGTCTCAAACCGATTATTCGGCTTCGGCTTGAACTTTCGCTGCACCACATAAATTTATAACCATGTAATTGTAAGTAATTATTAGATAAATTGTGTACATTACAATAAAAACATTGTTTTTTCTATTTCGTTATTGTATGACGTCAATAGAAATATACCAAAATGTACGCAGAAGAAATATAAGTACTATATGTAGTATCGTAAGCTGAATTTAAAGTAAATATTCCTGAATTATGCCTACTGAAATTTAATAAATGTGGTTGTAAATAAAGGTAATCAATAATATTATAGTAGAGAAACATATGATAAAACGAAAACGTAATTGTCTAGAAGATAAGTTAGTAACAAACAGGTTATACTACTTTGTAAAAAAATATTCGGAGCTTTTAAACTTCACAAAAAATAATTTAACCCAATTACATAATTATTTTCTAGCTTTTGAATGGATATTTTCGCAATTTTCACGAAGGTTAAAGACGATAAGGCTACTTGAACTAGGAGTAATTAATGTAAGTAAATTTATTATTTCCCAAACTAGTTAAAAATGATTAGTATTAAATACTAAAAAACGTGTCGTTATATTGAAATTTATTTTACTGTTAAGTAGACAATATTTGTATAAGGTTCTAGGTGAAGTGTAAATTTTATTAACGTTTCTTTTGTTTGTAGAAAAAGAACTTGTACGAATATTGAGATTTGTATGTATCTTTGATGCTGTGTTATGTTGCTCAAACTAGAACTTTTTTTGACAAAGTCTATTTAATAAATAATTGAAGAAATATGTATTTTGTTTCATTTGCCCTCCATATATAAGCTCAACAGTCTAACGGACTCTTGTCTAGCCTAGTCTAGTCTAAATTAATCAATATACTTTTGTGTCATTTAGTTAGGTGTCTAAAGTCTAGTGTTCAAGGTGAAGGTAGGACTTCAGGTGTTAGTCGACGTCGGACTGTATTAAAACATATGTTGGCAACGTCATCACAACATATAGTCAATATAGCTGACATAAATCGACGATGTTACGAATTTTCCACTATATATCATCTTTTACAGCTTCAAACATTGTTCTAAGAAGTTATCGGTCAAAAACCAGGAGCGAAAACTTAATTGATGAGTCTTTAGATAGCTTTAGAAGCCAGGAGCCGATTTACTTAAAAAACATAGCGACAGTATTCTCTGTAATTTAAATGAATTGAATTACAGAGAATACACTTTATTAAAATATACTTTAATACTCGATATTCTTTAATAATAATATGACAAGTATTACACACGATTAATTAGTGTTAAGGCTAGTGTACGGTGCTGACAAAATCAATAAATGAGCGTTTTATAAAATTACAGCCCAAGTTAAATTGTGTAAGACTTTCACGGCCATCGTTCAGCATGTCTTTGTTTTTCGGCCTGTTCGGCTAACATAAGGGAGAACAAGTTCCGACTGCCATCACGAGCAGACGACATCATATCGGCACTTTAAAATAAAACTTGAATGTTTGACTTATTCTTAAATAAAAGTTTTTTATTTAATGTTTGAAATTTTATAATTCATTGCATACCCCTTTATTAAAACTGTACTATAAAAATTTCTACCTAAAACTAAAAAAAATAAGGACATAATATAAAAACTTTATACATATAAAATCTTTATAGTTAATAATTAATAAGAACAAACTAAAAAAACAAATTAAAAAATCTTATATAAAAAATGGTTTATACTCTTCCTTCTGGAGTACTCACACGAGCCTCGGAGTTCCCTTCGACATCGCTTGTTCGGCGGATAAAAAGTGTTGAGTTAGGTAGAGTTAGAGATAGTCTTAGCGACACAATGACATTTTTCGCACTATTACATCTCCGAATGACTAACGTATCCATTTGGTAGAATTTTTATGTTTGGTTTGTAGCTGTTGCAGTTACAATACACGATGTTTGAACTTGTAGATACCATTGACGAAAGGGTTATTCTTCAATGGATTAATTAAATAATATGTGTTCTCGCATTTAAAAAATCAAAAAAAAAAAAAAAAAAAAAAAAAAAAAAAAAAAAAAAAAAAAAAAAAAAAAAAAAAAAAAAAAAAAAAAAAAAAAAAAAAAAAAAAAAAAAAAAAAAAAAAAAAAAAAAAAAAAAAAAAAAAAAAAAAAAAAAAAAAAAAAAAAAAAAAAAAAAAAAAAAAAAAAAAAAAAAAAAAAAAAAAAAAAAAAAAAAAAAAAAAAAAAAAAAAAAAAAAAAAAAAAAAAAAAAAAAAAAAAAAAAAAAAAAAAAAAAAAAAAAAAAAAAAAAAAAAAAAAAAAAAAAAAAAAAAAAAAAAAAAAAAAAAAAAAAAAAAAAAAAAAAAAAAAAAAAAAAAAAAAAAAAAAAAAAAAAAAAAAAAAAAAAAACCCCCCCCAACCATAAATTTTCTGAACACCACCACAGAGGAAGAAACCAAAAAAAAAAAAATTAAAAAAAATTTAAAAAAAAAAACCATTTTTTAATAAAAAAATTTTTTATTTAAATGTGTACTACTCGCGATAGACAGTATTAAATATACTAATGTTAATAGCGATATTAATATTGGTATATAAAATGATATGGATAAGGTATCAAATGATGTCAATTTTCAATCTATCAGAGGTAGTGACTGTGAATTTCGGCCCAACGTACTCCATGATTGTTGATACATGATGACGTTAAAAATTGACGCCGGAATCTTCTACTATTTCAGCACTGTGCTCACAATTCCGGCTATATCGATATTTGTGTACGTATTTTTAATATATTTTGAATTATTACCACGTCCTTTTAGATTGGATGGGAAAATATATGTTCATAACAGTTTGAAAGCTTGCATTTTTTAATATGATTTCGGACATTGTGGTATAAAATAATCGAATAATAATTCTAATCGTATTGGTTTTAAAACATTTGCTTGGACTTCAAAATTTACTAATAATACTAACCAAGAGTCAGTTCTTTGTGCTGTGTAAATAAAAGAGCAAAACTGAAAACGGCAAGAAATTGAGACTCATATATGGCCACAGTCGGGGACTGCTTGAAAAAGCAGCTGCATAAGATCGCAATTAAATGTCCACATGCAGAAAGTATTAGCTCATTTAAAGCTCTTATTTCTAATAGTAATTCATCTGCCTCATTGGTCTAGTGGTTAGTAAGACTAGACAATTATTTTATTTTATTATTATCAACTAGCTGTGCCGCGATTTCGTCCGCGTGCAATAGTGACTTGGGGTAGACTTTTAAATCATGTAGGCTGTTTATTAATTTATGTAATTACGCATTTATCGCAGCCAATCTATGTTCTAAGTGCTACTTTGCCCCAACACTCTCACCTTTTAACCCCTTACCTTTTCGCAATAAACAGTAGCCTATGTCCTTTTTCAGGGTCTAGACCATATGTGTACGTCGCGTGAAAGAGTAACAGACAGACAGACAGACAGAGTTACTTTCGCATTTATAATATTAGTAAGGATTATCTAGTGGACGATGATGAAGTTTGAATCCATGGTTGTGCAGAATGTTATTTTTTATCAACACTACACTACACTACATACTTTAGGCGGTAGTGACAACGAATAGTATTTTTAGAAGATTACGTGTTACTTCAAGAGGATACAAAATAAAAAGGAATTCTAGCGGGTAAAACGCAACTTCCATGTCAACCAAGATGAAGAGACAGAAATTCAATCCGAAATGATAAGAACAACCGGAAAGGAATCACTATTGCCAGCATAGATTTAGCAGATGGGAAAGTTATGTTAGAATAATTATTAATAAATTATTTGATATTATTCGTGCTTTTATTTATCAACTAGTTTTAAAAATTTTAACTGATATTGTTTAAATAAAATAATTGAACGGTTTTCAAGGCAAAATATATAGCTTATTTATAAATTATTGTAACTACGGCCAGCCGTTTCGGATGGTTTCTAGCAGCTGTAATCATGGGGGACATAATACTATTGTGGATATTACTTTCACATGTTATTATAATTGCACATTACACAAACTAAAAATCTATTAAGATTCAGTCTCCCCGTGACCACGGCTGCTGCAAAGCATTCGAAACGTCAGGCCGAAGTTAAAAATCATTTTAAATTAAGTTGCACTAATATATCGCGTTTTAAACCATTAGAGTGTGTTATTTAAATGTGTAGTACTCGCGTAAACTATAGACAGTATTTATCTATTAAGATTGACAAAACAGAGATACGGATAATAATCGAACAGCCCTAAAAACACTGATATGCTGATACCCAAGTTGATACACAATATGAAGTCTATAACTAAGAAGATTGATAAAAAATATAACTCGACTAGGTATCAAACCCGTTCCCGCATCTTTTAACACTTACGTATTACACTCACAAGATATTTTTGCGTAATATTTATATTTCATCATATCAATCGTGTATTCTATTTTTTAAATATCCAAAATTAAAAAAAAGTTCAAACCAACTACACTTGATTGGTTTGAAATCTTTGATTCGTGACGTTTTTTACAGACTATCACAATCACAGTGCATACATATTTTTATAGTAATAATGTTACATTACCCTCTACGCACGATAAGACATTTTGTAACGAACACTCGGTGAAAAGGTGGCTTAACATGTCACCATAAATCTTTATAAAGCCACACAAACACAGCTATCAACAGATATTATATTAGACATTATAATTAATAGCGTGTACATATAGTCTGTGGAATTCTCGCTTCTACAGATATCGCGAGAGAACAATGGCGCGTTTCATGCCAAGTCATTCTTATTTTTATATGCATTTTGTATCGTTAAACTTTAATAGGAACGTTTATAAAAGGTATATTTTAGTAGCATGACGAGAATGTTTAGTAGTTAATTCATACAGTCGAACATGACTATATAGTTTTGAGGAATTTTAATATTCTGTTGTATTTTGTAAATTGTCACAGAATACAGAAATTTATCGCAGTGAGAAATTACACTTTTGCAAGAAAACTGGTTTGAACCCAAATATATTAGTTTTTGTAAAGTACAGGACAGCAAAGTTTGTTGTTTTAAGATGTATCTTTTTATATGATAGATGAAGATAGATAAATTCGGAGGGTCCCCCGGGGGTCCCCATTTAAAACCACAGCACGATGCTGTAGATCTATTTTGACTTTGGATATACGAAAATAAACAGATTAAAACCGCAATGCTTCAATACTTCGCTTTTTAATCTGTGGAGGGCTGGCACGGAATTTCGTTATTCTACCTCACATTTGATAACCATATCTCCAGGCGAAGTCCAGTGTTTCAGACAGATTATAAATTGATAAGAAATTTATGTTGGGATCAAACTCCATGATATTAAACCATAGATTACTACCAACCAAAAACTGTTCTTGTTGGAAGTTCTCATTTATATTTATAATTTATTTTCGTAAACTTGTAAACCTAATCGTATGTTAATTCGTTTAAAGTTAAAATCTGTACACACTCTTCTTCAGTTATATCTGTGCAGTTGTTCGGATCCACGCTGCGATGAACGCGAGCGATTATTCCACCACGGCTAGTTCAATTCGATGTGCATACGATTGCAGGGTCGTGGACAATTCGCAAAATACCAGCAATTTACTTCTCTATTCACATAGAAATAAACCCAAATTGATTGACACTTCGTTAGCTGTTGGCTCTATTGGATTTCTAAAAATCTCTTATTGACTTTAATTGCCTTGGATTTTTGTTTCTGTGTACATATTAAACTACACATTTTTAACGTTTGCCTTCGAGACTGCTTTAGGGCTCAAACACATAAACGTTACGATGACGCAACGTACAACGATGCGACGTCGTTTCACGATATGACATCGTAACGTGTCCTGCCTAATCCTGCGCAGTAGATATTCAAAATTCAAAGATGACGGATGCTATTGAAGTCGACCATTTAATTACCCTAGTCGAGAAGCGCTCCATACTATGGTACAAAACATCTAAAGAATACAAGAATAAATCATCTCACAAGATGCTCATCGTAGATTTACACGATGCGACGTCGTACCGCGATACGACGCCGACGAAACGAAAAATCGTAGCCGTAAATGACATAATAATTATTGTTTTTTGAAAAATTTTACAATAAATAAAAATAAAACATATTAGGTTTAAAGTTTTACTCACTAAGATTCGAATTTTGTACCTCTTACATAATAAAAAAGCGTAGTAAGTAACTGTTTATTGCCCTGCCCGACTAAAACAACCTAAAGTTTTCGCGGAATTCAAACCCAGAACCTCTCATGTTAAACACATCTAGCATTGCGTCATCTAACATGGACTACTATACCGTAGCTTGAAATGGCGGTAGTTAGTCGCTTCGAATAACCTAGTGGGCTCTTAAACTGGTTCTACTATAAGATATACTTATGCCCAACATTGGGACATTAATAGTCAAAAATAAATACATAAAACAGACACAACAAAATACATCCTACGAACTAACGCGTATTTTGACTCTTGTGTACTTGATTGAATCGACTACAAAGAACTGCACTTCGTATTTAAACAACGATAACACTCCGTCAGTCTATGTAACCTGCTTACGATACAAATATTTACTATGAACAAAAATAGTCATATGTTCTGTACACAATTGAATCAGTAATGGTTCAGGGCATATCACAAAATTACATTATCAATATGGCGCTCGAAGACACACCACTAAAGCAACCAGAAGTGAAGAAGAAGAGTTTACGGGAGAAAATAGCTCACATACGTGAGAATATTACGCTAGAACCAGTTTTAATTACTTATGTGATACCAGGATCTCTATCTAGGCTAGCTACCCAAAACTTAAACCTGGACAAAGCATGTCGCGTTAACTTGAATTATGGAGACACAATCTGTGACGCACTTATTGCAAGAGAGGGTTCCTATCAAGATGAGGAATTGGAATTGCAAACCCTGGTTTCTTCCATGGAAGTGTGGAAGAATATCCTCCTGACAGCGATACCGAGTTTCCTGATACTGTTCTTAGGCGCTTGGAGCGATAGAACCGGGAAGAGGAAAATTTGCGTTCTCATGCCGATAGTTGGTGATTTGCTCATGTGCTTAAGTAATCTATTAAACACTTATTACTTCTATGAGTTGCCTGTGCAAGTGACTATGTTCTTCGAAGCTTTCTTCCCGGCTATTACTGGTGGTTGGATAGCAACTTATATGGGTGCCTTTTGTTATATCAGTGAAATATCCAGTGAAGAGTCGAGGACTTTTAGAGTCGGTGTCGCTAATCTGTGCTTGACAGCTGGTTCACCAATTGGTCACGCGCTGAGTGGAATATTACTGAAGCATTTTGGATACTATGGCGTATTCTCCTTCAGTTCTGTTTTGTATATCTTCAGTTTGTGCCATGGCTTCTTCTACATGAAGGATCCTGAGCGGCCCAAAGTAGAAAAGAAAAATGTAACTGGCCTTATCTCTTATCCCTATAATGCAACATTTTGAGTCTAACTTTTATATCGCTTTGCAGGAGAACGCCGGTACAATAAGTTTCCTTAAATCGTTTTTTGATTTGAATCACGTGAAGGATACGCTGACGGTAGTTTTCAAAAAAGGACCAAATCGCAGGAGGACTAAGTCAATATTAATTTTGGCATCTATTGCAGTCGTTTATGGACCACAGTACGGTATGACCATATACTCATAAACCTCATAATACGCAATAAGCGACATGCATCTTATGAAAATATGTATTATTGTTTTATTTTTGAGAACAATTACTACAGGATTTATTTCAAGGCATTATAACAACTTTTTGTTTTTTCATGTTAATCTTGATTTCAATTGAATATATGATACAAGCGGGATTCAAGCTCACCATCTAACGTAAAAGCACCGACACTATATGCCATTTTGCAAGGAGGAAATGGGTGAAATGGTCGGCTGAGGGCGTGGAGTGATCACCTACCACAGGCTACCACACCACGGCCTACCACAGGCGTCCTCAATAGAAAATAATAATAATATGCCATTTATTATCATAGTATCCCATTGTTAGTTTTTTTTAATAATTTTTTTATGAACACTTTCGACAGGTGAATTCACAGTAAGATATTTATTCACTCGCTTCAGATTTAATTGGGATGCAATAAGATACAGCTTCTACAATACTTTTTATATCTGCCTGCATATGTTTGGTAAGGATCTAATGTATAACAAACAATGTTTGACAAGTTATAAATCTAATTTTAAAAATGCGATTATAAATTGAAAAAGATTTCAACCTATCGATACATGCACCTCACGCGCAACGTAATTTCATGTATCAATAGGTCGTGGATGTCGGTTCAGGTCCTGCCAGAGTCGTATTTTTTTTTTGAATTTATAATCGAGTTTTAAAGATTAAAGTTTTCAAAGTTCTAAATCTCTTATTATTATTTCAGGTGCTTTTGTATCTGTCAGTCTGTTTAGTCGTAGATGGAAATGGAGTGACGCCACACTCGGTATAATATCAACTGTTAGTAAAATCATTGGCGGTCTCGCAACAAGTCAAGCCCGGAACTCGATGGAAATGTATTTAGGTACTGTATCTAATAACATTAAATACTCTAGGTAGTTTACGGGAGTAGAATACATTTATATAAAACACTTTAACGGTTTAAAACGCGATATATATTAGTTGAACTTATTAAAAAAATATTTTAACTACGGCCCGAGGTTTCGGTTGCTTTGCAGCAGCCGTAGTCACGCGGAGACAACGGTTGTTACAGTTTTAACTAGCGAAGTTATTTCTAGTGTTTACGTTAGTTACTAAGACGCGATGTTTCAATCTGTTTAAAATTGTTTAATTACTAATTAAAGTATATTACATAATACATGATAACGGATTATTGATTTATTTATTATTTATGCGGTACCAGTCTATCTTTATAATCTCAGGCCAACGACTGACTTAGACAACATAGTTTGGTACACTCGCGCGGTAATTCATAAAAAAACTTTATTTTATTATGAATTATTATTATAGAGTTATTTAACTTGATGCACTTTATAATTTAAGCTCCAAAAAGATTAAAAACATAAGAACAAGTACGTGGGTGTCATTAGGTCGTAAAGATTTTAAAACTGCTTTTTTATAATGCTCAAAGTTCAAGTAGTCCGTTGGTACGAGAGGTTAGGAGTATATATAAATACCTATTCTATATATTGTCATAATTTAAACTTCTATCTAATTAATAAAGATCCTTTGAAGTTTACGTTTCCTTTCAGCTGTCGCTGTAGAGACCTTCAATGCAACTTCCTTCACTGCTCTGAGGTCTCTTTCATCTAAGCTAGCTAATAGTGATGAATTAGGTATTTTTTCTCGTCATTTTTATTGGTTTTCATGTAGTTTAAGAAGAGAAGGTTATCAGGAAACTGACCTAATTAAAAGAATGGGTTGTGGAAAATTTGTATTTGCAAACCTCCTTCTCATTATAAATTGTGTAAGGCTTTCACGGCCATCGTTCAGCATATCATTGCCTTGAGTTAACATCTCCTGGTGAGGCCGTCCACACGTGATGGCGAAACGTCGAGAACCTCTTCTCACTCACGTCGGCCGAACAGCCTGAAAGCCAATGATATGCTCCTTCTCATTTTTATAAATTTTAGCTGTACCCACGACATCGGTCATGTGCCGTCTTTCTTCAAGTTAATCTTAGAATGTAGACATATACTCATCATCATTTAAAGAGGAATTATTCTTCTATATATATTTTTTATATATATCTTTAATCTTCATCATCATGTCTTACATTTTCCCCATTTTATCCATATCTCCCGCTGTTTCTTCGCTCCCATTCACACAGTCACAGTCACAGCGCGTTTTATATAGCGTAAAGATAATCTTCCATGAAAAATGTCACACACTATTTTTAATTCGAACCAGTAGCTTCTGAGATTAGTGCATTTAAACAAACTCTTCAGTTTTATAAAGTATAGTATAGATTTCGCATGACAATATTTATACCAATGTTAACTAATATTTAAGTTAGTTTATTATATATTTAATTATTAGTTAATTTTCCAGGTAAAATGACGTCAATTTTCAATCTATCAGAAGTAGTGACATCCATGATTTTCGGCCCAACGTACTCCATGATTTACATGATGACGTTAAAAATTGACGCCGGAATCGTCTACTATTTCAGCACTGTGCTCACAATTCCGGCAATATCGATATTTGTGTACGTATTATTAGGTTGACAAAGGTCTACCTAATCCTAAGACTCAAGAAAGAATCGGGCCCTCATCCCCTCGTTCAGCATATCCTAAATTTTATGAACCTCCAAAATTAAAAATAGAAACAAAACGGTTTATTTTTCAAAGATAAGGTTAGAGGGCCCCTGAGTTCCGGGGCCCTGGTGCATTGCACCACCTGACCCTACGATACCTGCCACTGTTTACCTCGTACTTTTAGATTGGATGGGAAAATATATGTTGATAATGGTTTAAAAGCTTAGATTTTTTAATATAATTTCGGATATATTTGATTGATAAAGGAATGTAATAATTGAGATTTAAGTCTCGTAATAGGCTTCAAAATTACAGTGCCTTAAGTAAGAGTCGGTTTGAAAGAAGTTCGGCTATGTGAAATATACAACCAACCTAACCACTTAAAAAGGCAGCTGCCTAAAATTACAATTAAATGTAAACATGCTGAAAGTCTTACCTCATTATAGCTCTTCTTTCCAATAGTAATTCATCCTTTATATACTAACATAGTAAATGACTACTTAAGTTTTTTAATCACTTAAAACTACCTCGATGTTATTGTGGTCAGAAAATCGCTTAGCAAATATATTAACCTTTAGGCAATACACGAGGTGAAATTCGTGTTTGAATCCCTGGTTGAGCGTAATGTTATTTTTACTAACACTTATTCAGAGCCCGTAGTTTAGTTAGAACGAATAGTATTTTTTTTTAAATTAAACATTACATTTTAGGTGGTTTTACATACAAAATAAAAAGGAACTTTCGAGACTCAAACGCAACTGCGATGTCAACCAAGATGAAAAGACAGAAACTCGACTCGAAATGATCAAAATAGCCAGAAAGGAATCACTTATTGGCAGCATAGACTTAGCAGATGGGAAAGTTATATTAGAATAATTATTAATAAATTATTTAATATTATTCGTGTTTTTTTAGGAACTATTCCTTGAAATTGGAATCGATGCTATTCAAATAAAACATTTGAAACGGTTCAAAACACGAATGTATAAGCTAACATATGTACAAATTATTTTAACTACGGTCAGCCGTTTCGGATGCTTTTTATCCCAATATTTTTGTGATGCCATTAAAATAAATAAAGCTACTGAAGAATCATTAACACATTTCTCAAGAGAAAGAAATATAATATATAAATAGAAAAAAAATTACACACCAATTACCTTCTTGAAATAAATAAAACGCCTGTTAAGAATTACATTGTAATTATTTGATTTACACATAATTTAAAATATGTAGGCGTTTAAATTTATAAATGTTTTCTAAATAAACCGTTATAGTTGATCCCTTTGACTTTTGCTCCCAACGATCGTAAAATATCGGAACTTGCTACACCGTAATAAAACTGTACCTCTAGAATTTCCTATTAAGTTTTAAAAGACTTCTTCTAAATCTTATGCATTTCCTACTATAGGCAACACATATACTAATGCAGTAGAAGTATTCAGAAGTTGTACATTGAATTTGAAACATGTTGGACCCGACAGGAATCGAACAGACGGCCCGTTGATTCATAGCCATACATTGCTACCATTAGACCAAGGAGCCCGTCAAATTCGTAATTACTATTTACAACAAGTTAACTACATGTTTATTCTACTTAGTCGCAAATGAAATCTTAAAATCACCTTTGTCTTTGACTTTTAAAAGTGCGTGACATTGTGAAAATATTAAATAACAGCTGTGCCAGCGACCTCGTCCGCGAGAATCCAAATCCAAATAAGTTTTTGCAAACCCAGTCATCTTTATAAACTTAAGCAGTTAGCCACGACGTCGATGGCGTCCCTTCATTCTTGCAAGTTAAATATAATCTAAAAAAATAGACATATAGCGTCGTGGACTTTTTTTAGATCAATTAAAAAGGAATCATTCTGTGATACACATTTTTAGGAACCGTTTTCGCAGCGTACGCATCTGAAGCCCACGGAGCTGAAAAATTTTCCCCGTTTTGTTTACATGCCGCTGTATATTCGCTTCTATGTTTTATTCCTTGATAAATGCTCTAACCAATACAAAATATATTTTCTATTCGAATCCCTAGTTCCTGAGATAAGCGCGTTCAAACAAACAAACAAACTCTTCAGTTTTATCTATTAATATAGCATATTACATTTCAATTTTTTTCATAATACAATCATGTTGACTTGTCAAATTATAAATCTCGAATCATCGTTAATTGTTCTTACCACTCAATATAAGCCTGTAATAGCTATATTGTTTGTACATTTATTAGCTCATGGTCGATATAATAGCTACACAAATACTTTACGCAAATAGAAATTAGTAACGTTAAATAATGATAAAAGTCCAGATACAGAGTGCTTCAAAAAGTACAGACATTAGTCTATATGACCATAGAATATATTCTATTACAAATATAATCGTTGGGCTCCTAGGTATAATAATAGCAACCAACGTTTTTCTGAATAAATAAAACACTTTAACGGTTTAAAACGCGATATATTAGTTAAACTTATTTGAAAGTGGCTTTTAACTTTGTGACCCGTGACCACGGCTGCTACAAAGCATCCATAACGTCGGGCCGAAGTTAAAAATCATTTTCAAATAAGTTTAACTAATAAATCGCGTTTTAAACCGTTAAACTGTTTTATTTAAATATGTACTACTCGCGTAAACTATAGACGTTTTTGACGTTTTGCGGATCATTTTTTTTAAACATGTTGGAGTTTGGAAATCTCGGTGTTGAATGGGCGGTACATATATCGGAATTCGGTCCGTGTCACAAACCACCGTCCAGAGACGAAAAGGCAGACAAATTTAATTGCCATTTGATCTCAGATTCTTAAATATCTAAAGCCAAATGAGGTGGACAGCGTATCTCTCTAAGATGTTATAGGGTAGTTCATCTACGATCAAGTGCACACCACGCTTGTCTGTCCTCCATGTCCATGTTTTCTTTTTTGTTTACGTGGATAGTACAATTGAAAATTGAACATTTTAAACGGTTTATTTTTTTTATCTACCACGTTTTGGAGGCTTAACAGCAATTTAATATCCAAGCAAAACACTGACTCGACGTGTACAGATGCTCACGAAATCGATCAATTTTTGTTTGTACCAGGTTGGTTAAAATATACATTGCCTAGCATTTCGTTAAGCGCTAGGGATCGTGGGTTCAAACCCCGAATAAACATTACAAATAGTTTAGCTTGTCTTGGCTGCCTATAAATAAAATTAAACCCAGACACAAAATTATATCTGCTGAACAAAAATGCAACTTCTACAGCGTGTGGATAGAAAATTTCAAGTCCTTCCTGTAAGCACAATACAAACTATGTTATATAAGATCAAACAACGCTCTCGAGAGAATAAGAACACTCTAGTTTTTAAATATTACATATTTGTTATCGCATTCTTACATCTTTACAATTATATCAAAAAAAGTAAACACATAGTTTCAAGTTGATAAATGTTCGACTCCAATAGACACAATTCAAACGCTCTCTGCGTGAGACCAAGTTAATTAGATAAAAATATGACGTCCGATGAGAAACGTAGCCCAGAAGAACAACCCTTGCACGAAAAGAAAGAAGCCACAAACGAATTGGCAAACAAGACTTTCTTCGAAAAAATATGCTACATAAAGTCAAGTGTAACAGTGGAACCAATAGTTGCTGGTCTTATTATACCAGCTATGCTATCCAGGCTTGCGATACAAAACTTAAACTTGGATAAAGTCTGCAGGGTCAAAGAGAGCTTTGGTGACGAAATTTGTGATGCTCTCTTGCAAAAGAAGGGCAATTTAAGTAACTACGAAGCAGACATTCAAAGAGTCATCTCATCTATAGAAGCGTGGAAGAGTGTCATACAGACAGCATTACCAACTATACTGGTTATATTCATGGGTGCTTGGAGTGACCGGACTGGAAACAGGAAGCTTTGCATCCTCCTACCACTCTTTGGAGAATTTCTCGTCTGCATATCCAATATTCTGAGCACCTTTTTCTTCTACGAGATCCCTGTGGAGGCTACGATGTTTCTAGAAGCTTTCTTCCCGGCTGTATCTGGCGGCTGGGTTATGGTTTATTTGGGTGTTTTCAGTTACATAAGTGATATAACCACTAAAGAATCCAGGACTTTCCGTGTGGGGTTGGTAAATTTGTGTCTGACCGCTGGTATACCAATTGGAACTGCCCTGAGTGGAATTTTGTTGAATTTATGGGGGTACTACGGAATATTCATTATTTCCGGAGGTGTTTACTTAATAACAATTATTTATGGAATTTGCTATTTGGAATCGAATACAAAGAATGTGAATGAGAAGGTAAGATTTTGAGATAAATCATTCAAATTTTTAAACAAACAAAACAAAACAAAAAGTACTTTATGTTTCACCACAACGTGACAAAATAAACTTTACCAAAATTATCTATAGTGTAGCGAGAAAAGGCGACATTATCGCTAAAAAGCGATTTCTTCCAGGCAACCTTGAAAATGGAGATATACAAATTACATGCTAATAAATTTAATTTTCAATTTGCTTTGCAAAATTATGTTTGGCCGAATTGTAAACATTGTTTTCAAATGATTTAAAAATATAAAATATCTAGTTATATAAAAGATTAAAATGTTTACAAAAATTAAGGGCGTAGAACGATCGTAGAAGAACTGCCAAGAGCTAAAGCTAGCTAGTAAGCTAAATTCATATTTCAAAGGTATTTTTAAAGTAAAAACATGTTTTAATCAAACGGACACAGACAGTCTGCTCAAAACTTATTCTAAGAATTAATGGATCATAGTCATTTTAAACAGAACTAGACTCACGAAAATGATGAATGTGTACCACATGCATGAACTTGAGATAAAGCTTATAAAATAATTATTTATATTGCCGATAACAGATAAAAAAAAGTACGCCACTGACTATTATTATAAATCAACGTGTTATCATAAAACGTAGGTATGTCTCAATAATGTTGACATCTTTGTGTCGACGCGGTGTTATAAAGTGTGTGTACATTGTCTGTTATCAGTGCTTATCATTTAATAATATCTGTATATTTCCCATACCTAAATACACAATACCTAAGCTAAACATATTATACAAAAAAGGTCGTGGTGGCAAGAACCCGGCTTTTGATCTCTACAGGAACTCTACTACAAACAGATCTCTCTCCAAGTATATTTGATAATTTAAATTAAATTAAACACTTTAACAGTTTAAAACGCGATATATTAGTTAAACTTATTTGAAAATGATTTTTAACTTCGGCCTGACGTTTCGGATGCTTTCCGACGGTCTCCCCGTGACCACGGCTGCTGCAAAGCATCCGAAACGTCGGGCCGAAGTTAAAAATCATTTTCAAATAAGTTTAACCAATATATCGCGTTTTAAACTGTTAAAGTGTTTTATTTAAATGTGTACTACTCGCGTAAACTATAGACAGTGTTATAAGTATAAATAATAATTATAGTTGAACACCTATTATTTTACAAGTTACTAATACTATTCTCATGATAATTATTTTTAAGAATTGGAATTAATTTTACAATAGAGGACAGAAAAGCATGGGGATGCTTTTATACTTGATGAAAGGTAAAATACACTAGCCATATAAACAAACTATTTTTCGCCGTCAACCTTTTTTTTGCTTTTATATTTTATGTTAATTTTGTCTTTTTGTAATAATGGCTTTTATTAACGATTTATAGACAATTATATTCAAAGCTCACCATAGCATATGGAGTGCCTAACATTATGTTAAACTAAACTTGGAACTGAAATCTCAGAGAAACTAAAGTAGTTTTGATTTCAGTAGTTTATTTCTGTCTGTCTTCACGCAGAGGTCTGATAAAGTAGGATTTTATTAAAAATCGATTATAAACTCTATAATCGATTTCTAACTTATATAATGCCATCATGTGACTAAAAAATATTAATATTATTAAACAGGATTTTTTTATGTGATCATATTTTTAGGAAAGAAGCTTTTCAAGAAACAGACCCTCCTAAATGTAGAGTTACGTCCCATTAATAATAAAGTTACAGGAAAAACACAATTAAGACATAACCCTCTTAATTAATAAAATGTCTTAATTATTTACAGGAAAAACCATTCAAGTTGATGGATGTATTTTCTTTGGTGAAAGAGACAGCTCAAGTTGCCTTTAAGAAAAGGGATGGAAATTTGAGGAAGAAAATTATCCTAACCTTGTCCGTAGTGGCCATTGTATACGGGCCAAATCACGGTAAAACCAAACTGCAATCATGTTTATTTGTTCATGAATATGTCCAAATAACAAATTAACTTTCTTATTCTTTTTGCGATTGTTCCTAAAAAGTCAACGTTAAGTCCAGTTATAGTCAACCATTAAATTAACAGTCTTGATTTTTTTAAAGCGTGAAATATATATGTTGAATTATTTTTAATTACACATTCGCAAAACGAGTGCAGTTAGTGGGCGTCCCTAATGTTAAAGCCAAATCTGCCATCTAGTTCTGATTCCCCAAATATCATTTGCATCTAAAATGATACGAAACAAAGTTAAGTAAATTTTAAAATAACACCAAGATCCGTAGAATCAACTCTCCAGATTTAAATAAAACACTAACGGTTTAAAACGCGATATATTGACTTCCCCGTGACCATGGCTGCTGCAAAGCATCCGAAACGTAGGGCCGAAGTTAAAAATCATTTTTAAATTAGTTTAACTATCGCGTTTTGAACAGTTAAAGTGTTTTCTTTAAATATGTACTACTCGCGTAAACTATAGACAGTATTTAACTGTCAATAGTTGAACCTAGGTACTTCAGAAAGCAAGTTCCTGTTACTTTAACTGCACTAAACAATTTCAGAGATACACTTAGATAATGCCGAGTACAACTTGCCAAGAGCCAACAGAGCATGAAATTTTTAGGTTGCGTAAAGCAATAACATTAGATACATCTAGTTCGGGGACACAACGAATTTCATTAAACATTCAATGTTCGCTGGCAAACTGAATTCAATGGATTTTTATTCAGTTGCCCAGTGACTACGACATTGAACTGTATGTATATTGTTATAAGAGTTACTTTTGATCGGCAGGCGAGAGAATAATCACCTACATGTTTGTGAGATATCGGCTGAAATGGGATGCTTTAAAATTCAGTTTCTACTCCACTTATAGTGTCATCACACATTCTCTAGGTAAGGCCACAAATGTATATCTCATTATGTATTTTAATTTCCTTTGCTTTGCTTGACGGGGTCGTTGGTGTAATAATAGCTACGTACGGCTACTAATCAATCGTGGGTTCGACCCCCACCAGGTACAACATTTGTCTAATCAACTTATAGTTTTCCTGAACTGGACTGCGCCTGGAAATCTGGATATTAAATAGATGGTAGGAATATCGAAATTCCGTCTGCGTCACAAACCACCGGCCACAGATGAAAAAGCCGTGAAGTTTAATCACGTTTCGGTATCGGCCTTTGGATTTTCGAATATCCAAAGTCAAAAATGGGTCAGCAACGCATTTTGTTTAGATGCTATAGTCTGGGCTATTTCGCCTACCATCAAGTGATCTCCTTGTCATTAAATAGTATCCCACTGTTATTTTAACCCACCAGCTCAGCTACGTTGGCTAGTGCGATTATCGCCACTTAATTATATATATTTTTTTCATCAGGAGCACTTTTCTCAATCAGTGTCTTTAGCAAACGTTTGGGCTTCGATGACAGTGTCTTAGCTTTGATTTCCATTGTCAGTAAAATGATCGGCTCCATCTTCATCGCGTTTGTGCAGACGGACTTTGAAATGTTTATGGGTAAGTAGCATGGAAAACAACAAGTCATGCATATATATTTCCAAACATCCAAAGCGAAAACAGGTCGATGGCGAATCTTGTTTAGATGTTCTATGGCTTGTCTGTCCTCCCCTTAAAAAAATTGGCACTATATCTTGTTCTATAATTTAATATAACTGCGATAGTGTAGTTGTCAGAGCTGGAACACCTGTATGTTTGGCTCGACTCCCCTACCTACGAATATTTTGAAAATGGTATTAGTACGTTGATTTTTTTTTCTTAGTAGTGATGTAGTAGCGATTGGGCAGTTGTGTTAGATGGATAAAATTCGTAAAAGTATTACTTATCTGTATGTTTAATTTATGAATATGCTGTCAAGTAAATAGAATAAAAAAAACGCTAGCAAAATACGACGTGGATCCATTAAATAAAACAGTGCATTAATTGAGTTTCCTTAAAAAAGTAATTTAAATTTCTATAAGAAGAAGACTTATATCTTATTGTTGGTATAGAAATATACACTATATAAAATAAAAAATCGAATCCTTTTCTAAGCCCTACTAACAATATCCATTACATAGAGACGATATTGTGCTTTAACTCCTTATAAATAAACACTATTTTAGGATAATCCGATACGTGCTAAGAATTTCTATCCTTCCAGTGCCCATCGTAGAAATACTCAATGCAACAACATTCACGTCGTTAAGGTCGATGGCCTCTAAGTTGGTGCGCGACGAAGAAATGGGTATGAATTTTATATTAACAATTTCGTAGATCCGATTAGAAACATCACAGTGTCGCATTATCGAGATATATTCGAAATCATATTTCTATTATTGGTAATAAGCATAAATCTTTAGTAATATATGCGCAGCTGAAGAGTTTGAACACGCTACTCTCAGGAACCACTGGTTCGAATTGAAAAATTATTTTTGTTTTTGTTAGAACATTTATCGAGAAAGGCTATAAAACATCGCCCTGTGACTAATACAAGCGAAAATACAGTGAGAAATGTAAAAATGGGTAAATTATTGTTTCCGAGGCGTAGGTACTAAAAAAATCCGCGACGCTATATGTCTATATTTTATAAGATTAACTTGCAAGAACGACGGGAACGGACGCGACCTATGTAGTAAGTAACGGCTTAAGTTTATAAAGATGAAGGGGTTTGCAAGAACGAATTCAGATGCCTAAAATAACGACTCTCGCGGTCGAAGCCGCTGAGAGAGCTAGTATTTAAGAAAGCCCAAGACAATTTACAACATTTTTCGCTTTTAAAAGGCTGTACTTTTCTAGCCATTGCAGTGTATTTATGATTATTATTTGTCGAAAATAATAAAAATTAATAAAACAAACAAACAAACAAAAACAACAAACAAAAAAACAATAAAACATATACTTACATCTGAATACAACACTTATTGGTTTAAAACGCGAAATATATTAAAATAGCATCGTACACTTAGGGCCGTGTTTAATCAAAATTGTAAAAAAAGTGAACAGACTCAATGACTTGACATTGACGTATGTCAATGTTAAAAGTTTATCACGTCGTTTACTTTAACTCTCTTTATGAGAGACTTAATTTAATTATTATATTTTTTGTGTGTTTTGATCTGTTAACTAGCAAATTATTATACGACTACTATGTTGTTATTTAGTCTATTATTTATAATTAGAATTCACGTTATTGATTATTTTGTGAATGTCTATAATAAATGTATGTGACATTTGAAAATTGTAAATAAATTAATTAATTTAAAAAACCGTACATATTACACGTTTTAAAGCCGTTAAAAGTGTTTTATTTAAATGTGTTCTACTAGCGCAAACCACAGAGTATACTTGAAGATCGATTTCATTTAAATTAAAATGTTATAATATATGTTACACACATGTATTAATGTATATCTGTGATTTCCAGGAAAAATGAATTCCCTATTCAGCTTGGTGGAGACTTTGGCGGCTTTGCTCTTTGATCCGACCTACTCCATACTCTATGCTCGCACCCTGACTGTGTTTACAGGGGCTGTGTACATATATAGTGCGATTCTGACTATACCAGCCATTTCTATGTTATTGTAAGTAACAGTTACTAGTATAATATTTATTAGATTAAAAAAAACCACGAGCGGGATTAGAACCCACGACCAAAATGATTCGTGCTGTTGCTCTGTTCTAATTAAACCTCATGAATTTTTATCTGTGCATGGGGATTCGTGACACGTACGGAATTTCGATATTTCCACCCATTTACTGCGTACTTTCAAAGAAGGCCAAAAAATTCAAAATTATTAGAAACTTGTTGAACCTGGTGGGGATCGAACTCACTGCCCGTTCTTTATTAGCCATTCATTGCTACCATAAGACCAACGAGCCCGTCAAATCTTATAATGTAACTTGTATTATACTCGTAAGACAGATGTTTATGTACTCATTCGTTCTTATGATTTTTAAATAATTCATATATTATAACTTTAGTAACAATAACTCAAATTAAAAAACGTTAAAGCTTATAAAAAAAAAAAAAATTTTTAAAAAAAAATTTTAATTTTGGGCCGACGTTTCGGACCTTTTCTTTTAAGTCAGAGACATCCTCCATCTTTAGTCTTTCCGTGACCATGGCTGCTGCAAAGCATCCGAAACGTCGGGCCGAAGTTGATTTTTTTTCAAATATACTATACGCGTTTTTTAACCGTTAAAGTGTTTTAACAAACTACAGACAGAATGCTTATATGAAGCTTAATTAAATCCTTGCGTTTAAATCAACTCCATCAATGAAACAGGCCCAGAAATATACCAAAAGGGAAAACGGCGTTTTAATTTAGTTTATATTGTTAACCGGGAATCAAACAGCAATTCTTCTTTTTTTTCTACTATTTTCTATTCTATTATCAACTAATATAATATTAAAACAACCACACTAAAGAAAACCCCGTGTCTTCGGCCGCATCTGCGTGATTCTGCAAATTCCAACTTTTATTACAGAGCCTTAGCGATTTCTATTCAGGCCTCGTCATTCAGATTTCTACAATGGGAGGCCATTTGAGACGTCATGTCAGCCTAAGAACAAATCTCAAACAAGTATTATTAAAGAGCAAAAACCCGTGACGTGCAATTAAATTTTATTCCAGACGTTTCTATAAATTATTACATTTTATTTATCATAAATTCTTTGTTGTATCTTTAAGTAGGAGTTGGGAAAATAGAAATTACTGTTCTTAATTCGAATTTCTTTCTGCGCTTAGGACGACGACTTCTTTTAGATTGTAAAAAGTTACGTAACGCGTTACAGAGCATCCTGTTTGGCTTTTATCTATGACATATGTGAGAGTAGTAGATAAGTTTATTTATTTTTTATATAGACGTTTCTAAAACATGTTGGGTTTTGTCTGGAAATATGTATAAGGGTGCTTTGAATATTAAAGTAGTCTAAAAATGGGCATGAACTAACACTTATATAAAACACTTTTAATAGTTTAAAACGCGGCATATATTAGTTACCTTCTCTACGGCAGATGCATCATAAACTTCAAGCCGTAATTTAAAAAATTAACCTACTTATATATGTTGCTTTTTAACCCGTCAAAAGTGTTTTATTTAAATGTAAGATAGTTAATGCCCGTTTTTAGACTACTTTCATATCTAAAACACCCCAATACACCCCTACAATAGCAGAATAATGAGAAATCATTAAGTTGAAGTGTTGTGTCAATGTTTGTGAGTTGAAAGTGTATAGACTGACTTTCCCCGCAGGTGGCTGTTTGTTCGAAGGGAAAGCCGACGGAGGGAAGAAAAGGACATCGAGAATTGACTACTAGAAGCCTCCTTTCGTACTTAGCCATTATTACTAACGTATGTCTAATCTAAGTTTGCTAGGACGGCAACACATTGATCAGGGATAAGCGATAGCGGCGCGGTAGAGATTTTTTTTACTTATAAATAAATTTATTTAAAATAAGACAGCATATCATTGTTTTTCGGTCTGTTCGGCCGACGTGAGCGAGAAGAGGTTTCCGAGATTTCGTCATCACGAGCGATTACTCGAAGAATTATTAAATAAAATAACTCTTCGAGCAATCGAGGAGCTAGCATCTCTTGATGATGCCGTCAGCTCAAGATGGTGAAACGTCCAGAACCTCTTCTCGCTCACATCAGCCGAACAGCCCGAAACACTATGATATGCTGAACATTGACCGTGAAAGCTTATTTTAGTAAATTGTGTATGTGTTTATTAAAATAAGACGGTTTTAAATGTCGTAGTGGGAGAGAAAGTTAAAAATAATAATGTTTATTGTTCGCGTAAATTGCACGCTTTTCTTATTACAAGCATTTTTTACAAAGTGTGAAAAGATGTTAGTTAGTTTAATAATTCATTCATTCAACAATTAAGTGACCGCGAGGGTATTTTACTTTTCAAAATAATTTATCTGCCTATAAAATGAATCCACCCCACCCATACCATCTTGGTAGTTGTCGTATTGCAAATAGCGAAAAGTCTTAGGTTCGCACTGGAGACACAACATTTTCCGTCAGATGTTGTACATAGATATGATTACCATGGTAAATAACATCGATCATTGTGACACAAAAGTATGTCTAAATACTGTCTATAGTTAAATAAAACACCTTAACGGTTTAAAACGCGATAAATTAAACTTACTTGGAAATGATTTTTAACTTCGGCCAGACGTTTCGGGTGCTTTGCAGAAGCCGACTAAAGATGTCTCTGACGTCAAAGTAAAAAATTGCTACGCTAGCGCCATCTGTTCCGTCGAAGTTGGTATTTGGCGAAACTGGCCGGGTCCTTGCAGAATTGACTAACGGTGTCTTCGCGTTTGCCGGTATGCTGTATGCGGTATGCAGCATATTTAAAAGTATGTTTGCCAAATAGAGGAAATGGGCTTTTGATATTTTTACACGGTATTATTACCCCAAGACTGCTGTTATCACATTGTCGCATTAATGCGTTTCCAATAAATGTACTCCTGTAACGACCAAGAAAGATGTGAAATGTCTGTAGTTTACGCGAGTAGCACACATTGAAATAAAACACTTTAACCGTTTAAAACACGATATGTATTAGTTAAACTTATTTGCTAGTCACGGGGAGACTAACATGAGAACGTCGAAAAATCTTTTATTTAGGTGTCAAAAATAATGTCAATTGTCATTGTATGAAGTGTCATGTAATATTTGTATTTTTTATTTGAATCTCTGTGTATTAATAAATAAAAAAATGTTCTATGTTACTTTTAGCATATCCTACTTTGCCTGATGATAGTCCTGATATCCTCCACAGTTTTGTTTTAAAAAATGTTTAGAAAAATGTTGGAACGGATAGAGCTCGAACCGAAGCCGATTATTAGCTAGACATTGTTACCATTACCGAGTCCGAGTTTATAAACAAAGTATTTAAGAAGGTGATCCAACTTCCAGCTAATTTGCTTATATCTAAAAAAAGATCTTGTTAACATATATACTGCAAAAAGTGATGCTTAATTCTATTTTAATTATTTCATAGCTCGGTATTAGAGTTTTTTTTATTCTTGTTCAACTGAATTAATTTTTTGCGAGATCTTTACAGACAAGAAGAGGTTTGAAAACTTAAATGTAATATTAAGATCAAGGCTTTTTAATGTCAAGATTATCTAGTTGCAGACATAAAAACCGAACCGGTATTAACATATGTGCAACCGTAAAGATATATTTAGGTGATATACCGAGTTTTTTACCCCTTTACACAAGCTGTGACCGCGACTTCGTACGCGTGAAATAATGATTTTCGGTATTATAGTATTTATTTTGCAAACAAGCCCCATAGCTGTATAAATCAAAGCTATTAAATACAGCGTCGTCGTTCTTGCGCGTTAATCGTAAGATATAGATATATATTGTGGTGTAAGCTTTTTTAGATCAGCTAAAGAAGAATCATGCTTTCGTACACAGTTTTATCTTTTCTTGAATCATTTTCGCAGCGCACAACGGGGAAGATAATTTTTTCTCGTTTTTTCCACATTTCCCACTCTTACTTCGCATTGGTCGCAGCCGGGTGTTTTGAAGCCTAAAACCTTCCTCAATAAATAGTGTATTTAACGCACATTTCACTCAATAGTTCCCGAGATTAGCGTGTTAAAAACAAATAAACAAACATACTCTTCAGCTTTTTAATAGCAGTATATATATGTAATAAAAAGGTGAGTACCGTCTGTCTACAAGACTGTTATAAAACTAAGAAAATGTTGAAAAATACTTTGTATTGTAAAACTAATAAAGTATTTTCACGTAACGTAAAAACTTTGACCCGAGGCAGGCATCCATAAGTACTTATGCTAAGAGAGCGTTCTTACAATGTTATAACTAATGTAAGTTCTAAGTGGCTTATTAATACTTCTTGAAAATGTAAGTTAGTAGTAAAATAAACATACTAATATATAAAACTGAAGTGTTTGTTTGAACGCGCTAACCTCAGGAACTACTGGTTCGAATTGAAAACTTATATTTGTGTTGGTTACAGCATTTATTGAGAAAAGCTATAGGGTATAAAATATCGCCCTGTTACTAAAAGAAAAGCGAAGATACAGCGAGAAATGTGAAAAATTTTGGGAAAATTATTCATCATTATGGGTTTCCGAGGCGTAAATATGTATGAATGAATGAATCCCTTTTAAATGATCTATAAAAAAACTCTGCGACAGTGTATGTCTACATTTTAAGATTAACTTGCAAGAACAACGGGACGCGGATGAAGTCATGGGTAAAGGCTTAAATTTGTAGTCGAACAGGAGGTTTGCAAAACAGACTTGATGCCTAAAATATATGTAATGAATGACATTGACATTCAAAAAATTAAAATTGCCGCGCTTCGCGTTGATAAGCTGTGAGTGCAACATGGCGGATGATGTAAAGAACTAAAGATAATTTTGTATAGATTGTGTTATAAAGTAATATATAATTTGGTATATAATAATAAATATTCATTGTCGCTTTTTTATATGTTTCAGGTAAACTTGTAATTTATTACTGTAAATAATCGTTGTTTTTAATTGTAAGAGCAAGTTGAAAAATAAATTTTATATTTTTCAAAGAAACAAATTTTGTTTTTCATTTCGGAAAATCCTAAACTAATCTTATAATAATTAATAGTATTTGAGCGGAAATCGAACCTACCGTGTTTTACGCAATGCTAAGCTACCTAACTTCTATTCTCTTCTTCGAGGACGTACAACAAAATATGTATTTTTGCCTTAAATAATATTTTTATATACTACAGAAGAGCAGATAAGCATGGGGTTCCCTTGATGGAAGGTAAAATACCTGAGCTATATAACATCTAAATAAACAAGTTAGGCTATTGACCTGTTATAGCCTTTAGATACTACGGAACCTTACTTACCTTATTAAAATATTAATTCAGTGATTGATCACTGAGCTAAAATTAATAATAGGATGTGTAGCGTGTAAAAAAAGTTGCGAATCCTGTGAGAAATATTTGATTCCATCTCTCTCTGTCTGTGCCAGCAAAGGGCATGTAGATTTCCTGTTTTACTGGTTATATTTGCGCACTTTAAAATTCACGTTAGTTCAACGCACGAAGTCTATATATAAACACAAAACCTTTATCATACAAGTAAGTACATAAGAGTTTTACTGTAGTAAGTATGACATTTTTTTATATTGGTATGTTTGTTTGAAGGTACTCCAAACCCACGTACATATGTTAAAACACTTTAAAGTTCCACTAAAATAATGGATTGATTATCCTTAGAAAATAACAGCCTATTGATGTCCCTAAGCTTTATTAAATCAACAATTATAAAATATAATTAAATAAATTTGTTTTATGCCGGGCTTATTCGTCTAACGGTAGCAACGTCTAATATTAAACGACTTTACTTTAGAATAAAGATGTTAGACTTTGTCTGGAAAATTTGGGTATTAATAGAAACCATATTTTGGGAAATCTAGTGGAAAAGCTGTGATAACATGCGTATTGGTTTTAGTCTGTGGCTTTCCGAATGTCCAAATCCAAAATAGGACGACGACGCATCTTGTTTAGCTGTTGATTGGCTATTTAACCTTCCATCTAGTGAGGCACATGTTTATCTGTCCTTCGCAGACACAAATAAAAAAAACTTTGAGCGATAAATTAATTGCTAGTTTATTTTCAAACTATGCTCATATACAATACATATATTTTTAAACTCTACGTTCTAGTTTCGCAAATTTTATCTTTAACATTGATTAGATATTGAATCGAAATGAATTACAAAATTTACTCGCTAGTTGCTAAAATATGTAGATCTTAAGATAACGGTATTTTGGTTGGGACAGCCTATTATTCTATTAGATAACGAGAGTCCCATTTAAAATATATGTCTGTCACTGTTCGATTAGTGGCAAGTTGCTGATCAAATTTGTGTTCAATTAACATTAGCCGGGATTCAAACCTAGAACTTTTCGCGCTTAACTCATTGTGGAAGATGTCAAACTAATGATATCTGAGTAAAGTTTGATTAAATAATAATTATATAAAATTATAAATATTCTAATAATTTGACGGGCTCCTTGGTGGGTTTGATCCACGCCGAGTAAAACATGTTTCTAGTCCAATTATATTTATTCTGACACATGGATTTCGTCTGGAAATCTGGATATTAAATGGGTGGTTGGAATTTTTTAATTCCATCCGGGTCACGAACCACCGTGCACAGATAAAAAGGGCCGTAAAGCTTCATCTGTGGATCCAAAACGAAACATGAACATCTGAACATCTTGCTCAGATGTTAAATGGCTAAGGCATTTCGCCTCCGCTTAAGAGAATGCTTGTCTGTCCTCATCTATATTAAAAAAACACACACACAGCATCTTATGTATATAAACATAACTTTTAGCGTGATACAATTGTTTATTGTATATTCAGCAGAGCAGACACGATTAATTCAATATTACACTGTAAAATAATATAAAACATATTCTACTGTATGTAAATTGAAAATTTAATATTAACCACACGTGACCACAAGTATACGTAAAGATTGCATAGAAATGTAAGAATCATTTATTGTACAGACTTTATATTATTCTTTTATAACAAAAAATAATAATTTTCTATTTGTGAATTGTGTAGACTATACTACCTTTTATTTTAGTAGTTGTTAGTCTATAAATTGTATACATAGGTCAAATAAACAATTGTAATTAGGACAAAAAAACGTGATGTTTAACAAAGCCGTATTATAGATTTTTAAAATCGAGCAAGAAGAAGAAGAAGAAATTTATCACTAATAAAAAAAGAAATATCTAATACTAACAGCATATTGAAAACAAAATAGATGGCACGGGACTTGAACCAGTATCCACACGCTGATCTAACCAATTGAACTACCGTGTCCTACACGTCATTGTCGAATTTCTTCAACCCATGGTGTACTTCTCGTCATCATTTGTTAAATACTGTCTATAGTTTACGCGAGTAGTACACATTTAAATAAAACACTTTAACGGTTTAAAACGTCAAAAAGTGTCTCCCCGTGACCACGGCTGCTGCAAAGCATCCGAAACGTCGGGCCGAAGGTAAAAATCATTTTCAAATAAGTTTAACTAATATATCGCGTTTTAAACTGTTAAAGTGTTTTATTTAAATGTCATCATTTGTTTTCAATCTAAATAGATTTAAACGTGTAAAAGTATTAATTAAAACGTCTCAATTTACTCTAACAATTTGAGTTGTGCATCTCTCATTTTAAGCCATTAAATAAATTACTAACAAAAGGTTTGCTAAAATAACAAGTCCTAAATTTATTTCGAAGCTATAGCTAAATAGCGTACGTAAAATATGGACAAAAACACGAGATGTATCAAGGCCCTTTCGCAAAACTATCGCATCCCATGACGTACAAGGCAATTGCTTAAGTAAATAATGATCTGTATGAATGTCCCTATTATATAGCTCTGCTTCTGGTCAGTGTTATTGGAGTCAGCAATAATGTGACCGCCTCTAGACTTTCAAACGCGTTGAAATAATCTGTGTTCTGTGCCGGTGTTAAAGGTGTTAATTTTTTTGTTAAACCACTCGATTTGTTTACGATTTTGTTTGTCCACACACGAATGTTTATTTCTAATAAATTATCTGCTAAAAGCATAAATAAATAAAAATTCTCGCGTTGATGCTCTGTCCATTAAAGTTATTTTTCTACTTAATTATTTACTAAATCGTGATTTTTTTCTATTACATGTTTGCAAGATAAGGTAACTTTTTTAGTTCCATAACCTCTTTTACAATATTTATTGCAACGATAAGCTAATATCACATTATCTTACAGTTCTTATACATCACTAGAACATGAAAATTTATCGAAATATTGTGATAAATAAAAACAACCACAATATGGTAGACTACTTTATTTAAAATATATTAATATTTATTATATTATTATTACCGGGTATTATTATTACTTTCCAAGAAAAGCTAAAATAGAGAATTAGACTTACTCGTTAGTCGAGTTTGTTTGTCTAATAGTAACAATGTATGAATAATCATCAACGGGTCGAGGATTCGATCTCCGTGAAAAAGCCGTATAGTTTGTGTCTGTGGATTTCCGAATATCCAAAGCCAAAATAGGTCGATAAGATTTTATATTACTAAGTATATCACCTTCCATGGTTGTCAATCTTCCTCAATAATTGACAAAAACAATAGGTATATTTTTGTAGGTATACCTTTTGCACACGACAAAATATAATTTACGAACCACACATATAATAAGTAACAATTTGAACAGATTAAGTGATTTTAGGTTTATCGTGATCGTAATGATTGTGTCACCTATTTTCCGCTCGATAATTTTTATATAGAACCGGTATTCATCTAGAACGTACAAAGTACCGTGTTGAGACCGGTAGACCATAACATACATACAGAGTGTAATAGATACTCAAAGTAATGACAAATGGCTGAACGGTTTTCAAATAACACAAATTTGAATATATGACTGAAGGTAGCCAACAGCCATAGTTAAAATAAATCCTAGGTATAATATAGCTCGCGTTTCAATCAGTTTATTCTTTACTTTACGCATGATCTTCATAAACAAGGCGAAATTATACAAAGAGAACAAAAAATAATTCTGTTGATACAAATAAAACTTATATACTAGAATGGAGCAATATTTTGGGCATCCACATTCGTTTTTGCAAACCCCTTCATTTTTATAAACTTCGGTCGTCAACACGACGTCGTTTTCCATTTCCGTCGTTCTTGCAAGTTAATCTTAAAAGATAGACATATAGCGTCGGGAACTTTTTTGTAGGTCATTTAAAGGGGAATCATTCTTTGCTACATATTATTTGGATATCTTGAACCGTTTTTGCAGCGTACGCCTCGGAAACCCATAATGATGAATAATTATTCCAATTTTTCTCACATTTCTCGCTATATCTTTCTTATCTTTTATCTCTTTGCTTGTCACAGGGCGATATTATAGCCTAGCCTTTCTCGATAAATGCTCTAACAAAGCCTAAAAGAATTTTTCAATAGTCCCATAGTTCTTGAGATTAGCGCGTTCAAACAAACAAACTCTTCAGCTTTATATATTAGTATTGATATCTGACTTTACTAGTTTGATTAAAAGAAAGTTACCGCTCTAGTCTTAGACGATTCGAAGAATCAATTAACGTTTTCTCTTAGTGTATAAAACAGTTTTTAATATAAAATTTACTATACGATGTACTGAATATTGAATTTTAATACCTCTATTTCGGGCATGGAACAGATATATAACTGTGTCCATTTCATTTTTAGACAAAACAAACATACTTTAATGCCCTGCCCATAGGTTAAACTAATACAACAACAAAATAATACAACTTAATAATTATTAACAATAACAAAGTTGTGAAAACGAAAATTTAAAATTTAGGTGACTAAGCCGAAAATAGACTCGTTCTTCAAGTCTTTATAGCGGTACAATAATTGTTTAAATATTCAACAAAGGAAGCAAAACATGTTAATAATATTATTGTTTTATTAAACAAAGGCTTCATTTATAAATTGTTTAACAAGATTGTCAGCTATTAAATCGTTGTTAATGTCCTTATTACCCAATGGGTATAGGTAATAGGTAGTGATGCTACAACGATAATATAAAAAATAAATGAGTCCGAGCCTTTTTAAAAACATCATTCAACAATGGCTGAACTTATTTTGGGAATAATGGTCATCGTCCAATATATCACAATAACTAAAGAACATTACCATTTTATTAACGGATAACCAAAATAATGTTTTACCTTAAAAAGCTTTGATAACTCCTAATCAACAACCTGATAAACATATTAAGTAAAAGGACATACTTATTGACTTAGTAGTTAATACGAGATTACATTAGAGCCACAATTTAGAATGGTAATACTAATTTAATCCAAATCGTCCATATCCTCTCTTTGTTAAGACAACGGCCATTTAGTAATGTTGTGCGAGCAAAGTCAACAAATCGAGTGCTTATCCAACCAATAGTAACAAACACTCATTATCTTTAACATCATTATCTGCATAATTGATATGAAACAAATATCGGACAAGTAAATAATAAGTCAATTATTAGTCCACATTGGTGTTCATTGTGAAAAACGTTTTGCAAGCGTCCGATAACGAACGGAACATGGAAACACTGTGAGCGAATGTGAATATTAAAAACAAAATGGCCGATAACCAAGAAGACAAGACAGAGGAGAACCCGTTAAACAAGAAATTGGTTAAGTACAAGGATAGAAATTTCGCGGAGAAGCTATGTTACATAAAGGAGAATATAACGGTGGAGCCGCTGTTCGCTGGTCTCATCATACCCAGTGTTATATCCAGGTTTGCAATGGGCAATTTCAATTTGGACAAAGCGTGCAGAGTTAACTTCGCTTTCGGTGATGAAATCTGCACTGCCCTTGTCAAGAAGAACAGCAACAACTTCACGGAGTACGAGAGACAAGTCCAAACTTTGATATCCTCTATCGACATTTGGAGGAGTGTGATCAACACAGCGTTGCCATGTATAATCATCATGTTCCTGGGAGCTTGGAGCGATCGAACGGGGAAGAGGAAACTGTGCATCCTTCTCCCCATTTTCGGAGAACTAATGACGTCTATCAATAACATTGTTAACGTGTTCTTCTTTTACGAGATCCCGGTGGAAATCACTGTGTTCTTGGAGACTTTCTTTACCGCTGTCACGGGGGGATGGGTGACCATGTTTCTTGGTGTTTTCAGTTATATCAGTGATATAACGTCTGAACAGTCCAGGACTTTTCGAGTGGGCCTCGTCAACTTTTGTATGACTGTCGGTGTACCTATAGGTATCGCTGTGGGAGGGATTTTAGTCCAACGAATGGGATACTATGGTCTCTTCACTTCGACAAGTATTCTGTTCAGCTTTGTGCTGATGTATGGCTGCTTCTGTTTAAAGGAACCAGATGACTTTCTTCAAGGCAAAGGTTTACCGAAGGTGTGTACTTTTGCTTTTAAATTTTACAGATCATTTCTTCTCCTGATTTATTATAATACGCTAGTAGTTTGAATTATTTCGGCATTAGGGGATTTAACTCCCTTAAACTAGCTTTTACTCGAGAATCGAACCCAGATTCGCCGCAGAAAATGCTCTCGAGTTTGCCACTGTGCTTTTTAAAAATGTATATTTCATTGAAAGTTTATTTATTAATATTTTCCTTACATTTCATTCCTGTGTCAAAAATATCTATTGAAAAAACAAAATTTCAAAAGAATTTTATAAACAATCTAAAATAATAGTAATGTTAGGGTACATGTAAGAAATGGAATTCTTATGAATTATTTTTTAAACGATATTACTCTTAATCCACTTTATTTTATCGATATAACTCGCAATAAAATCATCATCTGCGTATGATTATTTCCCTAGGTATTTTCGCGATAAGTCATGATAGACAGTATAAAGTCACGAAACTACTGTTCGATTACGTGATGACATTACGTGACAAAACTCAATGTCTTTTACCTTTGTCTTTCAAACACATTCAATAAGCGTTTGGTGATAAATGTATGTAGATATTGTAATTAAGTTTAAATAAAAGACTTTAACGGTTTGAAACGCGATATATATATGTTAAAATTGTTTGAAAATTATTTACTTAAATTTTCATGTAAAATTGTTTACTTTGTCGTCAGAAACACCCTCAATCTTTAGTCTCCCTGTGACCGCGGCTGCTGCAAAGCAACCGAAACGTCGGAAACAATAATATTCAAACAAGTTTAATATATCGCGTTTTAAGCCCTCGAATTATTTTATTTAAATGTGTACTATTCTGGTAAACACACAACAGACAGTATTTAATTAAGACAATTATGGATATATAAAATTGAGGCTGATTTTTTAACCCAAAAGACTTCAAAGAACGAATCGAGTGTGTTTTGTTTTATCGAAATCGGTTTTGCGTTAATTATAAATTCACTTCACAGCTTTTTCCATCTGTGGTTGTTGTTCGTGACACGGATTTCAGATATATACATATATATTCTGCCACTCACAACGCCCATTCCAGCCGTCATGTCCAACATATACCTAAACAGTTACATAACAAAATTGATAGAAGTAAAATTATGACTCTAAAGAATCATATTCTGAAGAGTTCGCGTTAAAAACACAATATACAGGAGTACATACAAGAGAATAGAAACCGAGGCTTTCTTTTTTAAATTATTTGTTGACACAGCTTTCTTATTATGTATCTTAAAAAGCACAGACTCACGCAGAAAGTTACATTTATAATCCATATGTATATTTCAAAATACAGACAATACAATATTTGAAATTCGAACCGCTACTGCTTCTTATTTCTTTATAAGCAAGTTTTATACATATAAATTATAATTTAATATAATCTGTTTGAAAACATTAATATTTTTCACATGTTATTGCACATGAAGGCACTATATAATTTAAAAATCGAAAATAAATTGAAAAAAATTTTCGACTCGGGCAGGACTTGAACCGGCATCATCAGCTTTCCGCGCTGTTGCTCTACCAATTGAGGTACCGAGTCCTACACCTCATCGTCGAATTTTTTCAACTTATTGATACGTGCACCTCTCGCGCAATTTAATTAATATAATCTGTATTAAAAAAAAAATAAACAAAAATCACGTTTCTCTGTTCGACAAGTCGGTAATTAAGTTTCAAGATAATAATTGAAGAGTTGAAACAATAAGTGCTTATAAGAAGTGCAGTACATAACCGATAAGCACCCAGACAGGTGTACAGTAGATTATGTACACAGGGTGTTGCAAATGCATCTATAAGATTTATTGTCACGACTAATAGATACTAAAGTCAGTATAAATTAGTAAAACATTAGCGCTTTATAACAGACGCAGGGTAGGGGTTAATATATGTATAGGTGCCCCGACTGTTATAACATCGATTTCAAATGCGCTGCCGAACTATTTAGCCCTCAAAACTATAAGTAATGCTTATTAGTTTTATTTACTCTAAAAAATATTATTAAACGAATTTCGATATAACAGCGTAAACATTTAAATAACTTACAATAAAAATATTTAAGCCAAACTAAGCTAAAACGTTTAAAAAGCTTCTGTTCCATTCCAACTGTTCCATTTATAAATTACCTCACAATGGAGTTTATTAAGAATGGCGTAAGAATTTAAGGAACTTTTCTAGTTCATACGTAAGATAGGTTTAAAATTATCCGACATTTAATTACACTTAATTGGCCGCGACAATGCAATTACTAACAGTTATTAAACATAATTAAAAAAAGCATCGCTTGCTTTAATTAACAGGTTAGTTAGCTCTTTACTAACAAATTACGATATCTCGATATTACTTAAGTAGGTTGTAATAGCTAATAAAATAAAGAATGTGACTGTCTGTAGTTTAGACGAGTAGTCATTTAAATAAAACACTTTAACGCTTCAAAACGCGATATATATTAGTTTAACTTTTTTTGAAAATTGTTTTAACTAGGCCACGACGAAACGCCGGGTCGTATAAAACGAACAAAAAATAATCTACTTCTGTAGTTTACGTGAGTAGTAGTCATTTAAATACAACCGTTAAAAACGCCATATATATGAGTTAAAATAAATTTCCTGCTTTCGAATCCCAAAAATTCGATCGATTTTATATGGTAATAGCTGATTAGATGAATTAGCTATTACCATAAAATCGATCAGTGATGACACAGAAATGTGTTCGCTCCATACCCCATAGCGATTTCACTCAAGTTACGTCGAAAAATACGAAAGTTTCAATGCTCTTTTTGTATATGGGACAGAAATAATATTTTAAACTGTTTTCAGTTGAATTTGGATCGAAAAAAGTTGTGTGACACGGGATTCGTTTAATACACTATGGAGTATTAAAAAAAAAAGAAATAGATACAGATAGAAAATGATTAGATACTGTACGGCCATAATCACAACTGTACTTACACAAAACTGTACCTTGTCGTCTAGAGGAGTTTTTCCTGGCTACCTTACGAGAGTACACATTTAAATGAAACATTGTTAACGGTTTAAAACGCAGAAATCATAGTTAACGTATCTCTCTACGATGTTTCAACTTCGAAGTAGTCGTTAACGCGAATTTTCTTTTTCGTAACCGGGACGGAAAAAGTTCCTACAAAAATTAATTATTGCCTTTGAATACACCTCTAGAATTACAAACAATAAGTATTTAGGTCAACTACTTCTGTTTTGATTAGATAAAATCTAATGACATGCATATTATAATTATCGCCACATTTCGAAACGTGGCGATTTGCGGTTCTGAGAATTTGTTGTTTCGTTTTCCGTGAAAATTGTGATATCGTTTGTTTTGAGAAAAGAGGAATCAACGATATTCATTCTATTCAGTCTACTGATTACGTGAAATGTAATCACAATACATACATCTTTTACGGATGTTAAAAGCATCGGTTTTGTGAATTAAACACTTTTAAACTTTAAACAGTTTAAAACCGCGAAATTAAAATAAGTTTACTATAATAATATATTTTGCGTATTAAACCGTCACAGTTGATCGAAATGTACTTTTTGGTTACACTGCAGACAATACTTAACATTAGTTTTTCGGGCTGTTCGGCCGAAGTAAGCGAGAGAGGTTCTCGACGTTTCGCCATCACGAGATGTTGTTAGCTCGAAGAATTAATTCTTTGAGCAATCGAGGAGCTAACGAATATGCTGAACGATGGCCGTGAAAGCCTGTAGTATCTTAGAACTTCAATTGTAATTAACCGTGGACCCATTATGTGTGTATAATCGCTCACTAAGGTATAATTTTAGCCGCCTTACATAAAAAATAATCTATTACTGAAAGAGACACAGAAATGTCCCGTCCCACTTTGGAGTAATGGGTCTGACATAGATGTTGACTTCAATTACCATCGTGGCCTTATCGTATTCAAGTAATCTTTATTGACTGAATTATCGCGTTTAAATCTAGTTATTTTTATACATATTTTATTTAAATAAAACCATTTCTAGCGGTCCAAAACGCGAAATGTATCGGATAGATAGTCCAATGTTTCAAATATATTCCACCAGCCGGTCTGTGGACTGTTAAAATTTAAAAGTGTTTGGTTTTTGTGTTTAACTAATATAAGCGTATTACTTATTACACAGTCAGGTTGTCTATACTAATATTGTAAAGCTGAAGAGTTTGTTTGATTGTTTGCTTGATAGCGTTATTCGCAGAAACTACGAATTCGAAATTGTTAACTTATTTTTGTGTTGGTTAAACCAATTATGGATGAAGACTTTAGGATATATAACACGACGCTACGGCCAATAGGAGCAAAGAAACTGCGAAATATGGGAAAAAAGGGGAAAATTATTCCTCGAGGGCTTCCGTTGCGAGCGCTGTGAAAAAGGTTCTTCTCCTTTAAATTATCGTGACGTGATGAGAAGCGAGGATGACATTATCCGCCTCTCGCCACAAATATAAAGCTTAGAGGGTAGTTTGGAAAAATAGATATTTTGATGCTCAAGATAACTTTTGCACAGGAAGTGGCGGACACATTTAGTTTTTTTTATAATCTATATACATAACTTTTCAATGATGATTCTTATTTACTTTTCAGATCGAGAGAACTGGCAGCAAAGATGTAGCGTTCTTCGACGTATCTCACGTTGTTGATACAGTGAATGTTGCGTTTAGACGACGCTCCTCCAATTCCAGGGCTAAAGTTATTCTAACTCTCGTCGCAGTATTTATAATATATGGGCCCGCTATGTGTAAGTTTCCTATAGACGATTTAATTATTTGTGATCACTGATGAAGGTACATTAGTGGTTATTTGTATCGTTTTACGTTGAAACGGCTTGACCGATTTTAGTAAAATTTCGCCTTTTTTAAATGAACATCGGGTCTACTTGAGGGTAGCTGAAATACCCCAGCCTATAGTATCTACACAAGATGCGCAGTCGGCTTATTTTGGCTTTGAATATTCGGAAATCCACAAACTGAAATCGAAACGTGAATAAGCTTTACATCTTTTTCATCCGTGAATTGTGGTTTGCGACCGGAGAATAGCGATATTTCTACCACCCATTTTAATATCCAGATTTCCAGACGAAGTCCAACATGTTTGTTATGTCATATGGATAAACGATGACAACGCAAACTAGTTCTCTTTGATTGCACTCTTTGATATAAAGAATATTATATAAACTGCCGGCGTTTGTTTTAATATAAATATGTACATAATTTTAAAAATGAGTCGTCTAAACAAGTTTTGAGTATTGACTGTAGTTTACGCCACTAGTACAGATTTAAATAAAATTTTCAAGGCTTAATAGGCGAAATATATTATTAGTCAACTTATTTTTAATTTATGTTAACTACGGCTGATGTTTCGGATGCTTTGCTAGCAGTTAGTACAGCAACCGTTCTAATCCTGTTGTAAACTGTTTAAATTATGTCATTAATTTTTATAACGCTATTAATTTATTAGGTATACAATAAATAATAATGTTTTGTTGTTGGTTGTTTTAATAAGTTTAAATTCAAATGATTTTCTTTTTTCAGCGGAACACGGAGTATTTTATTTATTCGTAAGGAACCAACTCAACTGGGACATGGTGAAGTACAGCTTTTTCGCAAGCTACTCCATCATCCTTCATTCCATTGGTAATATTCATTAAGCCTCAAAAAGATATTTCGCGTTACGATCACGCTAAGCTTACAAAAGAAGAAATTCGCCATTACATTATTTTCATAAAAATAGTAAATATATATATATATATATATATATATATAATAAACTATTAGTCCTTATTCTTCCAGGTGTCATGTTCTCGATAACAGTCCTAAGCAAGAAGCTACAACTGGATGACTCGCTACTATGTGTTATAGCTATGCTGAGCAAATTCACTGGCGCAGTGTGGACAGCTTTCGTTAAGACGGACATAGAAATGATTCTTAGTAAGTATTTATTAGTTTAAGAATAAGTAATAAAAAGTATATAAGTAAATATAAGAGTATCAATAATCCAAAGTGCGAATGATAACAATAAATTGTTTAGTTTAGACAAACCACAGAATGAAGCAGAAATATAGACAAAACTAAATTTAATACAATAGAAAAGGAAAAAATATAAGAGTAGGCTAGACAAGAGGCTGTACAGCCATTGATGACTGTGATAAAAATTAAATAATTTTCAGATCGAAAATTTTTTTCTTCAATATATCAATAAACGTCCTTTGAATTGTCTAATTAAATAATTGTATTATATTTATCGCCATCTTCGTGTTTATTTCCAGTTCCCATCATAGAATTCTTTTCATCGGCAATCATGACGTCACTGCGGTCGATCATATCGAAACTGGTGGAGAAAGATGAAACAGGTATTTTCAATTATTGAAATTACATCTATAAAAAAAGCCTATTGCTGACTTGCTCGTTGTGTTATGGTAACAATGTATGGCTATCGGTCGCTTATTCAATTAATTTTCTTGTTGGAATTTCTCTAGAAATCCGGTTGTTAAATGAATGGTAGGAATGTCAAAATTCCGTCCGGCACACGAAACATCGTCCACCGCAAATCGCGTTTCGGTTGTAGGTCTATGGATCTCCGAATATCAAAAGCCAAAAAGTGACAGCGCATCTTGTTTAGATGTTATAAAATAATACACATAAAATATAATAATACAACGACTTTTTTCGTTCTTTGTTTCAACTTTACATAGTCGTAGTAGGTTAAAAGTAAAAAAAAAATCAATTATATGGAATAAGCGTGATTTATAAAAACATATTAAGGAAGAACTTTTCGTTTTGTTATATTGAAAAAGATGTCTGAACGATGATTAACAATCCAATCTTTGCCATGGTTATCAAATTTCTACGAACAGTATGAATATGTAGATATACCTAATTTTACATTTAAATTGTGACTTAATTTCCACCTGTATCATAATATTCTCACACCTTACTTTTGTCTATTTTATTTCAGCAAAGGTAAACTCTCTCTTCGCACTTACGGAAACACTAGCGTCTCTGGTCTTCCACCCGTTGTACTCCTGGCTCTATATGAAAACTTTGAAGGTCCTTCCAGGAGCTGTATTCCTCACTAGCGCTAGTTTGATCATTCCTGCATCTGTTATCTTGGTGTAAGTTTATTATATTTTTTAATTTTGCTAACAAATTGAAATCCTCTTGGTGTATTTTTAAAGTATTCAAACTAAATAATACAGGCTTTCTTATCATATCAATCAATTTAATATATCGTTGTTTTAAGCAATAAATAAATGTCTTTATTAGGTTCTACTATTGGTTTTGTGTTCTAGTTTCATATTTAACTTAAATAATTTAAGGTAAGAAAAGCATGTAATTAATCTAATATATATTTTTTTTGTGTCAAAATGATAGCTACCATACTCCAAAGCGGCTTGACTGATTTTTATATAATTTTATATGCATATTTAGTAGGTCTGAGAAACGATTACTGTCTATTGTTCGTAGCCGTAAGTGGCAAGGCCCACTATTTTTTTTATGTGCTATAAAAATACATACAACCGTAATTTTTCACTCACCTGTCACCAACCCCTATCTTTTCAAAGTTGTTTTTGCAATGTAATCATTTTTCATAGAGTGGCAATAACTGGTCAAGTATCAGTTATCTTCCCAGACCAATGTCACTTCTCGTCTAGGGAAATGCTGCGGCTGAAGCCGGACTTACCATATCCTTACACACCAGAAATTCCCTACAAATATTTTACATACAATTATATAACAACTATCCTTCCTTAAACAGATACTTCTTCATACAACATCGAAAAGCGGTGGGTGCATCGCGAAAAGTAGCTTTACAGGAACAAGAGAAAAGAGACGCAGAGGCGGAGAAGGTTCCAGAAAAATCCTATCTCCCTGAGACCATCAAGCCTTCAGAGATGACAGAGAAGACTAAATTATAATCCTCCACTTTGTTAATAGGTTTAAATTTAATTATACAAATAAGATTTACATTTACTATTAAGGTGGTAGGTCGACAATGTAAACAATCAAATTAGTTTGAAGAAAGTTTCATTATACAAGTGTTCAAATCGCAGTTATGTGATCGCGTGGAGGCGGAAATTCTAGCCTATTTACATTCTATTGCGTTCTCTTTTCTTACCTCCTAGAACGAAAGTGACGACGTATCTACCATCATGTTTTGGCCAGAAAGTTAGACATTTTATATAATCTGTAAAAACTCTGGTTACAAACATCCATGGTATCTCAACAAAACAATATAAATACTACCAGAAACGTATAACAAACTCAATTTAAGTATATGTATATATATTTGAGTAGTTCTCAAAAACTAATATCATTCAGTTATAAGGTGAAGTTCTATGTGTAGCTGTAACTGAAATTTCTGAATTTAAAAATCTAGGTATTAAAAATAAATATATCGAATAAGATAAGTTACTACAATTACTTTTTTCACCCACAAAAAGTGGGTAAAAAAATGTATTAAAAAAGTAATTATGTTGAAATCGGCCGATTTGCTAAAATTACAGTATACCGATATTAATAGTTAGATTCCGCTAGATAAGCAAGTGACGTCACAACAGGAGCTGCTACAAAGGAATTGCGCGGCAAATATATAAGCTTAAAATGCGGCTTAACTAAATAATTACTTTATCTCGACATTGTAAAGTTACACGTGCAATAAATGTGTACCTTACTACTAATCATGATTGTACAAATTTGTAATTATTATATTGCTTTATGGAATTTGCCTAAACAAACAATATGTTTGAAAACTTTATTATTTTTTACATGCTATTGCCCACGAAGGCACTCGAAATCGACAAAAATTTTCTACTCGGGCAGGACTGAAAGCGGCATCGTCTGATTTTTCAATTTATATTCAAGTTTTAAAATAAACAACAATATTTCAATACCTATTCGTACTTTTTTACTAAGTAGGTCCTATTAGAATAGGCATACTCATTGACGTATATTTTATAAGTACATGAAACTTGTCTAAAGGTATGCTCGATTGCAGATCAAGAGGGAGCACGAGTCGAATCCCGAGCAGGCGAAATATTAGTTCAGTGTTCAAGGTCAAACCCCGTGACTGCAGTAAGCCGTAGATTCTATATAATTGAAAAATCAAAATAAATTAATCTACGGCTTTGAAAACTTTACTCTTTTATTCTCGTAGAGCTCGGTAGCTCAATTGAAGAGCAACAGCACGGAACGCTGACGATGCCGGTTCAAGTCCTGCCCGAGTCGAAAATTTTTTCAAAGCCGTAGGTTACTAATTTAGCAAGATGGATCTTAATTTTAAATCCATTTATACTACGATGCCCAGCTGTGAGATACTAATAGCTTGAAGTTTAATCATGTCTAAGGAACAATATAATATTGTTGCCCTGCACTACTGTACATTCTTTAAGTAAGAACACTAATGATGTAAGTTGTTTTATTTTTAAGTTGTAAATGTTCCTATGATGGATTCGGATTCATAATTATAGAAATATGCATTTAAGAAACTATTCACAATAATAAAAATTAAAAAATTACGTATTTTTTTAATTATGACTATAATCACGGTAACCCTTTAAATTGTACTTAACTACAATAACAAATTAATACGAAGGGAAAAACGAAAAATTATAATAATACTAGCTGTGCTCGCGACTTCGTCCGCGTGTAATAGTGACTTTGGGTAGAATTCAACCCCTAACAATTTGGTATTAAAAAGCCTTACAATATCCTTTCTCAGGCTGCAGAATATCTCGCTGTTAAATCCAGCAAACAAACAGACAGACAGACGTTACTTTTATGACAGACAGTTACTTTTATAGATTTTGTTAACGATAATCAACTCACATATATTTACTCGTTAATTATTTTTAAATATTAAATTTAAAATTGAATGTGATATTTTAGTACCAACATTTACGATACAACTAATTTTTATTAAATTCGCCTTTGGAGAATATACTTGTAACATACAAAAAATGCGGGACTTACACAAAACATTGTTATTTTTTTAAGTACTAGCGGCCCTGTCCGGGCTTCGCACGGGTAGACATAAATAAGTACAGATATTTAAATTATAAGCATGCTAATTAAAAGGACCATGAATCACTAAATTAGAAAAAAAAATAATTTTGCGCGTCCTCTCTATTAACGACCGTGGTCTATCTCTCTGGCTTAGTAGCCGCTGCTAGCATTCAGTGTTAGTGTCCCGTGCACGCGTTCACGAATTCCTAGCTCTATTTCCTTCAAGTCGCTGCGACGATCTTGCATTTTGTTCTGCAAGACGAACCTGAACGTTCAACGATAGAATCTCTGACTCGCGATTGGGATGCGTACACTCTAATACCTTCCAGACGATCATTTTATGAAGAAGACTCTCCAATACGACGAACTTTTGCTAATCTCGCTTGGAAAGTATTCTTAGATAGCTGCGACCTTCTTCTTCTAGACATATTGCTATGAAGGATATTTATTATAAATCAGAGAAATTAAGAATAAACTAATAATAATACAAAAGAAAATATTTATTTAAAGTGTGATTCCTAATACTAAAACCTAATAGGTCTGAAAATAACTTTTTAAGTGAAGCATAAAAATGTTAAAAAAAAATCGAAAATTCAATGTCGTTCGTGCCCACTGCGTAAGGAGCCCACTGTCTCTCTATCGTCGAATTAGTTACTCACTCTCTTAATTTCATGATATCTTTTGAATGGCATGTCCGATTTCAATAATTAAAAAAGTAATCATCAGGTATTGAGACAGTCTTGAATATTAAATTATTTATAAGAATAATTTAATATTCAAATTTGTTAAATGTAAAAAAGTAGTTATAGCGACGTAACTACAATAGTTAGTCATATGCTCTCGTGATGTTTTTGTAGATATTGATATATTCTAGATTATTGTCAAATATTTTTTTGTCCTATCATTAATACTTTTCGCAGCGTATGCGAAGAAAGACCTGTAACATGTCTTTCTTCGCATACGCTAATTTTTTCAAGTAATCAAGTTTTAAATATAGTCTATGTTACTCAGTGATAGTGTATCTTTCTAATGAAAAAATAATTATTAAAATCGGTCCAGTAATTTTTGAGTTTATCCGTTACATACAAAAATACAAATCTTTCCTCTTTATAATATTAAGCAATTTGAAAATAATTTTAGATACATTAATGAAATCCTAAAAAAATATCATATTAAAAATCCTAAAAATTAAAGTTATTTTGCAATGTTTCATTCATACAACAAAGTACAACATTCCATAAATATAAACCACAGATATAACGCACTGGCTAGTGAAATATATGTCAAACGTTTTATAGAATAAACATTATAATGTATAATTGATAAGTTATATATCCCTTTATCACGCATTAAACCTCAATCAGCTGTATACGGCAACATTATAGATTAACGCTAAATGTTGATAAGATCGATAGTGTTTCTTTTACGTTCATAAGCTTGAGATTATTGCAAAAGAAGTTAATAAATCAAGTGCTAATAATCATGAAGATACTGTAATTTAGTAATACTGGTGTCGGTTAAAACACTACAATGGCTAACGAAAAACAAGAAGAAAACAATGAAAAACATGAAGAATTCAAAGAAACTGATCCTCTCAAAACGAACCTTGAAGATCCCAAAAGTGAGAAACCACTCAATTTTTCAGCTAAGTGCGCGTACGCGTTTAAAAATATAACCGTCGAACCATCTATGTTCTTCTTTATAATTCCAATTATTTTCTCTATACTCACGTCTCAGAATCTTAATTTAGAGAAGGCATGTCGCGTCAACTTGAATTTCACAGAGGAAATTTGCAATTCACTTAAGATGCAAACGGTGGGTGCACAGAACGAATACGAAAAGGAAGTGCAAAAGCTGGTCGCGACTGCGATGTCCTGGAAGACGTATATAACAGCGACCATACCCTGTATACTAGCGCTGTTCGTTGGGTCCTGGTCTGATAAGACTGGCCACAGGAAAGTGTTCATAATCATTCCTATACTTGGCCAAATGCTGGTATGCCTCAACGGGATCTTTCATACGTTCTTCTTCAAGGAGTTGGGATTGAAAGCGTTCGTCTTCAGTGATGCCCTACTGGATGGTTTTTCTGGATCTTGGTGTATATCCATGTTAAATATATTTGCATACATTAGTGCAGTCACAAATGAGGAGAACAGGACTTTTCGCATGGGGATAATTAATTTTAGTTTGACCGTTGGTTTTCCAATCGGGATGGGCCTCAGTGGAACATTATTGAGGTTATTTGGTTATTATGGCTGCTTTCTTATAGCTCTAGGTATACATTTTGGAAACCTACTTTACAATATATGCATTTTGAAGGACCCCCAGAGATCACCAGAACAGAAAGAAGTAAGTGCCTAATTTTGAAAACTTTAATATTTTTCACATGAAGGCACTATATTATTTGAAAATCGTAAATAAAATATTTGGTAAATGCAAGTAAGACTAACTCAACCTTACAGACGTTTTTAGATTTTGAAAACAAAATCTATTATGATTAAGCTGAAGAGTATGTTTGTTTGTTTGAACGCGCTAATTTCAGAAACTACTGGTTCGAGTTTAAAATTATTTTTGTGTCGTATAATTGCTACCAATGCAAGAATCAGTGGAAAAAATAGGAATTTTTTTTGATGGTTCTGGGCAGGTGCAGACGTTAGCATTTAAATAAAACCAAACAATTAAACCAACAAGTCTTAAAGCTATTTAAATAAAACACTTTCGCGTTTTAAACCGTTAGTGTTTTATTTAAATGTGTTCAACTCGCGTTTATACAATTGTTACTGACATTAAAAATACTTTGGATGCAACACACTATAACGACCATTGACATAATATAAAAATGTAGCTAAGTAGATTTAAAACATTATTTATTATTTTAGCACGATAAGCGAGGCTTTGGACATTTACTTCGAATCTTCTTTGATCTGAGCAACATGAAAGACACCATAAAAGTGGTATTCAAAAACGGACCGAACCATAGACGACTGCGCATTACAACGTTGTTGCTCTCTGTTGCTATATTATTTGGACCTTTGCATGGTAAGTTTCAAAGTGTAATTTATACTTACATTAAAAAGGTGAAGCTGGACCATTCAACGAGGAAGGTTTTAAGCTGTAAACAGGCTGTGCATAGAAACAGAGGGAAATGACAAAATATCTTGGACGGCTTCTGGTTTTTGCGCTGCAAAAACGGTTCAAGATACCCAAAAAATATTTATAAAAGAATTACTCCTCTTTAAATGATCTCAATATTGTTTACGTCGGTATATGACTATTTTTTAAGATAAACTTAGCAAGACGGGAGACGTACCACGTCGTGGGTAATGGCTATTATATATATATATAAAGCTGAAGAGTCTGTTTGTTTGAACGTGCTAATCTCAGAAACTACGGGTTCATATTTAAAAATATTTTCGTATTGGCTAGAACATTTATCTAGATAGGTTCACATCACAGGGCAGGAAAGGTTCAGGTCACAGCAATACTAATGTGACTAATACAAGCGAAAATACAGCGCGAAATGTGAAACAAACGAAGAAAATGATTCATTTTTGTAGGTTTCCGATGCGCACGCTGCGAAAACGGTTTAAGATACACAAAATGTTTTTTATAATAAAATCATTCTTCTTTAAATTAAAAAAAACAAAATCCGCGACAGTATATGTTTATCTCTTAAGATGAACTCGCAAGAACGACAGGCCGCGACCGATGACGTATGTAACAGATAACAGTTTAAAAAAATAATTTTCGATGCCCAAAATATTACTATTCTATGCGGTCGAAGTCGCTGACTCAGCTAGTAATTTATAAAGCTAAGGAGATTGTTTACAAAAATAATAATATCACGCCCAAAATAATTATACCATGCGGACGCTAAGTGTAACTAACCCCTTTACAATATAAGTAATGAATCATCGATGTGTCAAGAATGTCACGTTTTATAGTTTTATTGATTGGATGATTATAAAATGACTTTGACATTTAATATTTAACCTCTGTCTTTTATGATTAATAAAGCTTTTAATCGCGACTCCGTTTGCATGCACTTTTCTCGTATTGAAATTTGAGGGAAATAAAAAATACAGTAATAGTTGTTTGTGTGCAAAATAATTTTTAGCTTTAACTTCTTTATATAGTGGCTATACTTTTTGAAGTAGTGCGCACGGGCTCACAATTACCCTTACATCTCTTCTGGTTCTTTTCATGTTCTTCTCAATAAATTTTCCGCATTATTTTACACACGTACTAAAAATATTAAAAATAATAAAATACAATGTAACTAGTACGATTTTCTATATATATATATTAGGTAGAACGTAGATAATCGCCGCGTAGTGATAGATAAAATTAATTTGCAACATCAAAGTTCGGATTATTAGAATAGGCATTTACTATTTAGGACTTTTAGTAACTAATATTAAGAAATTCTAATAACTAATAATTTCGTTTGTTAATATGCTTAATAACTTATTTCGCATTTAATAAGAGAATATTTTTTAATTATTTATACTCGTTCGTAGAATTCAAAATACGTTTTAAATTAAATTAAAATGTAGAACAACTTCTTTTACAACGTGTATTAAATATTTAGTGTATTTAAATAAACACGTAAATTGTGTTAGTATAGATTACAATCTATCAAAATTGAAAATAATTGACTACAGGGTCGGGACTTGAACCTATATCCATAACGTTCCGTGCTGGTCCTCTAACCGATTGAGCTACCGTGTCCTACACATCATCGATTTTTTTCACCTTATTGATACCTTACCTCTCGCGCAATGTAATTTTAACATTAACGCTTTCGTATTAACATTCAATGTTGTATGCTGGACAGCTTAATTTATACCATACTAATATTTTTTATATTTATTTTCAGGTGAACTGTGTATAATGTACATATCAACGCGTTACAGGTTTAATTGGACCGAAGTAATGTTTAGCATCTTCCAAGCCTACAATTTCATTTCTCATACAATAGGTATTTCTGTCGTTATATATTAGAACATACAACTTCTTAAATTGGACTAGAAAGATAAAACTTTTTATAGTATTTCGTTCATTCCGATTTTTTAAGAGCTTAAGGGTTTAAGAGCTTAGACCCACCACTCCAGTGTGGTTTCTTTAACGACTACCGCCACTAAATTAGTGATCATAAGAGAGACGAATGTCTTAATAAATTATATGCTAGACTTTTAATCTAGTTAAACAAAAATACGAAAGAGAGAAACACTTACCTAATGGGAATCAAATCTACGACCCATTATTAGTAGAATTGATTTATACAATGCTAGAAATAATCCCATCAAATGTGTCTGTAAATAAATTTATCAAATGCTATTGCACTAGACTGAACAAATTAAAAATCGTTTATAAATTGAAAAAAATTACGACCCGAGCAGGACTTGAACCGGCATCGTCAGCGTTCCGTGCTCCGTAGGACGAGTCGTAAATATTTACAATTGATAATAGATTTTTAATAAAAAAATACACATATGGATACATATAATACTAATGATCTCCAAAGTTTGGGTATCGAAGCCGGGATCTTATGGAGTATATAGGTTTTATGTATTTTTTATTTCAGGTACAATATTTTCAATTGTCGTGTTCAGTAAATACCTGGGATGGCATGATTCCACATTAGGTATCATATCTTCGGCGAGCAAGATATCGGCTTCTTTCATTTATTGTTTTGCTCCGAACGAGAGGATATTTTTCATTGGTGAGTCAGTTTACAAAATCGTTGAATCCATAGAACATGCCTTTTTATTTATCATTTAGGGGTCATTCATAAAGTACGTCACACGTAAAGGGGGAGGGGGATCGACAAAGTGTGACTTGGTGTGACAAGGGGTGGGTAGGTTCCTAAGTTTCGTGACATCACATTTTAAAATCATGAAATTCGTGTGACATACTTTATGGGTGACACCTTAGTTGACTAGCACTTTTTTAAATTAATTTTTTATCTATATATAAAGAAGGGATACCTATATTAATTTGGTGGTTACATATATAATTAATAATGAATAATATAAAAAAGGATCTTCCCGAGTAGGAGATATATTTTTTCTACTTCTCACGATCTGTCATACTTCTCTAAATGTTATATCAAATTAGAAATCTTTAATTCTGTAATAAACACGCATAATTTAGTATTACACACTAAACACATAACGGTTGAAACCGTGGGTCACGGAGGACTGTCCCCTATGTGATCATGACTGCAAGGCATCCGAAACGTCGGGGCGTAGTAAGTGTAAATAAGTAAACTAATACATTCCGCGGTTTAAACCGTTAAAAGTGTTTATTTAAATACGCTTATTTTTTCTTTAACAGTCGCTTAAAAAGAAAAGCATCGAATTACTTATTACTTGAAATTTTAGATACCCAAAATGATCCTATTGATTTTGTATTCCCTCAAGTATTTGCTAACAACGAACAAAATCTAAAACGTGAGCTATTACAGCCAGGGACATACAGCCTTTGTTTAAATAGCAAATGTAAAACAGTCCACGGTACCTCATAGCAAAGAGGGAATACAAACATGAGTATTTTGTTAGACAACAGTACTTTCTCATCGCTATATAACTATCTTATTTGAATGAAGTCGGCGGGAATTCGAGGAAAATGGATCTCGCAACATACATACGCAATTAATTTTATTCCCAACTGAAGCTAATATGTTGAATGGAAATTTCCATATTGATAAGATACAGTGGGTACTTGAACTTATTCTTGTACACGATATTTCTTACTATATGCGCAACGAACGATTGTAGTGTGTCGTAAGCGCTAAGATTTTGTGCCAATATTGAAATAACAAATTGTAATACTGTCAATTGATTAAAAACATTCTAAGTTGAAAAGATTTTGTAAATTTTAATGTTGTCATCGATTATAAATTGAAAAAAATGAGCTACCGTGTCATTGTAGCTCAATTCGTGAGAACCACATTATGGAACCTTGATTTGGTTTAATGTCATAATTATAATCGATTTTTGTGCATAAAGATTCCTACACACGAATATCCAATAGATATACAATTTTAATGTTAATACAAGTAAATAGGAATATAAAACTTAATCTAAATTCTACTTTATTTATCTGTCACACACTAATGTATGCTGCCATATTGATATAATACAATTCGACAGTAATATAGATTAAGAAAAAATAAAAACTGGCTATAACTTGAACCGTCATTCACTTCTAGTACATAAATACGTTAAGAACAGAATTACTATTTCACTCCAAGTATCCCTGGGTTGAAGAAATTCGACTTTTGGTGGGACAAGGTATCTCAACTAATCGTATTGTATCCGTAATGAGTGCCCTGGCCATTTTTGTTGGAAATTTTCCGAAAGGCACAACCGTAGTTAACGGTGGATGATGCCGTTTTCCCACTTAAAGTCCGGCACACTGAAGTAAAGCCAGCGCATTGTATATGTATTAGTTAAACTTGTTTGAGAATTATTTTTAACTACGGCCCCACGTTTCGGATGTCTTGTAGCAGCCGTGGACACGGGGAGTTCTCAAACAAGTTTAGCTAAAATATATCGCGTTTCAAACCGTTAAATTGTTTTATTTAAATGTGTACTACTTGCGTAAACTATAGATAGTATTTATTAAAATTATTTTTAATTTTGGCCCGATGTTTAGGATGCAGCAGCCATTGTCATGGGAAGACTAAAGATGGAGGATGTCTCTAAGGTCAAAGTAAAAAGCATATGACACGTCGGGCCGTAGTTAAAAATAATTTTCAAAAAATTTTAACGAATATATATCGCGTTTAAAACCGTTAAAGTGATTATTTGAGAATTTTCAATCTAAATACATTTTTAATCGGAAGTATATATTTTGATTTTATTGTTTATTTTAGAATCATGCTGATACTATAGTTTCTTAATTAAATAACACTTTATCTTTTTTATAGCTCCATTAGTGGACATTTTGAATGGAACCGCACTATTAGCGCTGAGATCGACAGTATCAAAGACCGTCGCACCAGACGAGTTTGGTATGTACGGTATATTATTAGTATTTATATATTTAATTAGTTATTGTAGAAGAAATTAAATACGAAATATTATTACCTTCATCGACGAATATAAAACAAAAGGTGAATTATCTAACGAGCGTAACTCGGAGGAAATATTCGATTCTGGCATATTAATTTAAAGTCAATTATTAAAATCAATTCGCTCAAATGAGAACTTTGCGAAACAATATTGCGATAGAAATTTGATTATTCAGGATTTCAATCAAGTTAGACGATTTATATTGAAAATCAAAATTCTTTGATCTGTCACTTTAATTATTAAGCGATATACCTGCTCGTGATTATATTTTGTTGTAAATTCAATCCTTAAGTTACAATTTATAAGTGACGACTTCTATTATATTTTACATTGACAACGGATAAACTTAAGAGGCAATACGTTTTAATAAGCCATCTGCTTGTGTACGCAGTATTTTGAATTTAATGTGTTAAATACACATTACATGCAATATATGATTATATATTCTTTTAAAATTAATACGTGTAATATCCCGGGTTTGACTCTAAAGACAGATTTTGTTTCCGTCGAGTAGGATGCAGACACTAATTATTAAAACAGACTGTTTGCCATGTGCGCCAGATTCAACCATAATTTTACATATAGTTTATCATAACTAGTTACTTTCTTAGTTTTCCTTCAACCTATTAATCTCACATTCTTAGGACTATATCTAATCTGCACTTTACGCAAATAGCTTACATTTAACAGTTTTAATCGTGATATATATTAGTTTCCTTACTTTTAATGAATTATAACTACGTCCCGATGCCTTGCAACAATCGTTGTCAAGGAGGGGCATAGTTAAAATAAATTTTAAAGTTACTAATATATTCCGCGTTTTAAACCGCTAAAAATGATTTAAATACTATCAAGCAAGCAAATCGACACAGAAATTTGTCCACCGCATTGAAAGAGCGTTGTTTCTTTTCAGGCAAGGTGAATTCTATATTCGCTTTAACAGAAAATCTTATGCCTTTGATTTATATACCCTTATATACTAAGGTATATACAGCCACTATGGAGGTTCTCCCAGGAGCTGTATTCCTCATGGGATCAGCCATGACGTTGCCTGCTGTTTGCGTATTTATGTAAGATGTATATACTAATATAAAGCTGAAGAGTGTGTTCGTTTGTTTGAACGCGCTAATCTCAGGAACTACTGACTCGAACTGTTTTGTGTTGGTTGTATCATTTATCGAGGAAAGCTTTAAGCTATTAAACATCAGGATACTACCAATAGCAGCTATGAAACTGAGAAATGTGGAAGATCGGGAAATTATTCACTTTGTGGTTTCCATTGCGTGGGGTAACATCGTAAGTAACTAAAAATATGTATGAAATAATGATTTTTCTTAAATTGATCTAAAAAATGTTCACTACAGTATATGTATATATATACATACATATACTGTCCACAATTAAAGTCCACGACAGTATATATACATATACATATAGATATTCATATGCATATACATATACATATAGTGTCGTGGACTAGCGGTGGACATTTGTTTTTGGAGACAAATAAATAAATAATAATGCCCAATATACGCGGACGAAGTCGCGGGCACAGCTAGTGTTATATATTACAAATAATCAATACATGTTTTTTATGCACACTGCCAAAAAATATATTGACTTATTCATTATATATAGATTTAAATCCTATAATAAGGAGTTAGGCTGATATCCCAGGTCCACAAAAGTTAATATATCGGCCGTGTAAGGTACAAACAACTGGTCGCTTGCATATTATTCATCAGAGGTATCTGTAGAACCATCATGAAAAAGTTGTGCTGATCGTTGGACACGGTGTGGTGCAACACTCATGTCATAGACAATTCCTACTTTAGAATTTATTATCTGTGACGTCATCTATTGAAGTCTATTTTTAATACAGGAAGACATCTTTGGAAGGCAAAATGTCATCCTTCCGTAGTCGAATGCACCGTTCCATTGTTTTTTAATAATAAATATTTCCAGATGGTTGCTATGGGAACACAGAAGAAATTCAAGAAGAGCTAAAAAGGAAATGTTCGAAAACCATGATGTTAAGTTAACAGCAATCCCAATAGAAAGTCCCGTTCTCGAAATTAAACAATAGAAATTAGTGTCAACTAATATTGTAGCAAAATATAATCTCAACATATTGATATGATGACAAACAGTTACACAAAGAAAACAAAATCATAATTAGTACAAATTTTATACGTTTTCTACTCTTTAGATTTTATGATTATTATTTAAATATTTGTAATATATATTGAAAATTATTGACATATTTTATTTCTTGACATTGTTTATTTAATTATATATTGATCGTAACATAAAAACTACTCCATAACCTACCCCCAAACTATCTATCTACCTCCAAATCTCCTCTAATTCTGATCTAAGTCTGATTATAAATACCAAAATAGAAATTTACTCAACTCAACAAATCACCAACGAGGCAGTTACACCTGGTTTAAACTTAAAGCCTTATTTATTAACAGCCAATAAGTAGACTAAATATTGTATTAAATGAATTACCTAAGATACTTACATAAATAACTCCAGCCTTGACGGTAGCTAAGACGCCCATTATCAGTAAAAGCAAATGTTTCAGTAAACACTGAAAAGCGCAATACTTGTAATCGAAAGGTAAATAAAGGTTTTTAGCTTACCTAATTATTTACTCTAATCTTCATTCTTCATCTAGCTGATACACAGAATACACTTAGAAATGTTGCGAAAGTGCTAACTGTTCAATCTTTCACAATGGGGAAACCTGATATAATAATGCTTGGTGATTGTATAGAGGAACACAAAGAACCCGATACAGAGGATACACCACTAAAAACAAAAAATGAAGACGTCAAGAACATACCTAAGAGAACTTTTGTAGAGAAAATAAGAAACATCAAAGAGAATGTGACAGTTGAACCCATAATGGCATGCTATATAATGCCAAGTGTACTAGCGTCTCTGGCGACTCAAAATTTGAATTTGGAAAAAGCATGCCTTGTTAATTTGAATTTTACAACTGAAGTGTGTGACGCTCTGAAGTCAAGGAACACAGAAAACTATACGATATACGAAAATCAGGTACAAACATTAATAGCAAGTATTCAAGCTTGGAAAAACATTATTCAAACGGCTTTTCCAGTTCTCATCATTCTATTCGTTGGTGCTTGGAGTGATAAGACTGGAAAAAGAAAAGCTTGTATCCTAATGCCGATTTTCGGGGAGTTCTTGACATGCGTGGGATTTCTCTTAAACACATATTTCTTTTACGAACTACCAGCAGAAGTGGCTGCGCTTACTGAGTCTATATTCCCAGCACTGACTGGTGGATGGTATACGAATTTTATCGGCGTATTTAGTTACATAAGTGACATAACCACGGTTGAAGATCGGACTTACAGGGTTGGGATTGTTAACCTGTGCATGTCTCTGGGTTACCCCATTGGGAGCGCATTGAGTGGGATTCTTTTAAAGATGATAGGATACTACGGAATATTTTCCTTGTCAGCTATGCTGTACGTATTTAGTATAATTTATGGTATACTTTACTTGCACGATCCAAAACCGAAGGTCGTGGAGAAAGTAAGTACCTTTTAGCTATGACATGTTAAGTGTTAGATATATACCTTTTTTTGGAAATAAGTTCACATTGTTATTTTTCAGAAACGCAGTGGATTAACTGGGTTCTTTGTAGAGTTCTTCGACTTCGGACTGGTAAGCGAGACCTTTAAAGTTGCATTCAGGAAAGGACCTGGAAGCAGAAGACTTCATGTTTGTGTTTTACTGATCGTAGTGTTTGTGGTCTTTGGACCATTGCAAGGTAAGAAGCTGAATACTATTTTCCTCTGTCACTTTTATTAAAGCAGCTTGTGTGACAACTAATTATATATTATTAGATGTCACACATTGATTATTACTACGTATATATTATTTTTCGTTTTGTCATAAAGGCCGAAAACAAATAAATAAACACTATTATCATATTGTAATCGATTATAACAATAACTACATTATACGTTATATTTTACTTATTATATAATTTTAATTACAAACACTACAATTTATAAAAAAAAAACATGAATAAATACTTATGAACTACCTTATGAATAAAGGGTGGCCTTATCGCAAAACAGCGATTTCTTCCAGGCAACCAAAGGCAAAGGAAAAACAAGAAAGTAGTATAAAGTACGTTATACCAATGACATCAATAATTTTAACGTCGACTCCATCTTGTAGACAGACGAACAAACTATTTTTCTCATTTGTGACATTACGCATATGATTCGTTTAGTTTTAAGGTATAATTTTATATTATTTTTACAGGAGAATACACTGTTATGTACCTTTTCACAAGATATCGGTTCAATTGGGATGAAGTAATGTTTAGTATCTGGTCTACTTACAGTATCGTCACAAATCTCATTGGTAAATATTTGGATTAAAAAATTTATTATATAAAATTTTACCAAATTGAATAGAGATCTCTAAAGCTTCAACGATGAGAACTGTCAGTGATAACTGCTACCATAGCACAGTAGTTGGCAAGCATTACGATATACGTGATTTTAGGCTTTTAGATTAAAATTACCCTCATATTATACATAGTTTCTGTCGCAGAGGACACTGAAATCTGTTGATCTGATCAAGAAAAAAGAACATATAGATGTGTTCGCCTTATGCTTTACTACCACCAGTAGAGAAACGGGATAACCAACAAAATTACTATTTACTTTATTACTCTATGAAGCAGATCCAGTATTAATCATTTAATTTCAACTTTTTTGTTATCTGCAACGGACTATTTGATGATCGTACTACTATTAACACATTCTTTGTCTTCCACTTCTTCTTTTTTTTTCTTGTTAAAAAATGTATAAAGACAATATTATTGAAATAAAATACTTTAAGGTTTTAAAACGCGATATATATTAGTTAAACTAGTTTGGATATTATTTTCACTACGACCCGACATTTCGGATGCTTTGCACCATCCGTTAAAGTGTTTTATTTAAATGTGTAATACTCTACTACAATCAGTATTTAAGAAGACATTACAATATTGCTATTTAATATTATTTTAGGTACAGCCTTTTCCATGACCCTATTCAGTGGTTACTTAAAACTCCATGATACATTACTTGGCGCGATATCTTGCATGAGCAAAATCATAGCCTCCTTCGCATATGCCTTCGCGAGAAATGACCTGGAAATCTATTTGGGTAAGTTCCTTTTTATGGCAGAACTTTAATAAGGTTATATGCTCTCGATAAAATGATATATTTTTATGGGTTTCCTTTTTAATATTATCGACATCTAAGCCTGGCGTGGCTTCGAGTTATACGTAATAGTTTCGGTCTGGCAGGGCACAGAAGTCTGATCTTACGGCTTCGTCTGTAAATGAAGTTGATTAGAAAATTAGATACTAAAACGTGTAAAGGGAAATGTGATGGGTCAAACGTCTGCTTCTTAAATTCTTATAGGAATTCCGCTTTTAAATATACTATTTTCCTAGTATATTTTATGATAGAGGAGCAGCAATACAATAGAATAGAGCATCGTGCTCACTTTAAAGGAAGGTAAAATACCATAGCATTGTAACATTTAATATGAAGAGTTGTGGAACTAATTTGCCTTTTGATATTTGAAATTTCATAGACTGTGTTGTGGCCGGACGGAAGTCTAACGCTTACGCTATGATGCTTAGAAAAATTTAAAATTAATTATGAAAAATATTTCACCCAACAAGGATCTAACCCACGACTTGACTATTAGCCATAAATTGCTACCACCCCCCAGATCTAAGCAATTAGGCATTCAATTTAAAACTATATAATTAATATCACCCTTGACAATACTCAGTTTAGAGTCAAAATAGATCGACAGTGCATCTCGTTACGATGTTTTATATCTGGGACATTTAACCTTCCACAAAATAAAACCCATGTTTGTTTATATCATGAAAAATAAATATAAACAATTACATAACTCAGCATCATAAATATAGTTACATTTAGGTGCCCAATATTCAAGTCGCAGTATAAATTTTAATTATAAAACACGCTTTAATAAATATAATAATGGCATAGTTAGAAATAATTATTATCATTACACAATTCCTTATCACAATGAAATTATATCCTTGACCCCAATAACAGCTTGCTAGTCCCTTATCCTTATCTGTTTAAAGACATCTTTAATCCAAATTGAATTTATACTCAGTTGATTTTGATTAAGCCGCCCCAGATTAAGAAACTATCTGTATCTAGGGACTGCTTCCTTCAAGTAATAACTCAGTAGCAATTGAGAGTTTGGTTAAATCAAATCGAATTTTGATTGAAGTGACATTTTGCCCGTCGCTGATATAAATCAAAGCTAAACTGCTCTATGCAAACGAAGCATTCAGTTTGATTTTTCTTTTCACATATTAGCACGATACCATTATATAATAAAAACCTAGTTGAATTGAAAAAAAAACAATGATACGGATGGGAACAGCGTTTCGTGCTATTCTAACCAATTGAGCTACCGTCTCTCATACGTCAACATCGAAGTCTCACTTGTGGTTTTTCTTCAAGCGAAATAGATTTATTAATTTCACTCTATTTCTTGTCTTTCTATTTACGGCAGTAAACAAAACCAAGCCTGTTATGTCATGATGAAAAATCTTTAACAATGAAATAAAAAATCAGAAACCATTCATACCTAACATACTAAAACACCTTATCTTCTAAACACCAAATATTTGACTTGTCGCGTTCCAATTCGTAATTCTTATTTAATCTCATATAACACACCATTTTGAATTATTATATTCAAGTGTGTTTTTAACTTGAAAACAATAACACCCAAGTAGCAAAGACGGACGTGGTGAAGGCCCAAGAATAAGACCACTCCGTATTGGCTACAAGCAGACAAACTCTACCGCAGTTTCCTTATTATAATAACTTGTTAAGCTTACAACGTCTGCTCAATAAAGTTACGAACTGCAACTTGTATCAAGTTTAGATTTAAGCAAGCATTACATTTAACTTAGAATTACGGCTCACTTGTGCATTGGACTAAAGCGGGCAGGACATTAAGACGAGTCTAATTAGCATTTAGAAATAAGACCAGTCAGACATCTGGTCACGCTAATGATTACCATGGACTCGTTCGTATAATGGTAGCAATGCTTGACTAAAAAGCAGCAGGTCATGGCTTCGACCCCCACCAGATCCATGTTTCTTATATAAATTAAAAATCGATTATATGTTTTAAAAAAATGACGACTCGTGCAGGTCTTGAACAGGCATCCACAGCGTTCCGTGCTGTTACTCTAACCAATTGATCTACCGACTCCATTTTTTTTTTTCAATTTATAATCGATTTTTAATTTATACAGTGCCATCATGTGCAATAACATATGAAAAATATTAGTTTCGGGTTCGGCTGGATATCTGGATATTGGAAATGTGTTAGTAAAATGTAAATTCAGATCACAAACCACTGTCCATAGAAGGTCGTAAAGTTACATTGTAAGTAAGCTGCAAATATCCTGTCATTGTGTAAAAGAAATGCGCATCGAATATAATATAGTAAAACACTACGAAATGATATTAAATTATTGAAAATAATACAGACTATACAGACGTTATCAGGTAAACTAAAAATAAACGGCTTTAAGATTCAAACTCTGTATACTAAGAGATTTCAAGTAATTGATTGCACTCTTTGTTCAACGTGATGAGATTCCGTATCTGTTAACGACATAATCTACTCTTAGAAACCACTTACTTAAACAAATAAACTACTTAAGGCGCCATCAAGAACAATAAAGCACTATCTAGGTAGACAGAGTAAGTGTAGACAGTAAAATTGTAAATCGTTAGATCATAGGCCATCTAGCATGTTTTTTTTACTTGTCAATGTATTTTAAAGCATGCTCTGCAAAATAAATTATTAAAGTAGATTACGATCTGCTTACATTATAAGTGGTAATGATGGAAAAGTATGGCTAATGGGTATCATCAACGGGTCGTGGATTCGTACCCCAAACATGTTTCTAATTTTTTCAATTTATATTTATTGTGTAACATGTCGGAATTCGTTTGGAAATTTATTAAATGGGTGTGGCTTCAGTTTGTAGATTTCCGAATATCCAAAGCTGCTATAGGCTGGGGTATATCACCTGCAGATAAGTGGTAATAACCCATGCTATTCTGTTCTCCTCTATCATTTAAAAAAAAAAGGCAGCTTAACAGATAATAAAAACATCTGAAAACAATAATTATATAAATGTGAAAGTAAAAGATGACTATCATATTTACATGAAGATAGAACAATATAGCGGCTTATAATGGAGCAAGGAATCTTATATTACATATAACTTATTTTTATTATTGTTTTATATTAAAGAAAAATAAATATTAAATAAAAGTAAAATGATAAACCAGATGGGAGAATAACTGTGCTATTACAATTTTTTTTATGATAGAGAATTAAGGAAACACAAGTATGGGGTCACTTAATGGGAGGTGAAATGCCCCAGCTCCAAGATAGGTCGACAGCAGAAGCGCTTTCGACCCATTCTGGCTTTGGATATTCAGAAATCCACAGATTCCAAACGCGATTACACTTCAAGGCTTTTTCATCCGTGGACGGTGTTTCGTGACTTGGAGGGAATTTTCCATATCCCTACCTCCCATTTAATATCCAGATTTCTATTGCAAGACCAAATGTTTCAGAGAAATAATAATTCTTATTAGAAAAACATATGGAACCGGTGGGGATCGAACCCGCGACCCGTTGATATACCCCGTTACTACCCTTAGACCAACGAGCGTCAAATTGTTCTACCAATTGAGCTATCGTGTCTCACACGTCATCATCGTTTCTAGAATGTATATTCCTTGCTATACATAGCTTAGACGTCAAAGGTAGCAGGAAAATGTAACGGTTATTGTTTCAACAAATATTTACAGATATTATAAAGATAAGTTTATTTAATCATATTATTATATTAAATATCCTAGAGTACAATCAGTTTTAAAACAAGAAATGTTAGTTTATAAGTTTAAACGATACCTGTACTTTTTTTTAATTAAATTAATATCATATTTACATATGGCAAAAATTGTTGACATAAGGGGAACCGAAGCTATGTATAAACAACGGTAGTAAAACAGTTGCTCTATAAATTGAGCTACCGTGCCAGCATTTAGGTATAGTAGCTTGAAATAGCTTAAAAATTAATATGCTTTACATAAAAATAAAAAATAAAATGTCTTTTATATAGAGACTTTTGGACAATATTATCATTATTAAATATTATTAATATTATTACTATATATTATTTAGTTTATTGGGTAAATGTGTATAATGATCGTTTCGGTCAGGCAGGACACAGAAATCTTATTGACTACTGCCTGTAAACAAATTAAAACACAGTAACGGATACAAATCATTTCGCCAAATGCCCCGGAAGGGACTTCACTTATTACAAACTGTGTTTCTAGTTTGCTTTTAATTGTATCTCCTTTTTCAGCACCATTATTGGAGATATTAAATGGAACATCATTTATAGCAATGAGAGCTATTGCAACAAAACTGGTGACTGGTGAAGAATTCGGTAAGAGGATAAACTGATACCACCTTATTAATCATACCCCAAAACTCCCATTAAATGTAAGGCGATCGTTTCCCTTTAATAGAATAAAGGTAGATAAAATAATTTATAGAAAATAAGATATTAGGCTTTTTCCCGATATGAAATAGATGGTAGGAATATCAAGATCTGTCCCGGTCACGAACAAGATCCACAGATGAAAAAGCTTTGTTTAATCACGTTTCAGTTTTAATCTGTAATCCAAATATCCAAAAAAAAAGTTCACCAGCGCATTTTGTTTAGATGTTATATGGCTGGCGTATTTCACATTACATCGAGAAAATCCCATTGTCTGGCCTCCTTTGTCAGAAATCTTAATTATGTTATCCTGTGATTCGAATCTGAGACTGTCGGCGCTGAAGTACGCAAGGAGTCTACGTAAAATACCGTTAACCGTCTGTTTTACTAATCATTTGCAAACAGCTCGATCAGACTTATATGCCCTACCCAACCGAAACTATTATATCCCCACAACCAGAAATACAAAGATTATATTGTTACAGGTAAAGTGAATTCGTTGTTCGGTCTAGCTGAAGCTATGACCCCCCTTTTGTATGGCCCCCTCTATTCAAGGGTGTACATAGCTACTCTAGACGTGCTTCCGGGGGCAGTGTTTCTGTTGGGAGGATTCTTGACTGTTCCTGCTGTTGTTATTTTCGGGTAAATAATTTAGTATATATTGTCTTTTACTTTCAGAGTTATATTAAGGTACAATTAAAAAAAAGATAAAATAACCTTCTGTAATCGAATAGCTCTTTGATACCGCAATCCTGGTTTCAAATCCGAGGTAAACATCGATTGTTGCGGTCACTAAACTATACTTACGACCGATTTATAATAGCAGGCAAATTGTTCATCAGATTTCTGTGTCCTGCCCGACCGAAACAATTTTTCGTTTACCCGCGTCTCGGACCCGGGACCTTTCGTTTTTAATCCGAAAAAACGATCTATAGACTTACACGTTTATTTTCAGTTGGCTTTACTTTGAACACAAAAAGGATGCGAGAAGAAAAATCACGGAAAAACCAATCGACGCTGAAAATGTACCTGAAAAGACTGGTAATGATAGTGCAACATAGAGAATAGTTTAAGTAGCTTTTAATATGTATATATTAACGATGTAATTTTTATAAAAACAATAAAACCACTATAACTAACGTGTATAATTTCATTGTACACAAAATAAAATAAAAAATACTTTACGTCAAAAAAAAATGTGTTTGTCTTTCGTTCGTTCGGCGTGATTCTACAGAGTGTCAAATAAGCAACTGACGCTGAATCAGTCTCGCTTTTTTCAACATATCTTACAAACTAATACATTTTTGTGAATTTAATGACCTAAGGAGCAAGTCATATCAATGCCAGGCAGCCCTGTCATCAAAGAGGTCATTTAAACTATGTCACAATAGCTTAAATAAACGCTATGACGTCTTTTGGTGATATCCCAAACACAGTGGTACCACCTCCCATTTCTAAACTCTATAAAAATCTAAATATCGAAGTAACATTTCCCCCCAACCAAGATTCAAACCCGGAACATTGTGTTCTTGACTCCCAGTTCATACTAATAAATGACACAGAAGTAATATAAGTAATCTTAGATAATAACAACTATGTACTATGTTTGTACCCAATCATAAGTTAGATAAACTTTATCATGTCGTGCCATTATATATTACACAAATATGATTTTCTTATTTGAAAGTAGCGCACACTGATAATATGGCTTAAGAATAATCTATAGCGTATAAAAACGTCACAGACTACATCGGATGTTTTATGATAATATATAAATGAGGGGCGTAGTAGGTATGTGTAGCCGGCTTTCCTTCGTAGAGTCGACGTTTGAATTTCACGGGATTGTTGGTCCAATGATAGCACCTTGTCGTAGCTTCAATCTCCACTATGTCCACATGTTTACTTTTTAAATATTTTTTAAACACGTTGGATTTGTTTGGAAATCTGATTGTCAAATGGGCCGTAGTAATATCCCTCTGAGACACGAATACACAGTCCACAGATAAAAAAGAAAGTTTAATTGCGGTTCTTTCTGTTTATAGATTTTCAAATACCCAAAGCCAAAATAGGTCGATGGCGCATCGATTCAAATGTTATATGGCTGGGATATTTCACCTTCTGTAAGTGCTTGTTTGTCCTCCTCTATCATAAGAAAAGTTGAGGGTTTGATGCCAAAACATCTGTGTACACGGTCTCCTGTGAAGATAATATGTTGCCAGCCAGTATGTGAAGGTACATATAACCGTGCACTATGAGAATTTATTTATTTAAATAAAACAATTTAACGGTTTAAAACGCGAGTGTTAGTTAAAACTTATTTGAAAATGATTTTTAACTAAGGCCCGACGTTTTGGTAGCTTTGCAGCAGCCGTGGCAAGCATCCGAAATCTGTTAGTGTCTGTCTTTAATGTGTACTCGCGTAAACTATAGTTTACGCGAGTAGTCTATAGACATACTATAGACAGTATTTCTTTATTGTGTACTACTAGACTATAGTCTATAGTCTATAGACAGTATTTCTTTATTTGCCAACATATGTATTTAAATGTACAGCCATGCACTTGCTCAGTTCTTATCGTATAGATATTAAAAACATCCATCATATGCAAAAGGATAATTACGAACAATACTGTATCCATATTTTTCCGATAATAAAAGTTTTGAATGAACGAAGAGCGGAAGTACAACGCTCCTTTGAGCATTCAATTCGACGAATGATATTGAGGTGAACTACAAGTTACTCAATGAGCTGTCTGCTTGCTTTAATTAACAATTTGTATACTGAGATACTGAATGTTGGGTGTTCTGAAGTTAGTTAATGAATCCAGGGTTTGAATCCCAGGTGGAGAAGTGTTGGTTGTTTTTCGTGTCAAGAATCATGAGCATGCTAGTAGATACAAAATACTGTCTGTAGTTTGCACGAGTAGAACACATTTTAACGGTTTAAAACGCGATATATTATGTAATTTCCAAATAAGTTTAACTAATAAAACAGTTTTAAATAGTGTAAGTGTTTTACTTAAATGATAGTAGATTTTTGTTATGCGTCGTGTTTTGTTCGACGCCCGAAGTTCAGCATTTGGTACGACGGAATAATTGATCCAATGATAGCAGTGTATGTTCAATAATCAAGGAGTCGTGGATTCTATCCCCATGAAGGCCACTATGTTTCTTATAAAGTAATCAATTTTTTTCTAGGCAGGCATCTAAACAAGAAGCTCTGTTAACCTTTTTTGCTTTGAACTCTCGAAATCCTCAACCGAAATTCACGGCCTTTCCATTTTGTGTTCTGATCCGGACCAGACAGATTTTCCAGACGAAGTGCAATATGCTTCGATAAAAGCTAAAAGTATATTTAGATCCGATTAGAAGCCTAAACCACGATACGTTGATTACCAACAATACATTTCTCCCATTAAACCATCCAGCCTGTCAAAGCAGCTCATTCGACACGTAAAAGTGATTTATCACGAGATCTTAAAGACTTGCTTATTACGACATATGAAAACAAGACATTAACCGAACAATACAGCGCCGGAGAGCCACTTACTAACGAGATCTAACCTGACATTGTTTCGTTATTAATACCGCACACTCACCATTATCCTACCCCATTTTAATTATATTTAATGAATAAGCGAAAATTGCCTTTTGTTCTGTTTCAGAGCCCTAATGTGCAACGATTCGTGCGTATCTTAATGAGGTTTTCAAATTTTAAAGGCTTTGGAAATAATTAACGATCTTGGATGAGTGATGCGGGGTTGCTTATTCAAGGCTGAGTCGCGTCGAAATATTCATGGCGGTTTATTTTTGCCATGTGGCAAAACTGTTCAATTAGGACGATGTTAATGCGATGGTGTTTTTTTTTATTCGTTACTTCGCATTCATCTTTATAAGGTTATACTTCTTAATTACGCTATTATGAAAAACCTGTAAGTATGGACTGTTCGTAAAATAAACAATACAGAAAAAAACACAATAATTTAAATAAAACTTTAATTAGCAACGCAATTCATATTAAAAGTTATTTTTAGTACGGCACGACGTTTTGGATGCTTTTATCTCCCAGTCTCTCAAAGCATCGTGACCACGTTGAACTTAAAAATAATTTTAATTAGTATATATCGTGTTTTGAGACCGTTAATGTGTTTTATTTAAATGTGTGCTACTCGCGTAAACTACAGACAATATTGCACAATATTTTTTATTAAAAATATAGTATCATAATTATTAAGTGTGAGAAGACTGTAATTTTTTATTACATCGATTATTATAATATCAGTTTTAGCTTTACTTCTTCAAACCATAAGAGGCCTCTGCACTTGTTTCATTTGGAAAATGCGAACATTCTTCTGTGTCTCTTTCACTAATTAGGCAAATTCGCCTTCTAGGCTATCCAAAGATTTAACCCGGAATTATTGACAGGCAAAAAAATCTGTCAACCGTCAACTTAATACTTATTCATTTAGCTCTTTATGTCATCCAATAAGTTACGTGTATACAGAGTACAACTTTTCTCTAGACTAAGTCTAGATCAATTAATAACCAACGTCATACTGTTGCATTTTATATTGCGCTAATTAAAACTGTCCATTACAGGCTTTGAACTTATATACCTCGAAGAACTCTCATTAGAGTTGTATAAAAGTTTTTATGTCGGTCGTTCGCAGTTTCAGACGAGCGAAAGGTAGCATTTCTTGGAATGGGTACTAAATAAAGAAAGTGTATTGGCACTTTACCTAAGTTTTTCTCTTTTTACTAACCGCTGTTTACTGGAAGAGACAGTTTTTGTTGAATTGATAGGCAAACAAACAATTAATGGTAAAGGAAGTTAAGACTTAAATTATTTTTAAATACTGTCTGTAATTTACCAACTACAATTAAAACTGGACTGTTCGTAAAATAAAAAAGAGAAAAAAAGGCACTTTAATTTAAATAAAACACTTTAACGGTTTAAAACTCGATATATATTAGTCAAACTTATTTGAAAATAACTTCGACTACGCCCTGATGTTTTGGAAGCTTTGCATCAGCTGTGGTCACGGGGAGACTAAAGATGGAGGGTGTCTCTAATGTCAAAGTTAAAAAATGCTACGCTAGCGCCATCTGTTCCGTCGTATAAGGCACAGTTTCACCAAATACGACGGAAGTACAAGTTTATTGGGATTCGGTTTCATGATAGATCTGATCGTTTCCGCCTTCGAATCCTGGACCTCTCGCCTTCGAATCCGGACCCAGCGCAGCGATAGACGCGTTTAACCACTGAACTACTTGTTCTATTCACGTTTGATTAGTTATAAAACGTTCAATTAAACTCCGTAACTAATCCCCACATAAAGAGATCCAACAAACGATAGTTGCGGAAGCGTGTTAAAAACTTCGTAATGGCACCGTTCATGGCTTCCAAACTTTAAGTATTAAACGCAGTACCGCAAAACAAGTGGAATATATAATTTGCCACGAGGCACCCATTATTTAGATTTAGGGAAATCAGTGAGCAAAACATCGCTTTTCACTTACACTCGTCCTCATTTGTCTTCGGCTTTTTCAGCTAACAGTTGATATGAGAAGTTATTTTAAGATCCGGGTGCAACACCCACTTGAAGCTATGCGGAATCAAAAACAAATGAAAAACATATTACTATTAAACAAAACGTGACACGACGGACATAGTATATAGCTAACTTTTAAGAAATTAAATGAAAACGATTTGAAATTATTTATAATAAATATTATTAATAATAAACTTATTTGATAACGATTTTAACTACGGCCCGACGTTTCGGATGCTTTGCTCTCCCAGTTTCCCGTGACCCTGGCTGTTGCAAAGCATCCGACAGGTCGGGCCGTAGTTAAAATAATAAAAAACAAAATAACGAATAAATATCGCGTTTTGAACCGTTCAAATGTTTTATTTAAATGTGTACTACTCGCGTAAGCTACAGACAGTATTTACTTTTGAGTAAGTTTTAAAGACTTAATAGCAATAATAAGTGGTGGAGCTGTGGCTAAAGAACATAAGATCAAAGTTCAAAGTATGGATAATAAAAACGAAAAAGCTGTACTTTAATATTTCCAAGTCTGTAGTTTCCAAAATCCAAAACCGAGGGTCGACAGTGCAGTGTTTGTTTAGATATCAAATTATAGCTTAGCTTATACACAAACTCCACCCTTAAAACCAAGCAATTATTTACATACTCGGTATGGAGTTTTAATTAACTGAAATTCCACATCGCAACTGATTAACGCTCTTTATTAAATTCTCTTATTGGATTTAATTGTTATTTATTAAATAAACTACCCACAATAATCATACTTTTATAGTATAGACTATTTATCTCTTATATAGCTTGAATTTTTATTTTATCTTTTATTCCACAAATATTACTAACATCACCGACTTAAAGAAGTCTTAAATAAAAAACTCAACAATAGTCACTTAAATCTTACACAGACATATAATGTTATAAGATACATTATATAAATAAAACAGTCGGGAATCGTACTATTGACAGGCACGTAGTAATATTTATACACAAAAGTTCTTCTCGTATAACCATTATCAATTACGTCACTCTCACAGGACTAAATCACGTTTTAAACCAGTTAAAGCGTTTCATTTAAAGATAATCCCTCCTGTAACCGAAACACAGTTATGCAGTTTTATTGTTTTAAAGTAATCCTGTCTGCTGTGAAACGCGAACTTTAATTTCCTGAATTTAAAAAACTCAGCGCATTGGAAAAAACCCACCTAGTTTTGATCAGTCGCCCGACGGTTGTCAATAAAAACTATTTTCGATCAAAGGGGAAATAAAAAACGCATTCACATATTGATCAATGTTTGATTTAGAGCTTCCACTGATACACGAAAAACGGCATCCATTTAAAATAGTATCAACGAATTTTGACGACTTTCCCAATATAAATATACGCGTGTTTGCGATGGCCGATCGTTTTTTAATATTGGCCAATTATTTGTTTTGTATGGGGGAAAGTTATTGTTTTGATTTGTTTCAGCATTTATTGTCGTCAATATCCCAATCAAATACACGATATTTATTTTTTTAAAGCAGTGTTCAACCTATTAATTTTCCATTCCTAAGAACACCTCATTTCAAGGTTTTAAGACCAACCACGCTGCTTTGTTATAGGTTGGTGGACATGAACGTTTAACCACACTGAATTAGTGATTAAAACCGAGACTGACTGACTTAACATACTTCCAAAGGCATAAGGGTGATGATGACTTGACTACGATCGAATATTGTCTGTAATTTACACGAGTAGTACACGTTTAAATAAAACAATTTAAACGGTTTAAAATGTGAAATATTTTGGTTAACTCACCTTAAATTTAATTTAAAGCGCGACGTTTCAGATGTCCCCGTCAGCGTGGTCCCTCCGGAACCATGGCAGTTGTTTTAAATAAAATAAATTAATATATTTCGCTTTTTAAACCGTTTAAAGTGTTTTAGATGTATGGTGCATATTTGAAACAAGTCTTAATACCATTTCGCTCGACACAGAATTTGATATTTTACCCATAACTAAATACACAACAACGAAAACATTTTGTTAATGTGCTAATGTGTGCTCAAGAAGACCTCGGTTTGAATCCTAATTGAATAATACATCAAACCCAGAAAAAAGATGCTAGTATTTTTGACTGGTGTTTTTAGGAAGTCAAATGTAAAATATGGCCTAATATACTAAGTATACCTGTGAATGTAAACAACAATGTTTCACTGATGACGAAGAGATGGATGACGTCAGAGTTCGCTTCTACCCAACGCGCAGCTCGAATTAGGACGAACTATACTTTATGGACAGTAGACACGTGAGTTATTTACATCTAGGGTTAATAAAACCGTACTATAAAACTATACTCTCTAGTAATCAAAAGCATACCATACTTACCAGTATGTTAAGCTTAGTTCATATGTATGTTTATATGACGTGAATATTAAAAACTACAGGTCTAAAGATTTTGGCGGGCTTTGACAGCTCGTTTGTATAATGGTAGTGCTGGGCTAATAATATGGGTCGTGGGTTCGATTCCCACCGGGTCCGACAATTTTCTAATCAATTTATAATTGTTCTAAATGTGTTGGACTTCATCTTAAATAGATGGTATAAAACATCATAATTTTGTCCGGGTCACGAACCACCATCCATAGTTAACTCAATGCTTGTATAACCTTCTCTATAATAAAAAAAAAACTTAAAACTTCGTAGTTATACATACTAATAGCATTTTAAAACTGTATTTACACTTTTGACGGTTACAAACGCCAAACATATTAGTAAATTTATTAAAATCAATTTTAACTACGGCTCGAAACTTTGAAAGCTGGGCAGCAGCCGTGGTCACGGGGGTGCTATACATACTAGCAATTATATTATATGTGTAATAAGAAAATTAGGTGTTATACAAAACAATATTTTTATAGTTGTTTTGGGAAGATAATTATGTTTTTAGTTCTGTGTATTTTCATTCAATTCCTTTGCCAGAAACGAGGTTCTAAGAAAAGTCTTGGATATTTCGTATTTTATTACATTTCCATTCCCTCATAACAGGGACACGTTCAACAAACAATAATATTAACTCAACATAATATCAGAAATCTTCAAAACACGATCGCAAAAACAATCCCAATATAAAATTACAAGGGTAAATATTCGAATACCAGGATACATAAAAAGACATCGTCGAATATGTTTTGTTCATTCGTTCATTAAATTGTAAGTTAAGGGTTACAGATTTCTTTTCGTCTTCTTTTCCTGAAGATTTTCAATTTTGACATTTGGCAAAATCATATTTATTTTCTTGCTAATTGAGCTCTGTACACGATGCGGAAGTTCGAATCCCGCCCGTGTCATCGAATAAATTTTTATTTATAATATAATGAAAGTTTTGTGATAAACTAAATTCTATTCGAGTTGCAAGTTTAATTTATAACATAAAATAGTATTAAAAGGGTCTTTGACAGTTTTTTATTAAATTTTAATAGGTTTATTTGTACCTAACTTTTGCTTTATAAATAATCGGTGTGTTTTCATCGAAAAAACTACATTCCTAATCAAATATCACGTTTCCATCTAAAAATCAATTTTTTATTTATATTGAGCCATCACGTGCAATAACGTGTAAAAAATAACAAAATTCTCAAACATCAAAACGTTTGTCAAGTGCCGTGTTAAAAAATATGTTTTAAAATATCCACATTTTTTGTTCCTAATTTAATATTATATACATTAAGCTAAGCTGCTCTGATTCCAGTAAGCAGGCTAGCTCAAAAATTTAATTGACATTCCACTTTTGAATCCAGCACTACCATAGACGTTTCGAATACTGTCATATATTAGTTGACATTGACATTTTAATACGTATTCCTTATACTTGACAGAAACAATATAAGCTGATCTTGAATCCTAAAAGATGGTACGGTGAGCCAGAATACATAATAAACCAAACTATATTTATAACACGTTTATTAAGGCAATATCTTATCACAGTTAAATCGTATACAGTTTATTGTATAAAACTGGAAAACCGTTTAAATGTATACACTACTTAATTTTACAGCTAGCCACTTAGTAAACACATATATTTTTTTATTAGATATAAGTCTAGTTAGACGTAATCGTTTCGTCCTTCGCTGGCGATGCTGACGGTACATTGGGTACTTCTAGCCTCTTCTGTTTTGCGTCTTCTTTGTGTCTATAGTAGAACCAACTGTGAAAGACATAATTTGAAATTAATACGGAAATCTACGTTGATCTTTAGCAACATTTTTTGTATTAGATGAAAGTAAATGTGAAAGAGTGGACTAGAAGAATTATGTATTTTACCACATAAAAATAAACCTACTATTACTTACATACTGTCTATAGTTTACGCGAGTAGTACACATTTAAATGAAACACTTTAACGGTTTAAAACGCGATATATTAGTTAAACTTATTTGAAAATGATTTTTAACTTCGACCCGACGTTTCGGATGCTTTGCAGCAGCCGTGGTCACGGGGAAACTTGGCCAATTAAAAATCATTTTCAAATAAGTTTAACTAATATATCGCGTTTTAAACCGTTAGAGTGTTTTATTTAAAAATAATCATTTTTAAGAGAAGATTCTTCTTCTTTCTTCTTCGTAAAGCGTAATATAGTTTATTTTAAATACTACTATATTTATATTATATATAACCTTTATAGTAATAAAATATATTCAAAGTTTTCAGTTCTGCCGACACTGCCTGAGTACTGTATTTTTTTAAATATTATTTATTTTTTTGTACTGTTTATAACAACAAACAACTTACTATGATTTTTGAGATGCGAACCTAGGGTTCTCTCTTCTCTTTTAATTATTGTGAATTAAAATAGAGATATACTGTAACAATTGTAACTTACACAAATATCCCCAAAGCTGGCATTGTAACAAAAACACTGACGAGGAAAACAGCGCCGGGCAGAACGTGCAGAGTCAAAATGTAGATGCGCGAATAGAGTGGTGCGAAAATCAGGGGCATCAATGTTTCAGCTACGCCGAACAGGGAGAAAACTTTACCTAAAATACAAAGATCATTCATTATCATAGTAAGCAAATAACCATATTAATAATAAAATACATTATTGCACAAACAAATAAGATACAAATACAGTAAACAAGCGTTTATATTTTCTTTGAGAACCTTTGAGGGAGACTGAACTAGTATTTTTTTTTAAACAACTCAATGGTCTAGCATTTGGTTAAATACGAGAGGTCCTGGATTCGAATTTGCGGGGAAACAGGAGCATTTTTCGGTCGGGCAGGGCACAGAAGTTCAATCAACTACTTATCTGTAAATACAATCAGTGAAACTGATACAGATTTCTGTTTCCTCCATGTCCACTGTATTAAACTTTGACTTTTAAAATATTTAAAATGTTTCATATAAAATTACAGATTGATAGTAAGTTCCTTTTAAAGATTTTTGCCTTAACTTCTTTAAGGCGTATAGAAATATTGAACAGTAAAAGTAAGCATTTAAAATGATAAAGATAATAATTATTCTATTACCTCATGGCTTAATACAATTTCAGTGTACGCACACACAGTGAGGAGAAACAAACAGTAGGATTCAATTCAATTCAATTAAACCTAATTCCTGATGCGAAACCAACTTGGAAGCGATAGATCTCAGCGCTATCATCGTTGTCCCATTTAATATCTCGGCAAGAGGTGCTGGAACAAACAAAATAATAAGAATTTATCGCCGAAAACTTAACAGATAATTTTAATTACAAACTAAAACTACTCCAGCGGAGATCGGAATTATTGCTCTGGAGGAATTTTCCTTACTTTCTATATTAATTGACAAAAAGTTTTGTCGGATAATATTCTAGTTTTGTGAAGTTGTTTGTCTTACATTAACCAGTAAGACGTTTTGCGGTTTCATTTCTAAGATACTTAACCAATTATTTCTTTAAATAAGTATTACTATTGTCTGTAGTTAAAGTCGACATATTGAAAAAAACATTTATAACAGTTTGAAAAACGAATTACTTATCAGAAAAGCCCTCGTGATTAAGTAATATTTCTCGTTTTAAACCGATAAAAGTGTTTAATTTTAATGTGTACTACTCGCGTCATCTATACACAATACTTACACGTATTTTAGGTAAATCGTTTATTTATTTATCTTTAAAAACTAAAACGTTACGTTACGCGTGATACATACCTGCATAAGCTTCATATTCATTTCTAGCGAATGCAAGCACCAAGGCTCCAGCCATTTTACTTGAAGTTGATATCATACCGAGTACAGCATCATCAGCTCTTAACTTCTTGCTGAATACACTTATGGAAAACATGGTACCTGAAAACCATTTTATTATGAAAAATTATAATTTTTTAATATAAAGGACCTGATGATAGGTTTTGTAATCCAGCCATAGAACATCTAAGTTAAATGCGCTGTTGGCCTATTTCGGCATTGGATATTCGAAAATCCACAGACTGAAACCGATGCGCGATTAAAGTCCCGGGGTCCTACCGCCCATTTAATATTCAGATTTCCCGGCGAAAAACCAACATGTTTTAGAAAAAAATATAAATTTATTAGAAATATGTTGGCCAGATGGACATACGCACACTCGTTGCTTATTACTACCATTAAAGCCCTAGCCCGTCAAAGTTTTTTCAAGCTATGTTCCTAACGAGTATGTTGTACGCACGAACACAAAAAAAGGAAAAAATAAAAAGTATGTTTCTCTCCGTCTAATAACTCACATGCCAAGTAGATTGGTTAACTATTTTAGACGTAAAACATGATATACAAACACTTTAGCATATTATATACATAATATTTTAATGTACTATAATATATTAATACTTTATAGATATACCATAACAACAAAGTAGTATCTTTTCGTTTCGGTTTGAAATGCCATGTTTACTAATTCTATCATTGTTTTATAAGCGATCACTGCTATCGGAATGTGAAACGGGAATGTTTTCGCATTTCTTATAAACTACTTCACTTGTACAAAACAACTATAACAAAGAATGAGTGAGAAATAAATTGACTTTAAACTGAACACATTTTTATATAAACAAATGTTAGAATCAAGTATATAATTTTAAATAAAACACTTTAACGGTTTAAAACGCGATATATTAGTTAAACTTATTTGGAGTCTCCCCGTGACCACGGCTGCTGCAAAGCATCCGAAACGTCGGGCCGAAGTTGAAAATCATTTCCAAATAAGTTTAACTAATATATCGCGTTTTAAACCGTTAAAGTGTTTTATTTAAATGTGTACTACTCGCGTAAACTATAGACAGTATTTAACAAGTATATAAGCTTTTAAAAACAAATGATATAAATAAGTACACTTTTTTTCATTTTTATGACAGGTAAGAACTTAATGACATACATTTAATGTCAAGATTTCGGTCAATATTCAAGATGAAAGAACGGGAATCGAAATCATTACCAATTGGTTCGACACAAGACCATAATTAACTCGCTACTACCATTGGACCAACGGGTCAAAAACAAACAAAAAAATGCACGCATTAACCAGATTTAAAAAATTCGATAAGCGCCGATTTCTGAGTTTTCTTTTCTCCTGTATCGTAGAAATGTTTATTCCTAAATACTTTTTTTGAAATTTATTCGCATTTGTTTCTACTTCAAGCCGAATGGAATAGACAGATTTTGATGAGAACAGCCGACATAGAATGTGTACCTAACATAAGACATTGTACTTACCAATGGAATGAGTAACAAAGCTGAAAGTTGAATATATACTGTATTTGACTTCGTCCCAATTGAAACGATATCTTGCAAAGATGTATAAGATGCTTAATTCACCTGAAAACAAGGATATGTTTAAATAAAATACATTAACGGTTCAAAACGCGAAATATATTTGGTAAATTTGTTTACATTATTTTTAACTACGCTCGGACGTTTCTGATGCTTTGCAGTAGCAACGGGGAAACGAGTTTAATGTATAAATTTTGTGTTTTATACCGTTTAAGTGTTTTATTTGAATGTATACTATTCGCGTAAACACAACACAAGGTTATTGTAACGTTAAGTAGACAACATAACAAAACTATCTATTTCAACAAATTTTGTTTACGATAATACGGTTTTTGCCAGTTAATTGGTACAATGTATACTGTCATAGACATCTCCCTAGAGTTATAAAATAGTAGATGTATAAAAGAGGGATCATACTTTCATACGTATGTGGTTACTTTAACGATTTTGAGCAGAAATGGAAACCCTACTCCCCTCAGTTTTCCTGTTTATTCCACATTTTCCACTATTTCTTAGCTCCCATTCGTCGCTGAATTTCCTTTAACCAATAGTTCCTGAGATTAACGCGCTTAAACAAACAAACGCTCCGGCTTTATAATATTAATATAGATCTTAGTATAGAGTCCAAGTTGGATTCGATTAAAATCAAAATACGTTAGGATTTATTCATTTCAGTTTTTGTGGTTTGGTTTTTGCGCACAATCTTTTTCTCCAATTATTTTCGAGTTGGGTAAAGAGAAGGTCGTTTGTTTTTCATTTCAATTCATTAAACCAACTGCTGAACATATGTCTATTTTTGATAGGAGAAAGGGCTTAAAAGATCAAACCCACAGAGGTACGTCTAATTTTAACGGGGCTAATTACAAGTACGGCGAGGTTCAAGTCAAGTCAAAATCATTTATCACGTAGATAACTAGATACACTTATTAACGCCCAGCTCTAAATTTACATTAACTGCCAGTTCTCAAATCACGGCCGTAGAAACAACGAGAAGAATTGGCAAGAAACTCGCCGCCACTCCTTTTATCATATGTTTTATTTTACAGACTCCACGTACTTTAATAGTGATTCATAGTTTTTTCTTGTTAGAGCGGGTTCCTCTAAGCCCCAATATCTCCCGCCAGATCCTAGATGTGTTTAGGTGAAGTGTCTCTAGACAAACGCAGCAGAAAAGGTTTGTGACAACAACGAAACAACATTGATGGAATCACGATATTCAATTCATTCTAGATATATTTGTGTAAGAGATACGAACGATCAGATTGCGGATATAAACGTATATCGGATTCAAATATCTTCTGTGTAACCGTCTTGCCAATATCAAGTTATTCTAGATACAAATATGTCACTCCACTTACTTTAGTAAACGATATTTACAACTAGAAATTCTTGCAGAACCATGACTACCAAAGGCTTTTGCGAAAACCTTTGTGTTCTTAGTACTCGTATTAATTAATATTTTGTATACGTGCTGAATAAAGTGCCATATAATTATGTAATATATTATAATACTTGGAGCGAAGCAAAGGGAGGATGGAAGCTGGAGAGTTAGAAAAAACGGGGAGATCGAAAAACTTGAAGAAAGAGTATATCGGAATCCCAAATTCCCGCCAAGATATCGCTGGAAACTAGGGACTTGCGCGAGCTCGGTGTGGCCGAATTGCGAACAGCCACACAAGATCGGCGAAGGTGGCGCTCTTTAGTTTCGGAGGCCAAGACTCACTTTGGGTCGCTGCGCCAGCGAAGTAAGTAAGGAATATAGAAATATCATTATACAACTGTAAATGTAAGTAGTTTTTATGTGAAACGCGGAGACAGCAAAAAGTTGAATTTAAGTTTTTATGCGGTATTTTTGGTATAACAGTTTTTGTTAAGTTCATTTATATACATTATTACTTCTTACATATTATGTTTCTATAATTCGAAATGACTCATTCGTTAATGCACACAATATTTTTACATCGCTTTTTGCAAAAACAGTGATGGCACAGCGTAATTTTTTAAGTCTCTTGTTTAGGTACTTCCCAAAAATATACTTTGTTGTTTTACAAATTAGTTTTCCTAGAAACATTATCTCATAGAATTGAGTATATTTTGGTTATCCTTCCTTAAAACCTTTTGCTAGTTCTTTTTAGGGTTCCGTATGCAACCAGTAAAGACGGAACCGTATTAGTAAGACATCGCTGTCTATCTGTCTGTCTGCTCTTCAATAATCGTGTAAGCTAGAAAGTCTTTTTTTTTGTATTTGGTGCGGCTATAAGACCAATACTTGAAATTATAAGGGGCTCCAATATAAAAAGAAATAATTTTTAAACACTTGTAACAACAATATAATCTATAGGTACGGAACCCTCGGTGAGGTACCTCGACTCGCACTTGTTGGCTTATTTATTACGAGGTCTTTGTCTCCATATAGCCTTCAGTACTTAAAATAGAGACGTTCGTTTAAAGAAGTGATTATCCTAGTGACCCTGTATTTAGGACCTCTGTTTAAATGTCAAGAGAACGGAAAAATATTGTACAATGTATTCGACAATATAAGGCCTCATATGGAATGTTTAGAGCAGTTCAGGATTCAGATCCTGGGAAGGCAAATTCGAGGCCCTTGCTTATAAAAACTTAATCGTACTATCCACGTTGCGGACGTATGACAAACGCGCTGTTTATATGTCCGTTACTAGAGTTTAACGATCATCATTGTGGATGGTCTTGGATTCGAATCCCGGTGTAAGAATACAATATTTCGGTCCGGTAGGTAACAGAAGTCGAAACAAGTACTTGTAAATAAAATGGAGCAGTGAAACAGACAAAGAATGTAGTTCGCCCCATACCCCACACTGGGTACGGAAGTCCACTTACAATATTAGGCTAGACATGTATTTACATGAGGTGTGGAGTGAGAGGTATGGTATTTAAAGTTAAATGCAGTTGTGCAACTCGTCCGGCTATGCACGCCAAGGTTCTCCAATTAAGTAATTTCGCAACTAAAAACGGACTATTAGAGAATATTTATAATGTATAAAATTACGGAAATGACATATAATTTCACATATACAAATTAAAAGCATACAAAGAGACTTAAATCGACATATACATTGTAGTATGTAATGCGTTTTATTATTTATATAAACATTATTCTTCGCCGCTATAGCTCAATGGTTATGGCAAATGTCCTGGGTTAAAATCCTAGGAAGTTATAGCTTCCCTCAGGTTACTCTCGAATAAAATGGATCTATAAATAAATAAATATATACTAAATCTGCTACGATGAACCAGATGGCGCTAGCGTATCAGATTTAGCTACATATACATTTGGGACACGCTCCGTTTTAATTTTCCCCCGTGACTATGCCTGCTACAAAGCATTCGAAACGTCGAGATGTAGTTAAAATAAATTGGAAATAATTATAATAAAAGTCGCGTTTGAAACGGTTAAATGTAAAATTTATTTAAAAGTTATATTATAGCTATACATTTATAGTGTTATCGTTAATCCTGTTAAGAATAGAAGTAGACAGGAGTAATTGGAAAATTGTCAGTTACGATCGACTAAGACGGCGTTGATGAATGTGGGCGTATAGAAATCAAACCCAGGATCCTACGTGTTTGGTATTCGCGTATCTTTGCAACAGCAGTGGACACGGGGAGACTAGATGGAGGAAGTTTAACTAATACAAAATCGCGTTTTAAACTGTTAAAGTGTTTTATTTAAATGTTTACTACTCGCAAACTATAGACAGTATGCGTTAAAGGACGTTAAAGACTAATATAAATAAATTTTACTTTCATAATAAGTTTTAGTTTACTAGCAAAGTAGATTTCATTCAATATCTGCATAAATAAAATAGTATTTTAATTGCTTCTTTTACTCTTTGATAAAGCACGACTATAAAATGACGTTACTGAATTTACATTCGAGAAAATTCGCTATTTCATATTAGAATTTAGATTTACTTTTCTATTTGAAGGAATTCTCTGTATAAAAGTTTATAGACTTATGTACCATTTATGCTTCTTAATGAGAATAAAACAGCTCTTGAAGCTTGATGCAAATGATTAATTTTTATATCTACTGGTTGGTTTAGTTCTAGTTAAAGTCTTTTATATGATTCTTGCCTGGCATATAGGTAAGAATATCGGCCCTTGTCTTTATATAAAATTATTAGACTGATTTTGATAGAGTATCCAATAAAATAAATGGTGAAGCAAAGTGACATAAATCATGATTCTACCTAGAAAGACACTTTGCAATTGATATTATATGTATACAGTTAAAAATATATAAAGTTAGTAAGCAACTAATAAAAAATAACTATATGTCACGGAGATATTAACATCTTCATTGGTTTATAAAATTACAGTACTTACAGAAGTGGTAATAGAATTTTAAATTTTGAAATGTGAAAAACCTCCTGTTTTTTATAATTTTTTACCAAGTCCAGATACATAAAATATACCTTGTATGGATAATTACACTAATTACACATTTTTTTATGTGATAATTACACTAATTACACATTTTTTTAGTGATAATTACACAAAATTATGAATGAATGAATTTTTATGTATGGGATACGATTTATACTAAAGATTGATCTTTACTAATATTATAAAGCTAGATAGTTTGTTTGATTGGACGCGCTAATCTTAGGAACTACTGGTTCGAAATTAAAAAATCATTTTGTGTTGGTTGAGCTATTTATCGAGGATGGCTACATTTGGTTGCGATCAATATGAGCGACGAGAGAGGTAAATGTGGAATAAACAAGAGAATTTTATTTTCTTTTAGCCAGCCCATGCAACCAACCAAAAAACAATCAGTAGCATGATTCCTTTTAAAATGTAAAAAAAGATATGTCTATTTTTTAACATTTACTCGGAAGAACGGCGGGACGTGACCGACGTTGTATATCGTCTATAATTTATAAAGCTAAGGAGATTGTTTGCAAAGATAAATATGAAGCCCAAAATAACTATTCCACGAACGCGGACGAAGTCGCGTGCGCAGCTAATAATATATGTTTGTGAGAACTCACCCCACAGTGGTCCAAAGCTAAGGCATACAACAACTAGAATGAGGCAGATCCTTAACCTCCTTCCATTTGCTTCTTTCTTGAACGCGATCTTAAGTGTATCTTTCACACTGTTAAAATCGAAGAACTCTAGCAGAAATCCACTGCAACCTGTTCGTAGTTTCTGGAATAATTTAACTACATTAACAGTTAATACATTGTGGGGGGGGGGGATATAAGGGTAAATAGAGTGTAGATTGCAATTTCGAAGACACAGACAAAAGACCAACAATTATCTCATATATATTGACGTACTTTACCAGTAAAAAAACAACTGATGAGCTTGTAACTTACGTACTTCAGTTTAAAACCGGTCTTGGCGCCTGCGCTAAATTTGGTTTTAGGCTTATTTGTAAATCTAATTTTGAAATTTCAAAGCTCGTCTCTAAGTGATAAATATAAACACGTGTTATTTAATTATTTTTTCCACATTTCCACAATTAGACAATGGCTTCTTACAAGATTACGCGAATAGTACACATTTAAATAACATATAACTACAATAAATAACGTAATAACAATAAATAACAAATAACACTTTTAACGGTTTAAAACGCGAAATATATTAATTAACTTATTTACAACATATTTTAACAAGGCACGACAGTCACGGGGGAACAAAGCACCCGAAACGTCGGGCTGAAATAAATTGTAAATGAGTTAGCTAATATATTTCGCATTTGAAACCGTTTTTAGTGTATTATTTAAATATGCAATAGATTAAAAATTGTCTATAGTTTACGCGAGTAGTACACATTTAAATAAAACACTTTTACGTTTAAAACAATATTTTTAAACTATTTGAAAATATTTTTAACTTCGAAACGTCGAAGCATCCGAAAGTCGGGCCGAATTAAAAATCATTTTCAAATAAGTTTAACTAATATATTACGTTAAAGTGTTTTATTTATATGCAATAGATTGTCATTATTATGATTTTACTTCTGATAAAAGATATGGTATGGTAATCGTACACCCGTGTACAGTACTCGTTAGGCTGTTGTCTTTATTGTATCTGTTTCAAAGATCGAAATAATGAAATAACAAACCTTATCCTTATTTTGTAGCCACGTATGGTCGTCAATGGCTAAGTACACATACGTGAAATTAATAAACTGCAGCACAGCCGATATCGAGAAGACACCATAATAGCCAGTATAACGCAATAAGATTCCACTAAAACCGGTCCCCACTGGAAAGCCGATGGTCATGCACAAGCTGAGTATCCCCATGCGGAACGTCCTCGTCTCCTTCGAAGTCACATCGCCCAAATAGCTAAAACCGCCGAGGAACATCGTATACCATCCACCAGTCAGCGCTGGGAATATCACCTCCATAAACACGGTCCATTCCACCGGGACCTGATAGAAAAAGTACGTGTTGATCATGTTAAGCACGCACGTCATGAACTCCCCGAAGATCGGCATTAGCATGCATATTTTCCGCCTTCCGGTCTTATCGCTCCATGCTCCAATGAACAGCATCAATAGGGTCGGCACTGCTGTGTGTATTACGCTCTTCCACCCCTGGACAGATGCTATTAGCTTCTGCACTTCGTCTTCTTCAAACGTGTGGTTGGCGCGCTTCCTCAGCCTCAGATCTTCGCAGACCGCCTCACTAAACCCTAAATTGACACGGCACGCCTTATCCAAGTTCAGGTTCTGCGTCGCCAGCATAGCCAAGACGCTCGGCATGACGAACAGCGCCAGCGCCGGTTCCACTGTTATATTGGACTTTAAATATTTCAGCTTCTCCAAAATCGTCATAGTGGAGAAGTCGATTTTCGGTTCAGTCTTCAGAGGCAACTCCTCAGTCTTCGCCGCCGTTTCACCTTTTTCGACCGTCATTGTCGAATTGAATAAATCGGTTTATAGGACGGAATCACGCTCGAGAGGTTCGTTATTCAATTACATTGTCATTGAATTCGCGTGCGTGTGCGCAGACGAAACTCACGTCGACAATTGTCCAGCGAGTCTTTATTGCTGCATCCGTCCGTGCTTGGACGGCAGCCGCGTACTAACTGATCTCGAATTTAAGTCACTCTAGGACAGTGGTGATGGTAGATAAAGTTAAACACCGGAACGAATCTCAATATTTTTTGTACTACTCTTATCTTAAATGGCATTAAACCAAGGTATTCAAACTCATGTTGTGTTGTCTGTAGCTTATCTTGTGATGATTATAACCCTACTTCTGTGGTGGGAGGTAGTAATTAATAAGCCCTACCATTAGTCTACTTTTACTTTAGAATGGACACCACTCCTTGCAAATATTAGTTGAAGTGCATTGGCAATGGGCATTTAAACATACTATTATACATAGTAGTAAATCTTCTTAAAATATATTATAGGTATTTGTTTTCGGATTTTGTTAAAAGTGTGCTACAACAGTAGGTATGGCCAAAGTTCACGTTACGCGAAAGATTTTGCAAGTGAAACCGCTTTTAAAACCTCAAAATTATGTTGTACATCTGTGGTTTCGTGTATTTTTAATCTGTATTTGGTAATCTGTATTTTACGTTTTAACATGTAACACCTCTTTTGAAAATTTATTTTTCATGTTATTTCTCAAGATGGCTTATATAAATAAAAACTCTATTTAGATTTAAAAATATCCATATTTCGTAATTACACTAAGTTCTTACGATTTCTAAGACATATTGATTTATGTACTGATGTTTAAAAAGAGCTCTGTTAAGTCCCATAATATCCCCTTTTGAGACATGGGTCAGCCACGCTACGTCCTCAATTTTATGGTCAAGATTATAAAACACTTTCTCTACTCTTATCGATCGTAACAGATTCTTTGCTTTTCAAACGCAAAGCACAGTTATAAAAAAGGTTGTATACATTAAAAAAAGATAAATAAAACCAGAACTATAATTTTGTATAGTTTTATTTCAAAGCAGTACTACAACTTAAATTCACTAGCATTATTCGTTGAAACGAGTTTCGTCATTGTGCCAGATAATATTTAATTCGGTAACTTACATAATATAACTGTTTTACGAGGTTTTACATAAGTCTTCGTTGACATGCATTTTAATTTCACAAGATTCCATTTTAAATAAGGACGAAATAAACATATGCACTTGAATGACATAATTCATTTGTTTTATTCATACTTGCACAATTGTTTCGATTGATAAGTTTACAAAAAAATAATGAGGCAAGAAAGAATGGCAAAACAAAATAATTATTAAGATTTCACCTACAAAGTGTGTATTTTCAAATAAAATTATCGTGGGAATAACTTTTTTTTATTAAAGTTGTTTATTTTATTTATTTAAATATTCATTTGAGTAAGAGCGAAATTGATCCTAGAAAAGTTTGTAGTTAAAGTTGAAAAAAAAAAACAGAAAAACGACCCGACGCTTTGAAATCCTTACATTCAGATTAAATTCATCCTATTGCTTTTTATTGTTTATCAGTTGCAAGCAGGTCGTAGTTTCGTTACTATTGGATTAGTAACAAAAACAAAGTTCACAAATGATCGTGGCGTTTGCCATGGTACTATTTTTAGGCCAACTTATATTAAAAGATCTCCGAAACTCGTTTAGCAAACGTTACGTAATAATTAAAACAAATAAACTAAATATCTTTATTCACGTTCTCCATTTCGTCGACCTGCTTGGTGTCCTTGCGTTGTTCAAAATACATCCATCTGCAAAATCAAGATAACTGTAGTTTGTAACTGGATATTTTTTAAAAGAAATCTAGACCTGAAGCAAAAAATTGTGTCAATAGTCTTATGTTCCGACAATTTTATCGTTAATCTACTGTACATTCAAATAAAACACTGTAACGGTTTAAATCGCGATATATTATTTAAACTTATTTGAAAATTATTATTAACTCCGGCCCGACGTTTCAGATGCTTTGCAACAGTGTGGTCCTGACGGCAGAGACATCCTCCATATGGAGGCTCTCTGACGTCAAAAACATCTTCCAAATAGTTTAAGTCATCCCGCGTTTTAAACGTTAAAATTTTTTTATTACTCTTGCGTAAACTATAGACAGTATTCTATTGTACATTGTTTTATCTGTCATTTAAGGAACATGAGGTCACTCGTTGGTCGGTGAAATACCAAAGCTACATAAGATCTGAACAAGATGCGCTGTCGCCCTATTTCGGCTTTGGATAATCGGAAATTCACAATTAACGCCTTCTTCATCTGTGGACGGTGGTTCGTGATCCGGACTGAATTGCGATATTCCTACCACCCACTTTAACAACCAGATTACCACACGAAGTCCAATATATTCTAGAAACATTAAAAATTGATCAGAAACATATTGGACCCGGTAGGGATCGGACTCACGACTCATGCGCCGCTACCATTACACGAACGATTTGAAGAGATTTACCAAATAGTGTAAATTTTCTTAATTACTATTAGCTAAACACAAAAGTTTCAGGTACAAAAAGATGGTCTTCCTAGAAGGTTTTAATTATCCGCGTCTTTGAATAAATGGTCTTTGATATTGGCGGTGTTAGGTTTCTTCAAGATCAATTCCTTTACCACAGAACTCGTAATAGATATGTAACGACGAGTAAGTATCTTTTATTAATACAACTTCAGTTAATAATATAATAAAATGTAAAAATTGTATGAATTTTAAATCTCATTTCCCGAATACGGGAGAAACACGTTTCAACACGTCTTTTAGTTTCTTTGAGACCCAGACCTGTCGCGCCTTTTGCACAGCTAGTCAATGAAAAAACTATAATTGACTTATGTAGGTAGTTTGCTATAATTATATCATTTAAATTTAATTATATTTCACTGCGCTTTGTTCTGCTGCTCGAACAAGAGAGCTACCGTGTCCGTGTATGGAAATATTCTATTCATTTAATTTATATAAATTAAATGAATATTACGCGTTAACATATTTACAATTTTTTTTAGCTACGACCCGACGCTTCGTTCATATCTACTACGCCAGCGCCATCTGTTTGATGATTTGACATTAGAGACAACCTCCATCTTCAGTCCCCCCGTGACCATGGCTGCAAAGCATCCGAAACGACGAGCCGTAGTTAAATAATAAATAAGTTAGTTCCTTAAATTTGTACTTCTCCTTCTTCTTTTTTCCTTTTAAAACTAGGCACTTGACAGTAAAAAGTTGTCTGCGCAAGGTATTAGATAGTATTTATGTCATTTTGTCATTAGTATCATTGTATTATGAAACTACAGAGGTCAGTACGCTTGTTAGAGAAGTTTGCACTTTCTCTAACAAACAATATTCCGCACACATTCCTCTGCTTTCGTAAGAATAAATAGTCTTCATACTTGCTGTATTATAATACGACTATGTGTAGCCCGCGGCGTCACTTACACTACATAAGATTAAAAGAAGTGAAACTCACATAAATGAAATTTCTTATTCAATACAAACGTAACATTTTTGAAAAGCTAAATTCATAAAAATTGATCAAGTCGTTTAGACGTGATAGAGAACAATCATTGGGCGACGAAACGCGTTCACACACTGTTTGGTTGATATCGCCGTATGTGCGGACAACCAAATTTTTAATAACTTTAATATAGGTATTGTTTGTAGTTTGTTAACACAGTTTAGTTGTAAACATTAAAAAAACACTTTTCAATCGGTTTAGAACGCTTTTCGTATGCTTTGAAGTAGCCATCGGGGAAACGTTGAAACGTAGTTACAATATATTGAAAAAAATCTGAAGTAATATATTTCGCGTTTAAAACTGTTAAACATATTATATTGGACCCTGTGGACCACTGTCATTTTACATAGTGATAGTGTTACTTTCACAAATTTCGTCCCTGACATTAATACTATCTTTGTGGATCTCCGGATATCCAACCTGTCAACAGTGCATTAGTTTAGATATCCGTGAGGTATTTTACCTACGATCAAGTCTGTCTTCTATCAAAAAACTATCTATGAGTCATCTGTTGGGTAACTATATTGATAACTATTAAATTTCATTGTTTGCAATCTAACGCTGTTTACAATCTCACGACAATTATTATAAAGATATTGGTTTTATCGCGTTTCCCAGTTCATTAGTCTGTTCAAATAATCTCATCGGTAATCTGCTATTTTTAGCCCTCAAACAATGAAAGAGGCTAGAACGTGATCAAACACCTTCGTCTTTGTACCTCTTATAATATATTTTATCGCTATTTTTAAGAACGTGTCGATAATGGCGTACTTGAAGTGTGACAAATAACTACAGTGAAGGACGAAACAACATTGACGTCTTACTAAACATTGCTTTAATAAAAAAATAATTTAGACTTCATAACCGCGACGCCAAGTATCATACAAAGTAAAAGTGAAAAATATAGTTTTTTCCTATTCAGGGCCGGGATGAGACACATCTATGTCTATTTAATTAAGCATTTTTATTTGCAGGCAACTATTTGTTCAGACTCGAGTCAACGGATTTGAACTTAGGACTTAACGCAATGATAAATATCAACCATTGAGCCATTGTTACACTAAAGTCATAGACATCAAACCTTTTGTATTATTTTTGTGGAAATGCGGTATATACATATCTATTAAGTATTGTCATTTGTTTACGTGAATGGTACACAGCAGCAGTCTCCCCGTGACCACGGTTGGGGCCGTAGTTAAAATTAATTGTAAATAAGCTAACTAAAACATTCCAAGAAATTAAAGTGTTTTATTTAAAGACATATCTATTTCCATTCCATTAGTCACAGTCCGTCTGTGGCCTGAAATGAGCATAACTTTTGCTTTATATCACGGTTTAGATTCTTTAGAACCTCAATTTTTTAGAACTAGCGATACGCCCCGGCTTCGCTTGGCTCAATGCTGATACTAAACACACTACAAAAAAGTTGTCCGCCTTATATATAAAACCTTCCTCTTGAATCACTCGATCTCATTAAACTCATCAAAATCCGTTGTGTAGTATAAAGGATTTGAGCACACATAGGGACAGAAAAAGCCACTTTGTTTTATACTATGTAGTGATGAGTGTCAAATCCTATAAGAAGTGTATGCAGCTGTTAAACCTTATTTTAAATAACCGTAATCGTTGGAAACATCGTGTGACTATTCGCACGCGGAAAGCGGTGAAAAACATTTCAAAACCAATAGAGGAAAAATCGATTTTTTAATGATTACCCCCGCTTATGGCATCTAAACAAAATGAGCTGTCAACCTATTTTAGCTTTGGATATTCAGTAATCCACAGACTGAAGCCGAAACGCGATTGAGCTTCGCGGCTTTTTCATCTATGGACTGTGGTATACCCGGACGGCATGTATATATTCCTACCACCCATTTAGTACCCAGGTTTCCAGACGAATTCCAGCATGTTTCAGAAGCATTATAAATCGGAATCGGGGTCCAGGTGCACATAGACGACGAGCCCGTCAAATAGTTGATTTCAAATAGCTTTATATGTAATTTAAAAATCGAAAATAAATTGAAAAAAAATTTCGACTCGGGCAGGCTTGAGCCGGCAGCAGTGTTCCGTGCTGTTGCTCTACCAATTGAGCTAATGAGTCTTAGTTCAAGCTTTATATGTTTTTATTACAGTTTGCATAATTAACAATCTATTATACATTTAGCGCTGACAAACGCATCAGAACAATACAAGCACAACATTGCACATCTCCCAGTCGAAATTGAACAAATATTATGAAACATCCATACAATGGAATGATTGGAACAAAACATCATTATCAGTTATCGTTGTTAAACTTCCCAGTCATTGTCCCGCCGACCTAATTAGACAAAACAAATGACAATACTTCGGCTCCCCATTTAGGTAATGGGGAGCCGAAGTATTGTCATTTTGATACACTTCAAAATATATAACTTTGTATGGGGGTTCTTGAACGCGTAAGCTTTTTCGTTATCCAATAATAATTACTAATTTATATTTATTATCTACACTAGCTGAGACAGCGACTTCGTCCGCAAAGAGCACTTACATTGGGCATCTTTATAAACTTAAGCTGTTATCCACGACGTCGGTCGCGTCCCGTCGTATTTGCAAGGTATAGGGTACACATATAGCGTCGCGGACTTTTTTAGATCGTTGAAAGAGGAATCATTCTTTCATACATATGTTTTGCGTATTTTAAAACGTTTTCACAGCGTACGCGTCGGAAACCCACTGATTAATCAATAATTTTCCCCATTATAATCACATTATACAGACACAATAGAAGCGTAGAAACAGCTAGTCCTACGCTCCTATAAGTTGCAGCCCGATGTATTTAGCCTATAGCCTTCCTCGATAAATGTTCTAACCAACACAAAAGTATTTCTTTCAATTCGAACCCGTAGTTCCTGAGATTAGCGCGTTCAAATAAACAAACAAACTCTTCAGCTCTATATATTAGTATAGATATAGGTGAGAATCAAAATTCTGTTCGGGTTACCAACCGCCGTCCACAGATAACAAAGCCGTCAAGTTGAATAATGTTTCGGCATTTGTGCATTTCCGAATATCCAAAGCCAATACAGGTCGACTGTGGATTAGAAACTTAAAAATCATTACCCAAATATAGCCACAGCTGGTACCGTCATCGCTGCTCCCAGTAAGAAGACTGCTCCAGGCAGAACTGTCAGTGTTGCCATATACACTCGTGAATACAGAGGACCGTATACCAGAGGCATCATGGCTTCAGCCAGTCCAAAGAGAGAATTCACCTTACCTGAAAGAATACACTAAAATTGGAATTACCACGAATGAGTATGTTATAATATCGAATCTACTAAAGACTAAAAACATAGATTGATATACCACCAATCCGTTTCAACGTGGTTTGTAGTCAAACCATTAAACGCCTAGCATTGCGCGAGAGGTCCTGAGTTCGAATACGGAGTAAACGATAGATTTGATAATGGGATCTTAGAATAAAAGCGGTTTCAAACATTGTTTTTCAGAGATTATATTTTTATTCTATTATATTCTTCGTGATCCTTAGTATAAGACGTTATTATTTTTATTTATATATATGAATAAAAGTATTCATATTACATTTTTAGAAAAGATAAATCTATTAATAGAATTAATACGTACATAGCTGTTTTAGACTATTTCTTTAATTTTCTCACTGCATTTTAATTAACATCCGTAGTATTATTTTCAATGTTATTATTTATATATCGATTTACAATTATAAAATTTAAATAAAGCAACTTTAACGGTTTAAAACACGGAGTGTATAAATTAACTATCCCCTCGTGACTACGGCTGCTGCTTAGAATCCAAAATCGCTAAAATAAATTTTAAATAATTCAAAATAAAATTCGCGTTTTTAACCGTTAAATTTTGTTTATGCAGTCAATACTTTATCATTGAATTGATGGCATACACTTAAAAGTTGCCTGTCAAATGTTGACAAAACAACACTCGTAAACGAAGTGGTTAAAACGACGAATTTATTATTTATTCAAACATCCTCCCAATCTTTCCAGCATCGCAAAACATTAAACCAATAACGCATTATATAGACGGAATAAACAAATAAATGAGGTGATTCGCACGAATTATCTAATGCGCAAACATAACAGATAAAAAGCCAATTGTTCTACCACTTTTTATGTCTAATAAACGTCATCCAATCTGCGTTTGACTTTTTTGGACAGTTTTTATGGCGAAGCGTGTATGGGGTTTTTTTAGGTTCGTCTATGTTGATCGATGGGAATACCCTCGGACCTCATTATGTTAAATATAAACAAAATAACTGTAATTTATGCTTTATATAGAAATCATGAAATTTCAACTGATTTTAATATCTATGAACAGTTTTCTGTAACGTCTTATTTTGGTCAATTTATAAAAAAACGCGTTTGTATATCAAATACATAAAAACCAAAGAGCGTTTATAATAAACGGAAATAAAGTGTACATTAGAACTAATGTATGTTCTGAAACTGTTCGTCTTCTTAATTAATTTATTTCTGCAACCGTTAAAGTTTTGTCAAAGTAAAACAAGCCATTTACTTATAAAATTTAGCTTACCTTAATGTAGTGTTATCAAATAATTTTTATTAATTATGACATTGGAGAAATATTCGCCCTTCTAACAGTTTTTTTTATAAATGCTAATCTATTTATTATAACATTAATTGATTTGTCATCTGTATAATATTTCGAATTATATTGAAACCAGGTCATAACAACCCAAAAAAACTAGATTGAAACCAGAGATAATAAATGATCTCAATCGCGGAGTTATTGTTTGTAAATTATTTAAAAACAACGACAATCATAAACAAAGGAGAAACAATAGGTAATTAATGAGCAAAGTTACCAACATTGACCCATTTATGACTATATATAATATTTCATATTTATTGTATTATAATTGTGTTAGAAATCGTTATATAATTAATGAATCAGCTTAAAGTTGTACGCACGGAGTACGGTAAAGCGTTTTAAACATCGTGTCGTAGTTAAGATAAATTAACTAAAATATTTCGCGTTTAAAACAGTTAATAGAGTTTCATTAAAAGTGTATCACTCGCGTAAACAACAGAATGCTTAAATACGGTCTGTGGTATACATTTAAATAAAACACTTTAACGGTTTAAAACGCGAAATATATTAGTTAAACTTGTTTACAAAATATTTTTTAGCCTTTCGGATTATTTGCAGCAGCCATGAACACTGCTGTTATTTGTATACAAGTATAACTAATATATCGCGTTTTAAACCGTTAAAGTGTTTTATTTAAATACATAATGCTTGATCGATAAGATACTGATACAAATAAAAGAAAATGCTTTCTTATGCTGCATTTATTCAGAACAACGTAAGTTTTTTTTTTACATATTTAAGTCTTAATCAAATTCTTACCCAATTCTTCGCTGGTCACGAGCTTAGATGCAATTGATCTCATGGCAATGAAAGAGGTCCCGTTGAATATTTCCACCAGAGGCGCTGAAAGTAGTTTTTACTTTTGTTAAAAGTTTTACCTTACATTGAAAAACAAACGCTGATGTGAGTGGGACTCGAATAGCGGTAGTCGACAATATTTTTCTATGTATATACTTTTATTTAGCTGGGGTCGGTTTCGTGCGCACCAATCGATTGCCGCTTAATTAATTATATGCTACTAGCTGTGTCAGCGACTTCGTCCGCGTAGAATAGTTATGTTGGGGATCAAAATTCTTGCAAGTTAATTTAAAAATATAGACCTATAGCGTCCCGGACTTTTTTTAGATCATCTGTATAAATACAAGCTTCCCATAACATCGGGCGCGTCCCGTCGCTTGCGACCCGTCGTTCGGACCCCTTGTTAATCTTAAAAATTAGACATATATTGTTCAATTTTTAAGATTTCCCTCGTCTTGTTCACATTTCATATTAGTCACAGCGCAATGTTTTATAGCGCATAGCCTTCTCAGATAAATGATCTAACACAAAAATATTTTTCAAGTCGAACCCGTAGTTCCTGAGATTAGCGCGTTCAAACAAACAAACTCTTCAGCTTTATATATTAGTATATATGTGGAAGAACGCCTATAGCTTTCTTCAATAAATGCTCTAACTAACACAATAATATTCATTAAATTCCAAGGAACCAGTAGTTCCTGAGATCAGCAAGTTCAAACAAATAAACTCTTCAGCTTTATACCATATTATAGATAAGACTGGGGGTATACCCTCGTCCAAGTGAACCACATGCTTGGCTGTCTTCCTTTTTCACAAAGGTGTTCGAGTTACCCCTACTTTCCCCTTATCATAGCAACTTACCTAGATATATTTCAGTTGTAGTAGTAGCGAAGGCAAATATAAAGGACGCAAGAATTTTGCTCGTGCAGGATATAATGCCCACTACGGAATCGTCCAGCTTTAAAAAATCACTGAATATGCTGATGGAGAATAGAGTTCCTGGAATAAATTGATATTGCTTTATTAATAACAGACATGACGGAAGAGATTTTTCAAAGGACATCAAACATTATTAGCTGGAAAAAATCTTATTATTAAATTTCATGTCCCATAAAAACTAGAACATACTGTAATGTAAGAAAAACTAATCCACGACTGCTGCCAAGCATCCGAAACATCGGGTTATAGTTGAACGAATTTTTAAATAATTTTAATTAATGTATTACGCGTTTAAAACCGTTATAATGTTTTGATTAAATGTGTACTGCTCATGTAAGCTACAGACAATATTTAAAGTAATTAAAGTTAAAAACGCGGAACTAATACACGTTATTTGTGTAATTTTCTATATTTCGTGTTTAGAAGCGTTAAAAGTGTTTTATTTAATGTGTTACCATATACATATATTGAATTGCGTTCGTAGCCAGCATTATGTTCAGTGTGTGAGATTCTATTGTCAAATTCCGGGAAAAAATTACATTTACCCACTGTTGCGTCTGTGGAACAAAGTGGAAGTTACTTACCAACTAAGTTGGTGATTATGCTGTAGGTACAAAACATGCTGAACTGAACCTCATCCCAGTTGAAACGGTACCTCATGAAGAGATACAGTACGTTCATTTCACCTGCAAAAGTCACATTTCTAGATATGGCTCGTTGGTCTAATGGTAGCAAAGTATGACTAACAATCAACGGGCCATGGGTTCGATCCCCACAATGTTCAAATCTATTCATGTTTTTCTGAAACATGTTAGTCTTCGTTCGTTGGAAGAATTAGGTTACGAAGCACACATAAAACTCATGGTAGATGAATATTCAAAATATTTCATCTACCATCAAGTTTTTCCACGCTTGTACGTTCTCCAATATAATACTTGTACACATAAATAAATACTTGTGTGTTTTAGTTTATTAATTTATTCCTATAACGCCATAACGACGTCAGGTCGTAGCGTAAGCCGCTAAGTGTTTTATTTAACAAATCCTTGTTATCTTTATTGTGCCCTCCAAATACTCTTTTACTAAACCTAATGCTGAGTATTTACTTGAGTTATAATCTTATGGAATATAGGTTTCTTTATAACAGCTTTGAAATGCTTCTTTAAAATTACTTCTTTTTTTTATAAAAGGGATTATTTAGAGCTACAAAATGATGAAACATTATTTCGATGTTCCTATGTATAAGACTATGTATTTTATTATTTTATGTCAATTTTACTAATTTATTTTGAGGACATTTAAAGTACTACTATAATAATATATACTATTGGCCAGGATTCGAACCGAGGCCGCGCGTTGACAACTGATCTGGCTAGACAACAATGTAACATAATACGCTATTAAAGCGTCTGGTATCTCTTAAGTAGACAAAAAGTAGCGTTTTCCGCGCAAATACATCGCTCAGACTAACGGCACATCATCCTCTAATTTTCCACTTTAGAATAATAACAGTAATTTTCATAGAGCATTAACTCGATAAAACTTACGACTTGTTATCGTGAATCAAAATTCACGTTTATCGCCGTTTTAAATTTTAAACGATGTTTTAAACAAATGTAAGAGAAATCTTGCTCGCCTATGGGATATAGAACGAACATAATATGTTTCACGTCTCTATTTATTTACACCTGTCTTACTTCTGTGCTCGAACTGACATAAACACTATCTGTTCCTCAAGATTCGAACCAACACCCTTTCGTGCTTTGCGCTATGTTAAGCAACGTGTCATAGCTTTTTTTAGCAAAAAGATAAGTTATGAGGTGTTGTTAGGCATGACGTTAACGAGATAAGTACCGGGGTTCGAATTGAAGCTCCTCAATTCTTTTGAAGAAATTTAAAACGCGATATATATATATATTTTTTTAACTTTAACTATAAAGTAATTTATTATAACACGCTTCCCTGTGACCACGACTGCTGCAAAGCATCCGAAAGGTCGGGCCGTAGTTAAAATAATTTTCAAATAAGTTTAAGTAATATAAATCGCGTTTTAAACCGTAAAAGTGTTTTATTTAAATGTGTACTTCTCGTTGATCTCTTTAAGTTCTGCACGAATCTTTCTCTGGATTTCACCACGAGGGTACGCTCAGCTTGGCGCCATCGGCGTTGTGTTAAAATGAATTTAAAACACATATTTAAATAAAGACATAAAATGATTTCTTAACTCTTACATAATACTTACCATGTAAAGGTCCAAATATAACGCACACGACAACAATGAGCAAGGAGACCCGTAACCTGCGCCGGCGAGGTCCACTCCTAAACGCCACTGTTAGTGTCTCCCGCACGTGACTCACGTCGAAGAACGAGCAAATCCAACCGCGACAGCCCACTGGTTGAACCTGGGAGCATATTTTTATATACTTATGAAAAAAAACTGAAACAAAACGATTCAGTTAAAGAGGAATCATTTTTTAATACATATTTTTAATGTATCCAGAATTTTGTAGCGTAGGTACGCATCGGAAACCTACAATGATGTAGTTTTTCCTTTTTTTTACATTTTTCACTGTATCTTCGCTCTTATTGGTCACGTGACGATTTTTTGTTCGCTTTTATAACCGTTAAACCTGTTTCATTTAAACAAAAGTTATATTGTAAATATTTTTTACATAAATTTAATAGAAACATTTTTCTTACCAAGAATAAATATTTTGATTTCCGATTTAATTTCAGTGGTTCATAAAACAGAAAATGTTTATTTTACTGTCGGTTTTCTCTTGTCATAAGATTATTTAGATTTTAAAGCCAAAAGGGAACTGTCAGGGCCGGATTTAGCGGAGGGAAACCGCTCTGGGGCTTCCACAAATGGGCCAAAAAAGCCTCAGTAGGCGTTACTGATTTTTCATTCAAATTACAAAAAAAATATAATAAATTTCGCCATCTATCTAATCGGTAATATTTTGTTTCAGATTTCTTGTTAGTGATTCTATTTATAGTGTGTTTGTTAAATACTTAAAGAATTTATTCAATTTCACAATGATTTAAAAGATTGATTGAGGAAATTTGTTTTTTTTTTATTTAGAAAATATTTTGCTAGCGAGCCCCCATTCCTTTGTTGCTCCGGGGCCTTTAAATCCTGTCCTTAAAGTCAAGTGAAGCCTTTTTTCCGTTAACCTCAAAATAATGTCTCTTTGTTTTTTAAGTACACGGACATCTCACCTTTAACGCGCCTTAAAAGGTAAATCCAGGTCAGCGGACAAAATCCAAATCGAGTTTTGTTTCTATTTTAAGTAACAAGTGTTAAATTGAGAACGAATGTATAAAGAAATTTAACTTCTTAATATTTAATGAAATTGAAGTTTTACAAAATTGAAAATACCAACCTACCATTTTACTCGAGATACGAACATAATACTCAGGATCTGCTGTTGACTAATTACTACACTAATAAGTCAGTTAATTCCTTTACTTACTCAGAAGTAAATATAGTAGGAACGGAAAGGACGAGAAACAAATAAGAAAATCCCGTCGTGCTTTAATATCGTATAACGCGAATTTCAACCATATAACCAGAGATAAGAGGTATATGATGGCTTAGACTAACAATAACGCCATCTATGGCAAAGTAGTGAAATTAAAGTCAAGCGCATTTATATACTTTCTACGACTATGTCTATTTCTAATCTGTAGAACTTTAGCCATTATTCCAAGTAATTTATTTTCTTATAGCTAAAATAGAACCACTAAATCAAACGAGTCTTCTTTTAGTCTTTTTTTTATAATACGACTAGCTGACCTGTCAAACGTTTTGTTGCCAAATCAAATATTGCGACCAAGTTTGATTTATATGAAAACGGTTCTTATGATTAACTTACGTTTAAGATAGACACATTGCCGACATTTTTAAAGAATATGTAAAGAAATACATCCTTTCATACATTAGACATTTTTTTTGTATCTACAACCGTTTACGCAACGGAAACCCTCGAAGAATTATAATTATCCCCATTTTTTTCCACATTATTAGTTTTTGTTGGTCGCCTTATGTTTTTTATCCTATAGCCTGGATACATTGTCTAAACTAACCTATTTGTTTTCCACCAATTTCACCAATAGTTCCTGAGATTAGCGGATTCAACCAAATAAACTCTTTAGCTTTCGTAAAGATTACAGTTTTATTTGCTCGAATTAGGCCTTACCTAATCCCATACTAATTTTGTTCTTTACGATTGTATTCTTCATTTTATATATTAGCCTAAGACAATTCACACACCTCTCGGAGCCTCGTGCACCAACGACATTCCCCTTCGAATTTGTTTGCGAGCAATTTATCACTTAGACATAGGACCGGAGTACGCGCAAATGATGAACGATGCCAGTACCTTACTAGCACCGGCAACCCTAAGCTTCCTATTAACATTGTCTCACGATTGATTCCGTGTCACGTTAGGAGACACACTGCGTTTAATGGCTTCTAGCTCTGGATACAAGATTTATGAGACACCAAAGTTATTGTTGTAAGAAAATAAACTAAGAAGGCAACCTGGCTGGCAAAATGGCTAGGTACACAAGTTTTAGTATTATTTCACAGCAGAAATAGGTCAACAAGTCATCATTTAAATATTATAAGGCCCCCCTCTGTCATAAAAATGTCGTAGAGTCATTTAGTTTTTTCAAATGTTAATTTTACTAAAACCATCGTCGTCGTCGTCCTAAAAAAAAAGGATTAAAATTGTTCTATCCATATAACTCTTAACATACAGCGTAGTAACAAATAGACAGTAGTCTTAGTTGTATAGTTTTGTTAGTTAGTTTATATTATATACATTTTATATTTTAATGTATATATACATGTATACATACATTTAAGAGATGTTATAATTTTAATCTTTGTGATCAGAGTCAGATAGAATCAGACTCAGGTTCTCTTTAAAGAGAATGGCTTGCTGATTTTCAATCAGTCCTTTATAAAATAAATACTGTTTTATCGCTGTACCAGCTTCAAGTCTTTAGGTACTTCCGTTTTCTCTTACCATATAATTAACTTTGAAATATGAAAAGGAAAAACATTATTTCTTATATAACAAACTATTTGTCTTGACATTAGTCATAGATGTATGTTCTGGTAAGGTACGTTTTAGATTATAGCATGTCGGGTCGTATTTAAGAATAAGAAAACTATTATACTGTGCGTTTAAAATCATTCGTCATTAGTTTTTAATACATGACGCAAACGACAGACAATATACGTATCTATATTCAATTGAATGGCATATCATTTATGCACTAATATAACCTAAATGCACACCGATATTATTCAAAGCTTCACTTCTTCCTATGTTATGTGTATATATGTTACTCTTGTCGTGTTTCTGTTCTGACTAGCCATGCCGTCTTAAAATTATCTCGTAATATAACTTCAAATCTGCTCTACTTAAACTAAAAACTAAAAGAGAAGAGAACTTACACGCTGTCTTTCCTGTGATATATCTGGATCCTTAAGCCGGACATAACCATAAATAAAACTTGTCACATACAACATATTGGATATCAGAAAGATGCCGTAGTATCCAATTTTTTGTAGCAATATTCCACTCAGTGACATCCCTATAGGTATACCGAGGGACATGCACAAATTGGCCACTCCTACTCTAAATGTCCTCATCTCTTTGGTTGTCACATCACCAATATAACTAAACACTCCAACGCAGACTGTTATCCAACCACCGGTGAGCGATGGAAACAGATCAGATAAAGCCGTTACCTCTAACGGCAACTCGTAGAAGAAGTACGTGTTCAAAATAAAGCAGGTGCAACATAAGACTTCACCAACAATTGGTAAGAGAATGCACGCTTTCCGCTTTCCAGTTTTATCACTCCAAGATCCGACGAAGAGAACCAGGATACAAGGGAACGCGGTTTGCACGATGTTCTTCCACGCCTGCACAGACGCTGTCAACTTCTGCACCTCTGATTCTTCCACTGTGTAGTTCTCCGTCTGCCGCCGATTCAGCGCTGAACATACTTCGTCACTGTACCCCAAATTGACTCGGCACGCCTTCTCCAAATTCAGGTTCTGGACAGCAAGACCGGAGAACACATTGGACATGATATAACACGCAATTATCGGTTCTACTGTTATGTTAGCACGAATTGACAGTAACTTATCTTTGACGCTCGACGCTTTTGATTTCTCCTTGGGTTCTTCTGGTCCATGTTTGTCTGCGTTGGCTCTAATTCCATTCATGGTGGATTCTTTGTGTTGATCGCCTAGTCAACCATTTTCGCTAGTCTCACGTATGTATCAGGGTGAAATTGGCGATTGTAGATCTAGTTCAAGATAGATTCTTCTTTTCTTGTGTTGATTGAACGGATACGCGTTCGAGTGGATCCATTTACCAATTTGTTGATATAGTGTCAGGGAGTGTCAGCAGATCGGCTGCGCCCGCGGGACTGTATGGACGGAGTCGACGCCGGCGCAACCTTGCTCGCTGGCCGTTTATCCCATTAGCCCAATGCCTGTATTGTAAAACAGTAGGTGGGTATTATGCACGGTCAAGGTACGCTGTATATTGGCAAGGATCTTTTTAATGCTATACTATATACTGGTAGGCTGGTGCCATAGCAATAATTTATATTTAGAATTAGTTATATAAAACGAGTTGAGATGTGAATTACAAGTACAAACGGACGCTTCCAATAACTCGTACAGGTACTTCTTACAGAAAATACATTTGAAACTTATATAATATTTAGTATCCGAAGCCGACGCGGCTAGTTCGTTTTAACCATCCTTGACCATACCTAAAAGATAGAACGTTAAGATCAATTTCGTATTTAAACTTCTAATATGTTTAAAATAGATATTTTTTGCAGGAATTGTATGAATGTGGCGGAAGTATACCACCACATCTCATTTAAAACCTTCTTTTCAAATAAAATGATAGCTTTTAAAAATCGAAACCACAGTTTAACCCATATAAATCGAAAGCAATAAATCAGTTACGCGCGCTAGTCACACACAATAGCCCAACTGGTTGCTTTTGTATTGATACAAAATTATTCACTGCCGAATTTGATTAATAATAATATGGTGATCGCAATATAAACTGTGGTACGGGATATATAGAGTATGTAGTTACGCAAAATGTATCTTATAAAACACTGACGATGCCGACGATGCTGACGTGATGACGATGATGATGCCGACGATGCCGGTTCAAGTCCTGCCCGAATTTGTTTTTCAATTTATTCTCGATTTTTAAATTATATAGTGTAAAAATTAATAAAGTTTTCAAATGTATTTTTGATTATATTTACCATAAAAGATTTTTCATTTTTGTGATGTGTATAAAATATCTTATTGTTTTAGCTAATTACTTTATAATTAAGACGGAAGGTAAAGAGTGATAATAAATCAAACTACGTTGTGTTTTTTTGGGCAAAATGTTATCTGATGGTTTAGCTATATATTTTTATTCGTTGATAGATTTTATACACAATTAAAAAGAGTTCTAAAAAATCTTCGCAATAATATACATGAGTGATCTAGCTTTTTTGCAATTGTTTTTATATCGACCCTGTAACGTTGCGCGCGCGCCCCTTTTTTTTAATAAAGTCTAATTGAGGCAAATTAATTACATAAAGAGTAGAAAATAATATAACGTAGTAATTATCGTTTATTTTTACGACTTCAAATTCCGTAAAACTCAAGGAGCGTTAAATGTTAATTAAACTATATTTCTTCTTATACTGAATCGAAATGCAAAATACTAGTTTGCATTCACCACTACCACTGTTAAATTAAATTAATATTTGTTTAGTAGTTTCTTTTATAACATCTCCTCATGATGCCGTCCGCTCGTGATGATGAAACGTCGAGAACCTCTTCTCGCTTACGCCGGCCGAACAGCGCAAAAAAAAACACATAATCTTTGGTTTTAAACTGGGTATTATTCGCGCAAATGACGTTGATTATTGTTAGTTTCGGCGTAACATGTAACACTGTACATAGCGAGCATTTGTTCTGTACCCGTATTTAGAATAACATCACATCTATAACGAATATTTACGCAGAACGAATATTCCTCCATTTCATTTAAAAATTATAAAATTATACTGTACATTAAACTTCAAACTTCCCAAAAAATCAATTTCATGACAAACACGATTATGTCAAACATAAACAACTCGACAAAGTCAATTGTTCCTCTCAATAAATAATAAAATAGACTAAGTTTTCTTTAAGTAATTTTCAACTCTTTGCAAATTATATCATAGGAGAAAATGTCTGAGACATCTAGTATTCGCGAACCGTCGATACACGAAGTATTCGTAAAGTTCAATCTATCTTCTTCGTCGGAAGAACCGCCGCGGAAAGAGTGGTCATCGCTCGCGTCCCTTCCAGTGGAAGACAGCCCTAAGATGGTGCTTTTTAAGCAGGGCTTGTACAAACCAGGGAGCGGCGAGATATGCGCGAAGTATATAACATTGTCTGATAGTTCAGTCTTAACACACCCCTATTATAACTATCCTAGCGTTGTAGACCCTGGTATTATGGAGGCATTATTAAAACCAGGTAAAGTAAGTCAGAGTACAATCCTAGGTTGCATAAAGCTTTCGAAACCCTTTTGGGAAAGCTACTTGTCTTATTGAGGTGTTCGGTCGACGTAATTAACAAATGGTTCTTAAGTTACACCATCATAAATCGATGATATCAACAGATGATTTATTTAAATAAAACACTTTAAAACGGTTTAAAACGCCATATATTAGTTAAACTGGCCGGCCAGTTTCGCCAAATACCAACTTCAACGGAACGGATGGCGCTAGCGTAGCAATTTTTTACTTTGACGTCAGAGACATCCTCCATCTTTAGTCTCCCCGTGACCACGGCTGCTGCAAAGCATCCAAAACGTCGAGCTGAAGTTAAAAATCATTTTCAAATAAGTTTAACTAATATATCGCGTTTTAAACCGTTAAAGTGTTTTATTTAGATGTGTAATACTCGCGTAAACTATAGACAGTAATCAACAGAAGATGTTAAGCGTTTCTCGATTAAATCGAGGCTCAAAACCATTTCTCCATGAAAACCGCTAAACTAACAGCTCAAAAATCTTACCTATAACATCTAATCAAGATGATCACCTATTTTTTGTTTGAACATCAACATCAGTCATCACACCATGGTTGTAAAAACCATGCGACAAAGCCAATACTTATGAGAGCTTATACCAGCTCTTAAAAGTGGAGGAACGGTGACCACAGAAGGAATTTAAATTATTAATTTCTATTTTTACATTTCATTATTGGTTCGTTCAGATATTTATTATAACTTGTTCATAAGCTGAACTTTGTATAGTTAATAAACTAATTATATCTATATGTATATAACAGAAATAAGAAAAACCTACCCACTGGACGGACAAGAGCTATACTTGCATGTTTGCGAGGAAATGAAATTGATACCGGTTCGATGTTTTCACCGTGGCCTATTGGAAAATGCTATCGACTTAAAAGTGAGTTTTTATTACGCTTTATGAAACCTCAACAAACATGTAGTTTACTGAAATCATTCTCTCTTTATAGTCTATATCGTTGTAATTGAACTCTACTCGATTCCATAATGTTGTTATTAGAGTAAGTGTCTCCTCAAACCTTCGTTTGCCTTTAATCTATACTAATATATATAAGGCTAAAGAGTTTGTTTGTTTAAACGCGCTAATCTCAGCAACTACGGGTTCGAATTGAAAAATTATTTCTTGTCTTGGTTAGAGCATTTATCGAGGAAGGCTATAAAACATCGCGCTGTAACTCATAGGAAATACAGCGAGAATTGTGAACAAAACGGGGGACATTTTTTATCTCTGTTGGTTTCAGATGCGTATGCTGCGAAAACGGGTTCAAGACTCCCAAAAAATATGTCTCAAAGAATGTTTTCATATAGTGTCGCGGACATTTATTTAGATTATTAAAAGTAATGATCTAAACAAATGTCCGCAACACTATATATCTATTTTTTAAGATTAACTTGCAAGAACGACGCTCCAACCGACCCGTCGCCTGCCACTGATGTCGTACGAATCTTAAATATAAAAATTAATAAAAAACTAATTTTGATGCCCATAATAACTATTATTCTAAGCGGACGAAGTCGCTGACACAAATAGTATTTCCTAAAAGTTAAAGGTTGAGTAATAACCCAACATATACATATAAAAACGTATTGTCTGCTCGCAATGACATCACTTAAACATGATTATTAGTGCTGTAAACACTTACGTCTTCAAGTAAGAGTTCCTTGAATATTGAAGTGTTAAGTTTACACCACACCAAACTTTGCACACTCGTGCGTTCTAATTGAAGTTTTAATAAAAAACTTTAAAAAAAAAAAAAAAAAAAAAAAAAAAAAAAAAAAAAAAAAGGGGAAAAAAAAGGGGGGGGGGGGGGGGGGGGGGGGGGGGGGGGGGGGGGGGGGGGGGAAAAAAATTTAAAAACAAAAGGAAAGGGAACGAAGATGTCATTGACATAGTTTAGTTACCTGCTATAATTAATTTATTGGACCTAACAAAATGTTTTCTGGTCCCTTTAGTGTTGTTGTAGTTGTAGTCCTGGGTTTGAATCCCGAGACAACATAATAGATAGGAGAGAGGTAGAAGACACGGAAGATAATCGATCACCAGAACGGATGCAGAAATATGTTCACCCTTGCTTTACTGGTGGAAATTAGATTAAAATGACCTGAGCGAAAGAATTTATTGTTTTCTCAGAATTTGCAGCCGGAACCTCCCTTGCTTTACTCATTGTTTATGTTTGATGAGGATAGACAACAAGATGCGCCGTCGATCTATTTTGACTTTAGATATTCAGAAATCCACAGGCTGAAACCGCGATTAAACATGAGGGCGTTTACATCTGTCGACGGTAATTCGTGACCCGGACGTAATTTTGATATTTCTGCCCCCCATTTAATATCCAGATTTCAGACAAAGTCTAACAAGTTTTGGAAAAATTAAAAACACGTTAGTCCGGAACATATTCCTTGGAAAAAAATAAAAATTGAAAGGAATCTGAAAAAAAAAAAAGACCCGGTGGGGACCATCATAAAACCATAAATTGCTACCATTACTAAGAAGAAGCCTTTCAAACAATTGAGCAACGGATTCATGTAAAAATCTATAATATTCCATTTCCCCCCAACAGTACTATGGCGTGAATCCAAGAGGTGTCCGAGCGATGTGCCTGGCTTTAAGTTTCAACAGCAACGTTACAAGATTAGACTTAACTTCAAACTTCCTCGACGATGACAGCTGTTATCACCTCGGCCAACTTCTTGGTGAAAACATGGCGCTACAGGAACTAGTTCTCTCGGGTTGTAGGTAAGAATAAAACTATAGATATATTTATCTATACTAATATATATTGCGGAAGAGTTTGTTTGTTTGTATGGTTGATTACGCTAATCTCAGAAACTCCGGTTAGTTTTTTTTTTTTTTTTTTTTTTTGGGGTTTTAAAATAAAAAAAATAATATTAAAAAAAAAAAAAAAAAAAAAAAAAAAAAAAAAAAAAAAAAAAAAAAAAAAAAAAAAAAAAAAAAAAAAAAAAAAAAAAAAAAAAAAAAAAAAAAAAACCACCCCCCCCCCCCCCCCCCAAAAAAAAAAAAAAAAAAAACCCCAAACCCCCCCCCCCCCCCCCCAAAAAAAAAAAAAAAAAAAAAAAAAAAACCCCCCCCCCCCCCCCCCAGACCCCCGGGGGAGGGGGGGGGGAGAGGGGAAAAAAAAAAGGGGGGGGGGAAAAAACCCCCCCCCCCCCCCCCCCCCCCCCCCCCCAAAAAACCCCCCCAAACAAAACCCCACCAAAAAAAACCCCCCCCCCCCCCCCCCCCCCCCCCCCCCCTTCCCCCCCCCCCCCCCCCCCCCCCGCGGGGGGAAAAAAAAAAAAAAAAAAAAAAAACACCCCCCCCCCCCCTAAAAAAAAAAAAGGGAAGGGGGGGGGGGGGAAAAAAAGGGTTTTTTCCCCCCCCCACAAGGGGGGGGGTTGTTTTTTTAAAAAAAAAAAAAAAAAGAAAAACCCCCGTTCCCCCCCCAAAAAAAAAAAATTTTTTCCCCGGGGGTTTTTTAAGGGGGGGGGTGGTAAAAACACCCCCGGTTGGGTTTTTAAAACCAATTTAAAATGATAACAATCCTACGGGTTTGGAGGAACCCGCTCTAACAAGGAAGAAGATGAACACGTTATGTGCGTAAGGAACTTGTAACAAAAACTTGACCTTGAAAGGACTGGTGGCGAGTTTTTTGCCAGTTCTTTTACTGCTTCTACGCCCATAATTTGAGAACTGGTAATAAATGTAAATTTAGAGTTTTTTTTTTTAACTTTTTTGGTGGTTGGTTTAGTGTACCTAGCTACCTCATGAAAAAATTATTTTGATTTTAAATGTAGAGTTAAGCTGTTTAATCAAGTCAATTAGAGCATCTGAAGGAATAAAGTAATGGACGTTTTAAATTAAAAATCGATTTTTGATTAAAATAAATTTAAGATATATCATGAGTAGAACCGGCATCCACAGCGTTCCGTGCTGTTGCTCTAACCAATTGAGCTACCATGTCCTATTAATTGAAAAATATTAAAGTTTCCAAATAGGATTTCTCTGTTTAATTTACGATTACACGCTATATATTGTGTAGCAAAAACGCTATGTATTTTAGTAATATGATGTTATCTGCACGTAAATTGACAAATTAACTAAAAAATAAAGATATAAAAAAACAATTATTTGTACTGAAGTTTTTTTTTTCATTTATATTATATATATTGGGAAGTGACTATATATATCTATCATTTCAACTTCAAATTCACTTCTTGTTGATTATTTGTTAGCGTCTAATTCTTCTTGGCATTTTTTACTATACAAGTTACGAATCTAGTATAAATTTCAAATTACATAGAAAAGATGTAGTAATATTAAAAATATTTACAGATTAAATCTGAGCTGCAATGACTTAGGAATGGAATCCGCTTTGTCGTTCGCAGAAGTGTTGGAAGTAAATAATAAAATTACACACCTCGATTTATCATGGAACAAATTCTCTACTATCAAAGGTTAATTCAAACAATAGTAGTGAAACAACTATTTATAACGTTGGAAAATATCGTAAAATAAAACACTCTCGACGGCTCTAAATATAAAATATATTATTCTTCTTTTAAGTACGAACTGACGTTTTGGATGCAATCCGCAGGTGTGTAAGTACTCCATTGACCGTCGAGATGGGTCGTATTTTAAATTACACATATTTCGCAATTTTGAACCGTCAAAACCTATTTATTGTTCGTTTACTAAGTTTTATCCCCAATATGAGACGTGTTGTTTATAATTCAGCAAAACACGAAACCAACAGAATATAAATTCCCCAACAAAACTCTAACATGAGGACAATGAGCCGCAAGCCCTCTGCAACTAAAAAAAAACTCTTCAACTACAATACGTCAGTTGAACTAACATTTAATAACCTGTACAGTACGAAGCTCTCAGGCTAGCCGTTGAAAGTCTGAACGCTCCCGCTAAATATTTATGTGGGAGGGAATGAAATAGCAAACGCTATATCACCTCAATGAACTGAATCTTGGATTTACTCTCGCAAAGGAGTCTATCATCTTCAGCTTATGTTATTATAATCTGAAAGAAGCTTAAGCTTTTTTGAAGTTGGTCTAATGGTTAAGACTAATAATCAACGTGACGTGAATCGATTCCCATTAGGCCCAACGTGTTTCTATAAACGCGTTATAAGTATGTAAAATCTACTGAATCTAGTGAATTTCCAAATGTCCAAAGCCAAAATAGGTTGACAAAATATCTTATTTAAATTTTATTTGGCCGAGGCACGTTCCATAAACTTAACTCCATTCTCATTAAATATGTCAGGGACTCCGGGGTGGGGAACTTCTTAGTTGCCCAAGGCCTCGGTCGCGTCCTGTCGTTCGTGCAAATTAATCTTAATAATATACTAGTGTCGCGGTAATTTTTTAGATCTTTTAAGGAACAATTCTTTCCTACGTACTATTTGGGTACTTATAATGTTTTCGCAGTAGTCAAAGGAAGCCGTCAAATATGATTCAATTTCCCCGTTGTTTCTTTGCTCCTTTAGTCGCGATTTTTTAGTGCCTATAATCTTCCTCGATGAATTCTCTAAGCAACACAAGAAGACTTTTTCAATTCCCAGGATAGCTTTAGCGCAGTCAAGCAAACAAACTCTTCAGCTTTATATATTAGTATAGATTGTCGCTGCTTGCTGTCATCAAATCTAGCCGGTTCATAAAATAGCGACATATTTACTTTTAATAGCACGCACTAGTTTCCGATATGTTGTCCGTATGTTAGAAACTAACAAACCGTCTAATTGTAAATGATATTAATTGGTTAAACGTCGTTATATTGTGTGCATTGCATCAATGTTTCCAATTATATAATAGTTTATAATCTGACAGTAATTATTAATACTTATGACACATTGTAACCGACAAAAATCAAGAACACCAAATATTTAAAAATAAATTGAATAAAAATTTTAAAAATTTAAAAAAAAATTAGAGGAAGGTAGAATTCATTCTGTTCATTATATTATATATACATAAAAGTACAATGTAATAGTTGAAAATCGATTATAAATTTAAAAAAATGCACATGGCGGGCTTTGAAGCGGCAACCACATCGTTCACCACAATTTATAGGACAAGGTCAATCTACAATCAAATTTTAATTTATATAGTGCCATCATGTGAAAAATATTCATGTACCGTAATAATTATACTGATAGATTAGATTTTTATTTTAGGACCAAATGAGTTGCTGGATAAATTGAGCGAAAGTAAGGTACTTGTGGAATTGAATATGGCTTGGAACGGATTGAAAGTCACAAATGTCTTTACGAAGCTATTGAACGTGCCTACTCTTCGAATTCTGGATTTGAGCAATAACAGGTTAAATTGCTAAAAGATAAATACATACGTACTATTGTACGATTTTAACAAACAGCGTAAGCGCATCTTCTATAACACGATTACAAAAAGATGGCGCTTACGCACAACCAAATCTCCATTTTCTTCGCTATGTTCAGGTATGAGGTATAACTTGAGTCCCGTATTGTTTTATTTATATAGTATTATGCCTATAAATATTATAACTTTGCATAAATTGAAACATATTAATAATAAGTCTTTGGTGAACAGACAAAAAATGGTGTAGCACCGTTCTTTTCAAAGCAAGACACTTGTAAATGTAATTGTCAAAACTTGTATGTTGATTAAAGTTATTATTGAACGTTTAAAAACATAGGTAAGGGGTTGTCCATTAATCACGTGAGGCTTGAAAGGGGGGGAGGTGTTTGATAAAAATAAAAAAAAAAAAAAAGGGGAAAAAATCCCCCCCCCCCCAGGGGGTTAAAACCCGAGATTTATTTTTTCGTCAAACGCGCGATTTTTAAACAAATGGTGTAGACATTTTTATTATAGTCCTTAATTTCAGAATAAAATAAGATTATACCTGTATTTAAATTAAGATAATATACAGAAAATTTTAAGATTCTTTGTAGGTACTAAAAATACACGTGTTGTTGAGAAGGGGGTGGGAGGGTGGTCTTAATCCTTACTACGTATCACCAATGGGGGTTTTAAAAATGCTAAAAAAAGATAACGTGATTATTGGACAACCCCTAAAATCGGTGGTAGGAATATCGAAAATCCGACCACAGATGAAAAAGCCACGTGTCATCTTGTTTCGGTTTGTCTATTGTTACCCGAATACCAGCCAAAACAGATTGACAGCTCATCTTATTTAGATGTTATATGGCTGGGTTATTTTACCTTTCATCAACCCCATATCCGTCCTCCTCTATCTTAATTTTAATATTTTTCAGATTATCTGACACTGCAGCAAAATTCATAGCAAATTCACTTTTCAAAGCCAAACGCCTCCATACACTGGATCTGTCTTACAATCCGTTGGATCCGGAGAGTGCTTTAAAGATCTTAGAGTCTCTTAGAAAGCCGAATGTTAAATTAAGTAATTTATTCATGGAGCAAATTGTGGTTGACGAAGAGTTTTTTAAGGTATTCAATCTTCAAATACATCTAAAACTCATTTATAAATCATATTAAAGCTTTAAGTAATCCACACTTAGTTATAAAAGTATACTTCTATTGAACAGAAGTTAAAAGGCTCGCTTCAATTAAATGAAATCATTTGAGACGTTGAAACGTTGGGCTGTAGCTAAAATAAAAAGTAAGTTGACTAATATATTTCGCGTTTAGTCTTCAAAGTGTTTTTTTTTTTATATTTAAGACTTTATAGCTTAAATTCTGCTGTTAATCTTATGTTGCCTATTCCTGAAGATAGTGGACCTTAAAAACTCAGATATTTTAAATGAATAAATTTAAACTGTTTAAAAAGCAGAAATTAACTGTTCTGCGTTAAAAACGTCTGCTGCAAAACATTCCTAAAGTCAGGGTGAAGATACAGATTTGATAAGTAATATAAGTAATTCGCGTTGCTGTTCAGAGGTTTTTCAAATTTAATGTCTACTAATTGCATAAAAAATCACGCGTTTAATTTATAAAGTTTGTTTAAATAAAACACGTTAACCGTTTAAAACGCGATATATAAGGTAAAGCAGCTGTGGTAACCACTGCATCCTGCTAGGCATCGGAGTTGGGCAGTAGTTAAGATAATTTTCAAATAATTTTAAACTAATATATAAGTTTCCCTGTTTTTAGTTTTTCTTTATTCTACATATTTTCTCTATTGTCTAAAATAAGGAACCATCTTTGAAGTATGCGCATGCGCATTTTAAGAGTGATACCTTTACAGGTCCTCAATGAAATATTGTCTTTACGCTTTCGTAAGAACACTAAAGTGACACATGGTGAGGTGCTACATAACTATACACTGTCGGTACCAGATTTAAGGATAATCGTAATGAAGAGATTCGACTATCTCACTCAAAAAGGAAAGAAGAATAAACTAGACATCGCGTGAGTGCAAAGATTATATATTATATTCGGAAATCAAAAAATTAAAACGCGATTAAACACCACAATTTTTAAATCTGTGGACGTTTTCGACCGCCGATCACTGGTCGAGTTTAAAACAGTTAAAAGCGATTTATTACATATGTACTTACAACTACAGTCAATACCTAAGACATTTTCTTAAATTGATAAAATATATTTTTTTCTTACCTATATAGATTGTACTTCCTTCAACTGAGGAAGTCGGTGGATATAGTGCAACCGCGTGAAATACTCCGAGACCTGAAGATAGCTGGCACTCCAGTGGAGGAAGATTTGGTCAATCAACTCACTGAATTATTTCCAGGACCGCCGCTGGACAAAGGAGTCAAGACTATTAAGTTAGATGGTTGGTTTCGTATATGGTTTCGTGTATATATTATGCGTTTTATGGCGTTTAAAGTTTAAAGTGTAAATTATGAGATAATTTGTTTTGGTATTTTTTTAACATAGAGAAGGACAGACAAGCACCGTATGCTTGTATGTTGTTATTTGTTATATTTTATATCCCAAAGTTAATTTTATTCATAAAATATTGACCACTTTCTTGACATAAAACCTCTTTGCTAAAAAAAAAAACACACGTGCCTTTTACATTACATTATCGCACAAGTACGTAATGAGAAATATTACGATATTGAAATTGGTGTAATTACAAGCACTTTACGAGCAAATATGTTATAAATACTATTATACACCAACAATCCCGACAAAATTCGAAGTACGATATATGAATACTACGAATTTTGTAAATACATACATCAGGTACGTGTGTATTTTAATCTTAAAATGGCTTGATCGTTTTGGATAAAATGGTACTCGAAGTAGCTGTGACGTGTTCCTACAAAATGATGATGAATGAATGAAATGTAATATGCCACGGGATGGACTACAAACACTATTAATGTCACTTTCCACTTTAAGTTAAAAATTACCTTTTATTGTAAACAACCACCACAAAAGATCAAACACAATACAAAAATAGATTGTTCATCAAACATCACAAAGTTAATTTCGTTTCTAATTAAGCAAACAATTCCGATTATTATTCGAAACAAGTGTTAGTAGAAAATTTGTCACAAGGAGCGAATTTAAAACAATTTAGAGCAATAAAAGGCCGAGCCGAGGTCCGCAGTGTCATTATTTTGGCAATTTTCATTTTATCGCATATTCATTTTCATGAATAATATTGTGGTTTGTGTTTTTAGGGTTCGGTACGTATTGAGTAAAAACGAGACTTTAGTTACTAAGACTACTCAAACGATTTTTTAACGAATTGCGTTTCTGTTGTCGCCATACGAACAATACTAAATACAAAATACAACTAACATTTACAAGAGGCCTCAAACATTGTTTTTTATTTTATCATGACCCTGATAATTATTGCCAGTATTGCGTTAAGCATGAGTAACTGTAACGGGATCTAATCCCGGGTAATATGTATATAAATAAAATCTGTCTTTAAAATAGACACGAAGAGAGAGAAAATATTTCGCTCAACATTCGTACGAGAGAGAACTAACCATCACATTTTCTAGGCACTTGAAGCAACAAAAAAAAGGTTAAATACTGTCTATAGTTTACGCGAGTAGTACACATTTAAATAAAACACTTTAACGGTTTAAAACGCAATATATTCGTTAAATCAGTTTAACTAATACATCGCGTTTTAAAGTAGTGTTTTATTTAAAAAAAGGTTACCTAGTCAATTACAATACCTAATACGGAACCTTTTGTGCCAGAGTCCGACTCGCATCCCTTCATTTTTATTTTATTATAGTTACCTTGTGTCAGGCAACTTTTAATTGCAATTTTTATGATGTTTTTTACTATAAAATTATTAGTTTTCGGTAGATTCTAAACATTTCCGGCAAGACAAATTATTCAATGTAATTAAAGAGTTATAATTAAACGTTATCTTCTTATTCGTGGTGTTTTAAAAAAAAATAGGCTTCGTGTTATACACAAATAATGTCGCAGTGTTTGTTACCAAACTTTTCCGAAACGGCACGATCAAATTGTATGAAACGTCTGGTCTGGTATATATGTTTTCCACATGTAAATTCTTATTTTTTGTTACTTAATAACGTGGAAATATAATTATTTTTTAATTTGCCTACCTTTCTATGACCAACTTGTAAAACAATGTGTGACAAGTCAAGCATGCTTATTACAGGGAGTCATATAAAGGACATAAAAAAAAACGTTTGATTTTTCTTTTTTCTCACCAGCCAGCACCATTAGCCCAACATGTTTTTTTTAAAATAATATTTTATAGCCCAATATAAAATGTTACACATAGAGCATATTTTCAGGTATCATAGAGATGATAAAACGTTTGTGGCCAGAAAAAAAACTGCCACCCACTCCTCCGCCAGAGCCCGAACCTGTAGTGGAAAAGAACGATAAAGAAGGAAAGGGGAAGAAAAAATGAAGTAATTAGCAACAATATGTGTCATATCATTAGCCATAAATATTGTAAATTTTACAAAAAGTAAGTTTTTTAGTTTTCGCATTTTTTTAAGTAAAACTTTGGCCACTTTCCCTAATACTTTGAGAGATGAGAAAACTGTTTTCTATATTTGGCAGTTTGTTAAGATGTGTCATGTTTTTTGTATAAATACTAAATTTCTTCGCGTTATATTAATTTTTAATTAGGTGTAAATAAATATGTAAGTATCTTATTGTATAAATTAAAAAGCTAATAATAAAAAAATACGACTCGGACAGACTATTATAGCAGCACGGATCGCTGTAGATGCTGGTTCAAGTCCTTTCCGTGTCTTCGATATCTTTAAATCTAAATATATTTGTAATTCAATTTCGTACTGATAATAAATGTATCTGAATCATTTTTAAATCTCTTTATTATTATTTTCCTTCTTCAACTGATAGAGGGTTTGCGTATATTATATAAAGACGAACTATAACAAGAAATATCTCTACAGAATTTTAACGACCCATAAAGCTGCTGGCAAGTTGAGTTAAGCCACTCAAAGTAATTATTATGCTGGAAGGCAAAAACACAATCTACAGCTTTCAATTAGCAAGAGATCTTGTTCATAGGATATTAAGCCACTTTTTCTAGCCACAGTGCTTACGAGGTCTATTTTTTATACATTCTTGCTAAAGTAAAATATATTTCAATTAATATGACTGTGTAAAAACCTAATATTGTATACACACCTGTTTACATTTATTATATTGTATATCGACGGCTCATTGGTGTTATGGTAACAATCTGTATCTATCAACGGGTCGTGGATTCAATCCTCACCAGATCTAAAAGGTTTGTAATCAATTTATAATTCTTCTAAAACATGTTTGGTAATCTGGATATTAAATGGATGGTGGGAATTACGATCACAACCACAGAACCTGAAGCTGAACTTAATAATGAATTTTGAATTACTAGCGACCAATTTTTTATTCATGTTTAAGTTATGCGTACTTTAAAAATGTTATCCCTGTTTTTCTCTAAAATTCTCTAAGTTATCTCTTTGACGACTCAATTATATGAATAAAGTATTAAAGGTGATTTGACTTGTGTATTTTTACATTTCTTTTTAAGGTACAAGTAAACATAAAGAATAGGTAAAAACATTCGACGATGACCCATGGACACGCTGTAAATACCGGTTTGAGTCCCGCCTGTGTCGTCAGTTTTTTCAATCTAATTAGATTTTAATATAGGCCCATAGCAATATTTAACACAGCAAATAAATAAAGTAATTGTGATAAAACTTAATTACTTCCACGAAATCCATATGAACCATTTATGGGCAACCGCATTAAGAGTGAAATGGACTTCGTATTGTTCTGAAAATGTGCTCATTAAAAATAATAGAGACAGACGATTGCTTTCATAATCACATATTTCCTTTATGCCAGTTTTATAGAGGTGATAATAAATTTCCATACGTTTCTGTTCGCTACGTTGGGCTCGGTTTAATATCAACGTATAAAAACTTAAAGATTTTTAACGTATTATTTCCAGTGCAATTTCTTCAACTTCACAGCACGTACTTTCTTTACTTCACGACTTTACGTTCTCAATAAAACTATGTAAATTGTATTGAAATAGGAAGCACAAGATAGCATGATACGTTTCGAAAGTGGTCAAATCATTATTGAAAAAATGCACATGGTGAAATGATGGCTAAAAAAATTACGACACGGGCGGGACCTGAACCGGAAACCACAGCGTTCCGAGCTCTAAGCCATTGAGCTGCCGTATCTCACTCAATCGTGTCACTAATATTTTTCAATCTAAGAAGAATTTATATAATGGGATGTTTGTTAAAAAACCTGAAATCGTTTACATGAAGTAAAAAAAAAGTGTTAATAATGTTTTTTATTTATTAAATGTGTTATGTGCTATCTTAAGTTTGATAAATTACCTTTGAAGGATCAAAGAGACTTTCTTTTAAATTAATATTCGTGGTCACAGTGAGCCACGATAAAGATAAGTTGTGAGCTTCACACTTTTATCTTACCCCAAGTCTCAAGGACTTCATATGCTCTATATAGAGGACAGACAAGCAAGACGTTTACTTGATGGTAGGTTGCATACTGCAGCCATATAATATCTAAACAAGATGGCTGCATCTGCTTTGGATATTCGTTGTTCTACGATCATAGTAGTGAGAACGTATAGACGCATTAAAAAGGGACATACAAATGTCAGTCAGTTGGCTTCATTATCTAGAGATAGTTTACATAAACATAATTAATAACCAAAAAGTATAGAAATATTTATGATAGTAAGACTAGAAATCAAACTCCATAATGACTCTAATAAGTAAGTTATACTTAATACAGCGCTAATATGTATGAAAAATGTATTCTGGTCTACTTTAAGTGTAACTTGAGCTTGATATTACGAAAGTCTCACGTAAAGTGGACCGATTACGAAGAGCAGGTGACTGTTATAAGTTGAGTCCTTCGCCATAATTCGGAGATCAAATTGAATGAGGTATATCACGGGATATGTTGTAAATTCTAACGCGGTGCGAACGACGGTCATCGCTGGCACTTGGGTCACTTGATGATATCTACGTGGACATTCTTTGTTAGAAAAAATATATATTTTTGATATACACCCAGCTTACCAAAATTCTTACATATTTTTCTTCACTTAAGCTTTCGTGCCCACGGACAAAACTCATGATGTAAGTATCCCTGATACTTCGGTGAGTATGTCTGTTTGGCCACATGGACCACAAGACCACAGAAATACTACAATAACCGAGATGACAGTATTCCTTCTTACGATTTGCTCCTTATTCCCACAATTTAAATAAAACTTTTAAATTAAATAAAATAGCCACACTATTAAGTGTGGCTATTATATGTTAGGAGTAAAAACGTGTCGTGAGGCCGTAAAGGAGGGGGGGGGAATATTAGCAATCAATGTATAAATATTATTTCTATTAGGCTTACAGCATATTCGCGAAAAATATAACCTTTCACAAATTCCTATAATAAAGATTAGTGGGGGTCCGTTTTCTATTTTCTTTATCGGTCATAACATTTTGATACAATTTTATCGAGGGCCTTTTTATACGAGTCGTGTCCTCTCTATTCTTTCTTCGGGTGGCAAGACTAGATATCCCAGGCCCGGCACCAGACATTATTTATACCCCGGAGACACCCTAACGTGACATATTTTAAAGCGACCGTTTTAATAAGTCGCTTGCGCCATGAACCCTGCAATTTTTAGATATATATTTACGCCAAGGGATTTCCTTAAATAAAATTCTTAAATGAAATAATACCGCCGTTACTCGCTGTATATATTTTTGTAGTTTCATCAAATTGAATGATGTTTTATTGATATAGATATTTAGTAAATTACGTCTTATGTGATTTTGTGTGGCTTATGGTACTTAACAAACTTCTTCCTGTCTTTCTCTTCAAATTGAATCTTATTTTTGCGGTGACAATACAGTACTTTTATTTGTTTGTTATTGTATATTTTTTGCTCAGATAAAATATACGTTAGTTTATGTTTAACGAAGAGATTCTAACAAAAATATAACGAATAAGATTACCAGAGGCAGAAGACACAACTTGTAATGAAATTTAATAAAAAGTTGAATTTGATTTGATTAGGCCTATGCATTTTCTGAAGAGACAGACGCCGGTAAAACTGCTATTATCAAATTTGGTCTCACGTACTGTTACTCATGTTTTTTTTATTATAAAAAAAAAAAAAAAAAAAAAAAAATAAAAAAAAAAAAAAAAAAAAAAAAAAAAAAAAAAAAAAAAAAATAAAAAAAAAAAAAAAAAAAAAAAAAAAAAAAAAAAAAAAAAAAAAAAAAAAAATATAAAAAAAAAAAAAAAAATTTTTTTTTTTTTTTCAAAAAAAAAAAACCAAAAAAAAAAAGGGGAAGGGGGAAAAAAAAAAAAAATTTAAAAAAAAAATTTTTTTTTTTTTTTTTTTTGAACCCTTAAAAAATTTTTTTATAAAAAGTGGAAAAAAACCAATTTCAAAAACGTATAAAAAACATTGAGTTTAAAATACTTTTTACAAAGATTATTTATTAGCTTTTGCCAGAGGTTAATAACATTTTAATTATGAGTGTTCATCTGTTAACCTAAAGAGAAATTTATGACAGATCTAGTTGAAACTTATCGCTGTTTTCCCCAACGTTGTACCCATATAACTTTCGTGGATTACCTCCACCTCACACCTATGAAGCATCTGCCACTAATTGATGTTACCTGGGGGGAATAAAAACTACCCTATTACGATCCCCTATTATCTTAAATATGTTTTATTTTCACCTGCCTAAACGTGATTAAACTATAAACTTATAATAACGAAAACCTTAAATCAGTGGGCAGTTCGAGTTGGAGTTACCCACGTATGGTTCCGTGTTACATAACTAATTTACCCAGTCGTAAACAACAATAAGTACACAAATAGCTTCCATCGTTTTAACGTAAGTAGGTATATAAAAAAGTGTTTTGTTAAAATATAATGTCACTTGATTGTATTCAATTGTAGTTAAAAAAGAGTGTTTGTGCCTAGACTTAATGTTTTGAACTATACTATTATTACGAATCGTAATATTGTACATTGAACACGAACGTACCTATGTAACTTTAGCGTGAGTACAGCCTGAGCAAAGTCTAACGCTCTAATTATTTCACCCTCATAGTAATAGAATTTATCGTACGGAACCCTAAAAACCCGTCATCTTATAACATTAAAATATTTGTTTGAGTATATTGCTTACGTGAATTATAAAATAAAATATTCTTAACAGAACATGGTGAAATAAAGCAAAGCCCTTGTTTTAAAGCCAGATTATACATTTTTAAGTATTGTCTATATTTCCTCCAAATACTCATTAAGAGACAGATGGCGCTACCATAGTAGCTTTGACTTTGACATTAAGAACATCTTTAGTCCCCATCACCACATAC